CCTTCTTTTCTCGACTCACCGGACAGAGTGCCCCTGAAAAGCAAGCAAAGCCCGACCAACAGGAAATTGCTAACGATGCCTCGGATCTCACTGGTCTTACTACGGCATCGGTGTTCTTGCATATCAGTACCGCAGCTATCCAGTCGTCCGTTGGCAGGTCTCTGAGCAGCGAGCTTGAACGCGCGACTCGCAAGCCTCCACCCAAAAGGTCCACTATCGCCATCTTGACCCCCTCATATGACACGAATCTAGCCTCCAAAGCATCCGGGGCGAACTCTGAAATTCTCTCTTCTATTCTCCCAACGCGGGCAGGAAGGGTCTTTATAGGATTCCCCACGCAGCAAACTACAGGCCTGAATGCTCACATCTCGGCCCCATCCGTGATTCCAACCGTCGAACGGGAAAGCATTGACCTCAACACTCGCTATATCAGTAAATGGAATTTAGAAATGTTGAGGGCGGTGGGCATCGTCTGCCGCATCGCTTGGGCGGCGGAAATGGCATTGATAAAGTCCCGAATATCTTCAGCAATTGAACCATCCCGGAATTCGAAGATCCGAAAGCAGGATATAGTGGGCGTGCTTCCAGAGGCAATCCACACATCGAATCAGTTTGTGTTTCGGGAATCGACGCCATCTTCGCTTCTGGGGCAGACGATTGAGGATTCGTTCTGGACGTGCAATAGGAAAGCTTCTATCGAAGTTCTATCAACGTGCGGTGTCATTCAAAGTCATCAGGCGCGCATTGCTCCCAAAGATCTCAGTTTCATGGACTCTATTCCGGTCTTGCCGGATGAATTTATATCGGGCGCGAAAGACTTCGTCCGAAAACTAACGGATTTCGGTCTGGTCACTGATATCACAGTCTCGGATATCAAGCAGGAATTAGAATCCAGCACGCTTCGCTCTGGTCAAATCATCGAGTTCCTCTCTTGGCTGGGCCGACGAGCTGCCTCGGGGCAGCTCGATCCTTCCTCTGTGCAGACCCTTTTAGGAGTCGCGGTGGCGAGCGACGACGACGGATCTAGTAACACGTCTCGTTTACTTGTTTTCGCCAATATCCAGAGTTTTCTGAATGCCCAACGAGTTCCCGCTGATATGCCCTTGCCGCCGAATGTTATGCCTTTCAAATACACCAAATCCCTAGCTAAACAGGAGCTAGAGGCCTTTGGGTGGGTGGAGCTGCAGACGATTCCTTGGATCCGTTGGCTTATAAACAATGCCGGAAACCGGAGCGCCCTTTCTTTGGAGCAAGATATTACACAGAACGCCTCGTTTTCCGGTCAGGTCCTGGCTGTTCTATCCAAGCAGTGGGAGCATCTAAATCAGCCATCAAGACAAACCCTGATTGCCCTACTCCAACCCCACACTATCATGCCAACGAAACTCGGCATGAAGCGGCCTGCAGAAACCTACTTCCCCTCTGTGCGCTTGTTTGACGATCTTCCTGTCGTAAATTCGCTGAATAGTGTCAAGGAGAAATTTCTGGTCGCGCTGGGGGTCCGCAAAACCGTCGATCTCGGTGTCATTTTCGAACGCCTTCTTGACCCAGCCGGCCAAGACCCATCCAGCGCGGAGGCTGCCAATGGAGCGAAATGGAGCCATGTCGATTTGATACGTTATCTTGCTTCGGTCCGTGACGATATTCCTGCAAATGACATCAAACGATTGAAAAACACTAGTATCTGCACCGCTGAATTGCCTAGCGGCGATTCTGGTGCTTCTGCCAGGAAACGCTTCAAGATCTTCGAGCTATTTGAACCGAAGGACTCAATCAGGGCCCTTGGGCTGCCCGTGATTGAATGGCCGGGAAAATACCAACCCAACAGCCGCGAAGGAAACTTCCTTGCTACGTTAGGGCTTCGGAGTTTCCCATCAGCCCCCGAAATGCTGCAGATTATCACCAAGGCCGCATCAAACAATGATTGGAGTCTCCACGGAAAAGCCATGTCGTACTATATTGCCGAGTATCATGACAATGGCTACTCGACGTTTGATTGCAGCTCATACGATGTTCCATTCTTGCCTCTGGAAGGATCGAGCAGCCTGAGCGTCCCGATGCAGTGTTTCACGGATGAGAATGCTACTTTGTGTGGTTTCAAGATCCTACGGCGAGACCTACATCCTCATGCTTCTAAGTTCGGTGTCAAACAACACCCCTCGCTTACCGAATGCCTGGATTATCTGATCCAACACCCTCCATGTACAAAACGCGATGCCCGCGTCCTCTTCAAATATCTCGGCGGAAGGGTTGGCGACCTCAAGGCACGCGATATCGACCGTGTTAGCAATGCACAGGTTGTACCCGTATCAACATCTCGGGATGCCCAGAAGGGGTCAGATGTACGCCGGGTGGCACCTAGGCTTTGTTATCTGGGAGAGGGCGAGGATTATCGAGACATTTTTGACTTTGTCGACTTTGGGCAAGAAGCGAATTTCTTTCTCATGGCAGTTGGCTCCAAGAGGGAGCCAACCAAAATCGAGATCGCCCGCATGCTAGTCAAAGAACCAGCAAGGATTTCTTCGACGTTCCAGAGCGCAGACAAGTATCTCAAACTCCTGAGAATGCTCGCGGAGAACCTCCTTGTCTTGAAAAGGGACCGGGAACTTTTCAACGAGATGAAAAGATCTCCGTTCCTCTTAGCCAGTAAAGACATCACGTCTCTTTCCCAGGAGAAAAGTGAGAAACACAATCTCATCAACCTAGACTCCGACTCGGATTCGGATGGAGAACAGAGCATCAAGGAATGGACGCTGGTCGTTGCAAAAGATGCAGTCATTGTCGATGATTTCCAAAGCTTCAATCTTTTCCGAGAACACATGCTGGTGGCACCGCAGGAAGAGTTGCTCGAGAATTTTTATCTCGCCCTGGGGGCAGCTCCGCTGAGCGCACTCGTGGAGGAACGGGCTCACTGGGGTTCCGTTGCTGCCGATCAACGCCCAGCGGCGAAACTACAGAAGTTGATCAGCGAACGCTCGCGGCTTTTTCTACACGACCTGGCCACCGATGCTATAAAACATGATGTCCGATGGCTTGAGAAGTTCCTCCAGGTGCAGGTGGTTCAGTCCATTTCCCTCACAAGGTCCCTTAGAGGGCGGCGAATTTCGCATACCCAAAAGCGGAGCGCCATCATCACGCAACAGCAATCCAAGGCATGGGTTCTGTGGATTTGCCCCGGCAAGTATGATCTTTATGAAATCAGTCAAGCTCTTGTACATCTCATCCTTGTCCGGCCAAAGCTTCACTCCACTCTCACTTTAGAGATGCTGTTGAAGACTGATTTGTTGGAGCTAAAGACTCGTGGATATAATGTGGAGCGCATTCTCAAGGCCAAGGCCTACGAGGCCCGGATGGCAGAGGACCGGCGCCAGAAACAGCTGGAGGAGGAACGGCAACGGCTTCTCGACAGAGAAGCTGCATGGTCGAAGGAGCGGGCTCAGGCACCGGCACCAACACCATTGCCTGAAGAGAAACAGCAGTCTGGAATGCCTGGTGATTTCCCCGACACGCCTTCTACTAGGGATGTCGGTGCCAATACGCAGCCAGCGAACCCCGAAGAACCTCGTCCGCGCGGATTGTTCGCCAGTCTCTCCAAGCGTCTGGGCCTGGATAATGGGCGTCCCCAAAACAATTCCCCGGGCGGTGAATCTCCTCAGTCTCCAACCGCAGACACCCCTCCCCCACCCTACTCGAACGAAGATCCGCAAAAGTCGTCTCGTCCAGAAGCTCCTGTGACAGTCAGTTCTCCTCACCAGTTACAGTCACAGCTCCTCTCTGCTGTTCAGGCCTGTCGACCTCATGGCTCGAACGGTGTGTACAGTCGGCCCGAAACCAATCAAATCGGCGAGTCCAAGTCGTACTGCGACGAGAAACCCAGCCAGGACCTGGAGTTTGCTGCGACGCTCCCTTGCGGTATCAATGTGCTTTTCGTGAGGACTTTCCCCGACCGGTCCAATTTCCTCGCCCAGCACGGTGTTGCAATCAACCTGTTTGCCTCTCTGCTGCTGGACTGCGGTGCGGTCTTCTCCCTGCGTGCGAACATCCTCAGCATCTTCTACGACCCCGGCGGGAAGACCATTGCTTTCAACCGAGCGGGCAGTATCTTTTGCAACTACTTTTACTTCCAGCAACTGCATGAAAAGGAGTTGCTTCAGACGCCTGCTGGTAACAAGACCGACGCCTTGGTATATTGGTGGGTTATTCTGTGCCATGAACTGGCCCATAACCTTGTGGGAGACCACAGTTCCGCCCACAGCTTCTACACGTAAGACCCGATCCATTATCAGACCCTGCGTGCCTACAATTGCTAACTAGCTTTCACCTCCAGCGAAGGATTTGTTGCTCAGTACTTCCCTAAGATAGCAGCCAAGCTCGCCACGATCAGCCAGTAGCTAGCGACCTGATGCGACTCAAGTCATCCTACAGGCGAATGTCCACAATCAGGAGTTGTATGTAACTTCTGAATGAGTACACGCCAAGTGTTGTCCGGATCAGAATCCAATATAAGAGCGACTAGATCTGAGATCTATATATCTAACCGAAGATATACACAATATATAGTACTCACTAGAGCACTTTAGCCCTGTCCCCACATCACACTACCACGTCTAGCTGCATGTGGGAAAGCAGTACTATTAATCTATTATCGACGATTATTGACGGTGCCTCCAAATGTCCAAGTATAGCACCGAACCCATGTCAATAATATCAAACAATATTGATGGGACCTACCGCTCCGTAGAGACTCACCCCACCTGTAGCACTTATTCTACTGTTTTTTTTTTTTCAAGAAGAAGCCCCTAAATATTGTATCTGGTGGGACTCCAGCTAATAAGGTTATGGAAATCCACGGGTTGAAGCTGATGAATTTGCTGGGTTTCCAGACCCAGACCCAGTGATTTCCCGGCCGATTGCAGCCTCCGCCGTTCATTTTTCTCTCTTCTCCACCCGTTCTTCTCTGCCGCCGCCAAAACATTTCTATCCGATCATCCACTATGGACCGATGATATCCGACTTTTATTCCAACCCTTCTCATTCTTTTGATATGCTTGTATAGTATGATATTGGTCTTTTATTATGGAACCCCATGCGTGATCCCGTTCCCCGTACTACTCTTGATTTAATTCTTTGTCCACGAGGGTTTATTTGGGCGCCCTCTCTGCCCTGACTCATGTTCTGATCAATATCGGATTTTGTTATTCTTCACCCCATCAGTATCCCACGACAATCTACTCAACTTTTTGGATAGTGTCTTGATAGTGGCATGGCACCGTCACTGGGATATCAGTCTCCGTCCGACCTCGGCCCAAATCCTTGGTCGAACGGTCTGACGTCCCCCCCCAAGAGCATTCTATATATTGATGCATACGATTCATTTTCCTACAATGTCGTGGCCATGCTTGAAGAGGTCTTGGGAGTCAAGGTCACGGTGATGATGATCGATTCGAAATGGCCAGACAATAACATGGCTCAATGCCTCGAGCGTTATGAAGCTGTCGTCCTGGGACCCGGACCGGGGAATCCGAGCATCCCCCGTGATGTCGGGATCATGCAGGACATCTGGCGTTTAAGCGACGACCATTTGGTGCCCGTCTTGGGGATCTGCCTTGGCTTCCAGAGTTTGTGTCTTCACCATGGTATCCCGATTGAGCGCTTGCCTGCGCCTCTGCATGGTCAGATCCACCAGATCTCTACAGCTCAGACAGACATCTTTGAGGGTCTGCAGGGGGCAGGGGTGACTCTCTATCATTCGCTGTATGCTCAAGCGGACCCTAGGCGTGATCTGTCCTCCAATGGACCATCTGGGTGCCCCAGGGTCAATCCACCGGCAGCTGAAGATTTAGAATTCGTGGCCTGGTCATCTATTGAACAAGGCAGTTCATCCGACACAGTGCATATCCCCATGGCTGTGCGGCATCGGCGAAAACCATTCTGGGGCGTTCAGTTCCACCCTGAGTCCTGCAAATCGGACCGAAAGGCCTGCACTGAGATGCTCAGGAGATGGTGGCAGACTTCACTCGCGTACAATAAGAAATATCGCCGTGCTGTCACTGAGAGCCCCCCGGCTGAACTTTCCAGCCACATCAGCGCCGTGACTCCTTTACCGGATATTGTACTGACAATGCTTGAGTGGAGCGCTTCGACCTCGCATCGTTCGCACTTTCGGTCTTTTACGTCCCACAGCTTGGACGCCGAAACTTTACTAGAATATTTCAATACCTCAGGCTCTCCGGCAGTCCTATTTCAGTCCAATGGCAAGCACAGTGTTATCTCAGTGCCGAGTCCCACCAGTTGGAGATTGGAATACTATACGCAGTCGGAAGAGCTGGTCTTGGAGACATTACCCGACCCCTGGACCCACTGCAAAGCGACAGAATCTCAACATGACCTGTCTGCATGTTCTCTGCCAGTGGTTCAATTTTGGGATGTCCTTAGACATGTCATGCACGCGAAAAAGGTCGACACGGGAGACCATACGGTGCCATTTTGGGGCGGTTTTCTGGGCTATTTTTCATATGAAATGGGCCTAGCATGCCTCGCCCGGCCAAAGCATCATGGCGACATCTCTCATCACGGCCTTCCCTCGACTAGCGAAGAGGCTTCTAGTGAAGATCCCCCTGACGTCAGTCTTATGTGGACCGAGAGGAGCATTGTCATTGACAATGAGACGGGGCGTATAACAATACAGTCCACTCTTGACTCTGACGAGTCGCCCGATGGATGGTTGAGCCAGACGTTGCAGTCTCTGGTGGCTCTATCCACGGAACCCATAGACGCCGGAAATGACGCCGGAGATGCGGATTTCCTGGATTCCATCCTCCGAAGAGGCACCGTGCGGTTCCCAGATGAAGAAACATACCAAAGTCAAGTAGAGGCTTGCAAAGACGAACTTGAGGCTGGCGAGTCATACGAACTATGCCTCACCTGCGAAACATCCATCACACTACCCTCACCCGATACCGACAGTGGCCGACGAAACTTTCCCTGGAAACTCTACAGGCGACTACGAAAATACAACCCTGCTGCATTTAGCGCCTATGCGAGGTTAGGGGATGTAAAAATCGTGAGCAGCAGTCCCGAGTGCTTTCTGAACTGGGATCGGACATCCACGCTCGAGATGAAGCCGATGAAAGGCACCGTGAGGAAGTCCAGCGACATGACCCTGGAGAAGGCCAAGGAGATCCTGGGCTCAAGGAAGGAAATGGCCGAGAACCTGATGATCGCCGATCTGATCCGCCACGATCTCTACGGGATCTGCGGTTCGGGGGGCGTCTCAGTGGAAAAGCTTCTTGAAGTGGAAGACCACGGCCGAGTATACCAGATGATTACCCACGTCAAGGGTCAAGTCGATCCGAAGCGGCCGAGCCTCGCGGTGCGCGATATGCCACAGCTTCAGTCGTCGAACATGTCGGGGTATGGGCTAGTGGCGCTCCAACGATGTCTCCCACCGGGTTCCATGACGGGGGCGCCGAAAGAACGCTCATGCATGCATCTGTCTGCGATTGAAGGCCGCAATCGAGGGATCTATTCCGGCGTCATGGGCTTCTTGGATCTCGGAGGGGGCGGGAGCTTTTCGGTTCTGATCCGCACGGCGTTCACCTGCTCCGCTGACACCCAGGCTGAGCAACGGTGGCGCATCGGGGCTGGCGGTGCTGTGACGACTCTGAGTACAGCCCAGGGTGAATGGGACGAGATGCTGACCAAGCTGAAGACCGTGTGTGGGATATTCACACCACATCACTAGGGAGTGGATTTCCACGTTCCCGCCTCTGATATCTCTTTTTTCTTTTTCCTTGTTCTTTTTATTTCAGTTTGGCCCACGATTTTTACGGTGCTGTACGAAGGGTCATGTCTTGATAGCGGTTTCAACAATTGCATCGATTGGAGCATGGGGTTATACGAGTCTCTAAATCAACATACAGGAAGCGTGAGAGGGAAACGGCGTGCTATTTTTCCATTTATCATCTTTTATATAGTTCAGGCGATCAATACTGTACATGAGATTTGGAGCATGTGGGAATAAATATAGAAGTATATATATAGCATCCTGATACGGGTCCTGTGCGCACCCCACCTCGATACTTTTTACAAATAATTCAAGCAAATAACTCTTTGATGGCCAATTCCTGTTATTTCCTATAAGCACACCATCCACCATTAGACAACCTCCGATTGAAAGAAGATGTAGCTTCTGATATAAAGAATCCATAATGTATAATTTGCCCATTCGGCGGGCGGTCAGACCGATTTCTCCGGTTCTCTTCCGCGTCGGATTCTCCAACTCTCTGAGATGCGCCGAGACTCATAACCTTCCTGCCTTACAACATTTTGAATAACTTTATTTCATTGCCGTTTCCCGCCGTCTCCCCTGTTCTACTTCCTCATAGCAATTGACCTGAGACGTGGTGCATCGATGGCGACCGGCCAAGATGCTTCAATGGAGGAGATCCTCTGGCGATCTCCCCCGCACGTCCAGATGATGGGAGGATACCTCCATTCAAACAACAGTACGCAGCTGTGCCGATTCATATCGCTAGATCTTCACCTTAACTGACATCGTTCCAATCGCACCCTGATTAGTTCTATTCTACTTCGCCGAGTCCCCATTCTTCGATGCGACGTCCAACAACGCCTCTCTGGCCATCCAGGCCAACTACAATGAAGCCTTCCGCCATTTCGTGGAGACCCGGGAGGCCTTCGAAGCTCGATTGAAAACGATGCAGGGGCTAGAATTTATAGTCGCGTATGATCCGCTGCAGGCGGCGGCACAGTCCGACACTCGCTTTGCCCACGAGCCGTCCAATATCTGGGTGATTCGGAAGCAGACGCGGCAGAAGCGAGCTGGGCAGGAGGATGAGGTCGCGGTGCTGTCTACCTATTTTGTTGTTGGAGATTGTATCTATATGGCTCCGTCGGTTGCGAGTGTGGTGGGGAATCGGATTGTGAGTTCCTTGCTTCTTGTTTCTGGTGACTCCATGCTTTGTCTAGAAGGGCTACTAACGACGGGATATCCTTAATTGCACAGCTCTCTGCCGTCACATCGTTGAGCAGTCTCCTGAAGACCGCATCCTCTCTACCTACGTTCACCGCATCGCATGGATACACCTATATGCCGTCCGCACCGAAACAGCTCGACGCCGGCCAGCCTGGCGCGCAGTCCCAGCAAAGCAAGGAAAACACACCGATGCCTGACTCCGATGCTGCCGCCAAAGGGCCGCTGCTTGGGTCGCAAATGACCAATACAGGGTCCGTCTTCCAGGATACAAGGACACTTGCTGAATCGTTCAACCTCCTTTCTCGATACGGAGAAGAATTCATGGATGAGAGTCCATTGGTCGGAGAACCAGGGTCATTTATCCTCTCCAGATCTGGGGATACAGAGCGAGGGCCTGGGACCAAACAGCTTGCGCCCCCGGGCGTGATCCCCAGAGTTGGGACACCGCAGCTCAGAGGAGAGACGCCGGGGAGGACCACCACACCGGCTGCGTCCGACGATGCCACATTACGGAAGGGGAAGAGTAAAGCTGGGAGTTGAGTGTGCGCCAAAGTTTCTATGATACCCACCAAGGCCTACTTTTTCTGGCCCCAAACACCTGATTCAATAAAGTCTAGTTTCTAGAATAATTCGACACGGTATACATCAGCAAATCTATCACGGGATCGCCCCAGGACCTCTTTTTTCGAGGTGGGCAATGTGTTCTGGACTCATTCTTCTCGTATACAACGAAACTTGGCGAAGGCCCCGCTCCCGCTGCCCAACCTCTGTCGATGAGTCACTTTTCCAAAGGGCGTCGACTGTTGGCACTTTGAAGGACCGTCAGCCTGTAAGATTTCTGTGGTATGTCACATTGGATGGTAGGCAGTGGACGAAGGGGCAGAGTTGTCTGTCATGTACGGTGATTTATTTAGGCTGGACCCGCCCGCTTCGATGACGCTCGGTATCCACTCTAGTTTCCTGTGCTTCTCACCTTTCCCAACAATCATCTTGCCGTATCTACTTCCCACGAATGCTCCACTGCTGTTATTGTTTGTTTTGACACAATTCTCGCCTCCATCATGGCCGACGTTCAGTCCCAAAACAAGCCCGCGGTCGTCTGCGTGTTGTAAGTTTTGCCCAACTCCGGTTCCGCGACCCCTCCCCCGCCCTCCGATGCCAAAACTACGATCCCTATACTAACACAGACGCCGTTTTTCCCCAGCTGCGGCTCCGTAGCCGGAAACAACCCAGCCCACATGGAAACGGCCCGATCACTAGCCCATGAATTCCACAAGAACAACGTCCAGCTCGTCTACGGCGGCGGCACATCGGGGCTGATGGGCGAACTCGCCCGCACCCTCGTCACGCTTTCCGGCCCCAAAGCCGTGCACGGCGTGATTCCGCGCGCCCTCGTGAAAGTCGAACCAGGCTACGAGAACGGCTCCTCAAACGGAGGAAAGCAGCCCCCCGCCTCGACATCGTGGAACACCGAAGGCGGCAAGACGGCCGAACGCATCATCCGGGACCCGGAAGTGCTAGGCGAATCGGACTTCGGGACGACGACCGTCGTGCCGGACATGCACACGCGGAAGCGCCTCATGGCCGCTAAGGTGCAGGAGGGCGGGCCCGGGTCCGGGTTCGTGGCGCTGGCGGGCGGCTTCGGGACTATCGAGGAGGTCATGGAGATGACGACGTGGAATCAGCTGGGGATTCACCATTTGGGGGTTGTGCTGTTGAATGTGAACGGGTACTGGGATGGGCTGTTGGTGTGGGTGCGCAAGGCTGTGGAAGAGGGATACATTAGTCCTGCTAATGGCCATATTCTCGTTGAAGCGAAGGATGTTGCGGATGTTTGGCCGCGATTGGTGGAGTATAAGGTTAGCAGTGCGAGGATGAAGCTGAACTGGGGGGAGGAATGAATATGGGGGGGGGGGGGGGGGGAATAGATATTGATGAATACTCTGCTTGCGGAGAACCCTATCGTCTGCTTCTATAAATATTCTATTTTTCTTGCGTGGTCCAACGGAATTGGTGTTTTCGATTCTTCCTTTCTTTTGATCTATTTTGCCTTCTCCTCCCGTCCTTCCTGTTTACTCCGTTGAAGATACATCAATAGAAATAGAATTAACCAAAGATAGACTAACTTCCGAGTACATAGTTTGTAGAATTGACGGTGGACTAGGGCTTGAGATCATTCTCTATATTGAACGCCTTGAGAGAGAGAATACTCCCGTCTTTTTGGCTGGGTTCTTACTAGTAGTGGAGTATAAGATGAGATGCGAATAACGAGAAAAAGAGACAGACGGAGAAATAAGAAGAAAGAAACGTAATGAATTAAATCACCAGGATCCAGTTGTCAACATCAACAGATTCATGTCTATGGGCATCATTTCAAAACCTATGAATCAACCTCCATCCCCTCGCCTTCTTTCGTCTCGCCCGAATCCTGCTGCTCCACCGTTTCCAGCAGCGGAAGCAGCTGCTGGCCCTCGTAGAGCTTGAAGCTCTCGATCTTCCCCTTGGCGCCCTCGCCCGCCAGACCGACGACACCCACAGAGGTGTTATCCACCGTCAACTCCTTATCCTGGGAGAGGGTCTCCTTGAGGGCGCGCAGGCCGTGGGTGATGAGCTCGTCGCGGGAGCTGGACTCGATCTCGTCCAGGTGGCGCTCGAGGTACGTGCGGGCCATCTGGGAACGGGCCCCGATGGCGCAGGCGAGCATCTCGTGGATCATGCCTGAGGGCTGGAATTCGAACAGGTGGGGACCGGCTTCGTCGACGCCGGCGACCAGCAGGCCGACGCCGTACGGCCGCTTGCCGTACTGCTGGGTGTTTGTCTGGGCGCGATCGGCGATCTGGGTCACGATGCGGTCGACGGGAATGGGCCGGCCGTATGTCATTCGGGAGCTGAGCGATTGCTGCTTCATGAAGTTGGAGACCACTCGGGCGTCGGAGGCCAGGCCGGCGATGGCAATGCCCATGTGGGAGTCGACTTCGATGATCTTCTTCTGATACGAGGAGAGCTCTTCGGCGTTTCGCTGTCGATCCACCGTTAGCATTTTTTATCTCACACACATTCTCTCTTTGTGTTTCTAATTGTGTCGAAGAAGAATGGAAAGGACCGAGATGCGCACCTTCAAGCCAACCAGAACCGAATGCGTCTTATTGACCAACCCCACGACGACGGATCCTTGCTTCACGGCCTCTTGTGCATACTCCACCTGGAATATCCGACCTTGCGGGGAGCTATACAAGAAGTCATTGATTAGTTTCTGGGGGGCTTAACATGAGTGGAGGAGTGGGGTGTGGATCATACAAGGTGACGGCATCGTTGTCGTAGTTGTTCCTGAACATGATGGATAGCTAGATTCGAGACGGACGGGAAAGGTGTCGAGGTTCTGGTAGATGACACGAGCTTTATGTAGCGCTCAGTGTTCGATTCTGTCCGAGAAAAGGTGTGGAGTGATGAGGGAGGAGAAGAAGGATGAAAGTGAAGCCGGAGTGTCGTTGATATCGACAGGCAGAGAAGCAACTGACGCGGTGAATCTAGCTGTAGTAAGCTCAGGCTGCTCAGGCTGCCCAGCTCGGGAGCGGGCGGTGGACGGCCTAAGCGCCTGAGGCTGCCATACCAAACCTCCAGACGTCACAACTTCCGTCGTCATCTTCTTGCCTGTTCTCTACGACTTCAACTCGCTTCTGCGTCACTCCTTTCCTTTCAATCTTGTCGGTTCTCTCATGCAGATCCGCTGCCCTCGTCGGATCGGCCTCCCGTGAATTGCATCCCCCACCACGTCCCCTCGTGCTGCTATCGACCCGCCTGCCGGTTGAGCGTGTTCCCCTCCCTCCGCTTGTCTCTCCGCAATCATGACGGCCGGACTCAAAACCATCATCGCCCTCTCCTTTGTAAGTTGTTGTCGTTCAATTTGCGGACGGGTGTACTAATCGCCGATCGTTTCGTCTCGATGTAGATCCTCGCCATTGGCTTTCTCCTGGTCATTCTCTCCTCGGCGCTCTGGCACAATTTCCTGCCTCTCGTCGTTGTCGCAACCTATGTCGTAGCGCCGCTCCCCAACTGGATCTGCTCGCGATGTGCGAATCCCGATGATTTCATGGACAGTTCCGGCAATGCGGCCGCGGACTTTGGTCGCTTCATGACTGGGTTCCTGGTGTTGATGGGAATCGGTAAGTCGCTTCATCGCGCGTGCGGGCGCATCCCATTCTGGATTGTGCAGGGAACTGCCACGGCTCTCGGACGGATACTCTTCCTTGGGCTTGGTTCTTTTTTGGTTCATTAGTGCTGACCACTCTTGCTCTACACAGCGCTTCCCGCGGTCCTTGCGCATAGCGGCGCCATTGAGATCCCCGCGATGGTCATGTCGATTCTTGGAGGTCTTTTGATTTACGGAACAATCATTAGTTTCTCGATGTTCTTCCAAGAACAAGAAGAGTTTTGACGGAGTCGCCATCGGTCGGGTTGGGTTGGTTCGAGGTAGTCAGCATGTCGGAGTGCCAATGTCCTCCGAAAGCCATGGTTTGGCCCGCTCTGCCTGTTCTACTTTTTGAATTTGATGGGGCAGCGTTCTGTTTTTGATATGTGTTCGGAGTCCACGCTTTTTCTGTTATCTTTCTATATGCCTTTGAGATTCAGCCTTTTGATCCCACTATTCTCCTTGTTTGGCGCTATGGTTGATGTATGATACAGCCCTCGCTACGTCCCCTCGCTACGTTCTATAGAGGGTCGATGGGTCTTGGGCAGCAGTTTGGAGACCCTTAGGAACGATGAGCTTCCCATTCAGCACTTTCCCTTGTCTTTGGCAATGCAGGAGGCGCCCAAGTAGAAGATTAGTAATAAGTTGTGTTCATCCATCGATATGAATCACGTGATTCCGCGCCCGCGTCTTCCATGCGCGTTCGGTGCAGGCAAACGACCGCCTGTCTTGTCTATACCGCATCCCTCGACGCCTGGGATGAATGACCTTTGACGACTGAAGATGTGAGGCCGGAGTATTACTGAGACTGTCAGGATGAATATTTGGTCCGGACCCCTCGTGCTGGAGGGGGAATCTCAGCTGCAAGGTAAGACTCGTCCCGTGGTACTCAACCGCTTCAACAGCAATAACCCTTCTGACCGACCTATGGGCAGGCCTACAATTGGTGGAACGATCAGCCAACTGGCAATCGGATATTGTCAGAGACTCCATTCTTCGCCTCCGGTGTTTCGTGAATCCCGCCTTGATACCACTATACGCCCGAGCGGGCCCGAACCTAGAGTTGCACACGAGCGACGATCGAACGGCACAATGGCTGAAGAGCCGGTTGCTGGGCAATCTCTGGCTGGAGGAGGAGGATCTCGATACATTGCAGACCATTCAGTGCCCGGTCGGCCTGCTCGTGCACGTCGATAATGCGACGCGCGCAAAGGCTTCCCCCTCGGGAACAACAGACTTACTGGTTTACGGCGTGCTGTCAAGCGCCGCGACGTATGAACGACCGCCAACTCCCCCGGTGTCTTCCTCACCGAGCTTCGATGCGCATATTCATGATCGGGCGGGGCAAGAACTAAGAATATATGCCGCCCCGCTCTCTACCTCCCTCATAGCCAGGGCCCAGGCGCTCCCGAGCCCGCCGAGTCCCGATGGCCTCGCAGGCCATGCCCAGTTTTCAGAGTTCCTGCCCGACCTCCGCTCGCCGAGTCCCAAGCGGAAACGGGTGGCGACGCTGTTTGATTCAGTAACGGAGCACCACAAGCGGGTGAGGCAGAGGGGCGGGGAAGCCGTCTCGCAGTTAATGGCGCATTCACGGCCTCAATCTTCCCACCAGAGCCATACGATCCAGATCAAACGGGAGTCCGAAGAACCCAGTCTTCCGGCCCTGCACCGGGTGGCCGCCCAGCGCTCCAGGTCTATGTCAGTCGGGGCGAACCTCAACCCCGGAAAACAGCCATTAGAACCCCATGGTGAGGTGCCTCCTACTCGCCCGGGAAGCAGTCGGGGCCACGCACGGGACATGTCCCTCCGAAGGGTCCAGTCTCATCAGCTCCGCGAGTCGACCGTGCTGGGAGACAGGGACGCATCGCCTATGCCCCGGTCCCTCGATGGGGAGTTGAAACCGTCTACGTCGAAAGACGCCGAGACCGTCATCTCGGAAAACAAGAACATCATCACGCGTACTATCTTGACCTGCATGCGGCTGTACGGCTACAACCGTCCGACGGTTCGCGCGGGGAAGAACCTACCTGGCGCAGGCAACGCTGACCTGAGCCTTCCTCCCGTTGGCGAGGATAAAGATGTTAGACCCAGGACGATGGATGGCATCGCGTCTAATACCGACGAGGACGAGTTCAAGGCCATGTATCACGCCACCTACCGTGCGTCTACGTTCGCGCTGCGGAAGTACCTGAGGGAGTCGCCAGTGGTGGATGGAGGGCATACCAAAAGGGAGGCGCTGCCTCTAGAGAAGGGCAAAGCCATGACGTATATTGACGAGTTTTTGAGGCTATTCTGCGAAGACAATTGAGTCTGAATTGGGTCTGTCTGGTACAGACTATGTGATGATTTACGAACGGGGAATACGGGTAGACTTATAGAGCTAGCACTGAGCGTATATATTTATTTATAAGACAGGATCAACAAAGCCTGCTTATTGAATTCTTAAAGATTGCTCTCTGATGTAGACCGGACTCAAAGTAGTAGGTAACCTGGGTAAGGTATGTAGTAAATAGTAAATACTATGTAGGTCAGATCCCGTGATTTCCGAGCAGCTGGTATGGCTTACTAATCAGCTATCAGCCCCATCTCCGTCCTCATCGTCATCGTCTTCTTCGCACTGCCGCCTTGCTTGCATTCAATCCAGATCCCTCCCCAGCAGAACTGACCCTGCACCTCCCCACATCCTATCGCATATCTAGTAGCCGTCCTCCAACACCAACGCCTTTATGGATGCGTCCGGCAACCGCCTCTTCCGGTGGTCCAAACCGGAATGGCTCAACAACTCGACGGTCCGCAACGCCGGCGTCTACACGGCGGGTGCCCTGGTGAGCCTGCCCCTTGCTCCTTACTCCTTGGACACAGACTAATAAATATTCGATCTGCGACAGTTCTCACTAGGATTCTTCTTCATAATGGACGCCGCGGCCTTCTCGCACAGCGCGCGCAACGGGTCGAACGTCCACGTGAAATTCGTGGACTGGATCCCCGGCATCTGCTCCGCGCTCGGAATGCTCGTCATCAACTCGATTGAGAAGTCCCGGCTGCAGGCGGATAGCTTCAGTTATAGTGGGAATGGAGTGGCGTGGAAAGCGCGCTTTGTGCTGTTTTTGGGGTTTGCGCTGTTGGCGGGTGGGTTGGCAGGGAGTGTGGTGAGTTTTCTGCCTACCTACTGGTATTTTGATTTTATGCATTGGGGAAGTTGCTAATGGATTTGATGTGTATAGACGGTTATGGTGCTCAAGTATCTCCTGCCGTCGTATCCGCTGCAGACGTTGTATTTTGGGATTGCGAACGTTATTGCCAATGCGTTGGTTATGCTCAGGTGAGTGATGACTGGCAGATTCTTCGCTGCGTTGAAGGGATACAATACTAATATATGGGAACAGTTCGGTGGTCTTGTGGGTGTCGCAGAACATAGAAGACGATTATACCTACAACCTTGCGCTATAGCTTGATCTGCTGTCAAAGGAATGGTCCTCTGGCCATCCTCGTCGGTCTTCTCCCAGTCCTGGGTCTGTTTCTAGTTTGTTTGGCTGTTGTGTTTGGGATGGCGTAGTCTTGCGATTTGGCCCATTGTTCTGTCTGTTCTGTCTGTTCTGTCTGTTCTATTCTGTTCTAGCCTTGTCTTATGGTGTGATGAATTATTTACAGCTCATATTTGGTTTAGTCGTAGATTGATTGACTCGTTCGACCCTATCATATATCTACGCTATTCAAGGTATACAGGTTTGATGGAACGTATGGAACGACGAAACTAATGTGCTTCATGGGTATAATAATGTACAATCACGTAGTCACGATCTATATAGTTCCAAACGACACGCGGACAATCCCCGTCAATATGAGGATTACGCACACATGCTGGATGTGCGAATAGGAAAGTAAAACAGGAGTTTCCACCCTGCGAGTCATTCCAGTTCCTCCGCATGGACGTGGTATATGGAGAGTTGGCGCCTAGATCCCGGGGGGATGGCCTCGCGTTCCCTCCTCCCACGTCGTATTAGGTATCCTCCAGGCTACCATAGGATTGGGGAATGCGGCACACGACGACCATGGCGTAATGACGGTAGTATGTTTGATCAATGTGTCTGCCTGGGAAGAAAGGCTTCACTTCAGGCAGCTTGCCACACAGGGCACTCTTGTCAGAAGCCCATCATCAAGTTTCATGGCTGCCAACTGATAACGCAATAACACTCGTCCTGCTGATCATTTTCTCCTTTTTGTTGTTTCTTTTTTCTTTCTTTTTTTATGATATTTTTTATGAAGACGACTCAACAGTGTGCGCCCTCAACTTATCCATAAGCGCATCGATAGTATCCATATCACCCGCATCGACCTTCTCGTCTCTCGGATACTGACCCGACTCAGGCAAATGCTTCGTAAGCTCATCCATAGCCGGCTGATAATTGCGCACAGCCGACGACAGCGCATAGACACTCTTCTTGCGAGCAGCAGGATCCGCATCCGACGTAGCAATAGCCACCAGCTTCGGCACCGCATTGAACAGCACAACCTTATCCTGCGCCTTCTCATTATTCTGCACAGCGGTGCCCACACACCAAGCCGCCATCCGACGCATGTCGGACTCCTCGTGCTGCAGCAGCTCGACCAGCGGCGTCCACAGACCCATGGGCTCCATGTTGTTCGCGTTGTCGATGTTCTCGATCAGCTGCTCGAAGTTGTCGAATGCGACGATCTTGTTCTCGAGGTCGACGTCGGGAGAGTGCAGGGCGGCCATGGAGGCTTTCATGAGGTCGGCGTCGCTGGGCCCGCCGAGCAGGGAGGAGAGCATCTCCGGGTTGAGGCCGCGGGCGGAGGCGTCGGCTGTTTCGGGGTTGGAGTTTTGGATGCTCCATTTGAGCATTTTGTTCATGTTGGGGTCCATTGTGGATTTGTTTTTGTGGTGGTGAAGTTGAAGGAAGATGGAAAATATTATGTAGAATATAGGGTGTATCTTTTGATATCTGAATTCTTTTTGTAGAAGTCGAAGGTAGAGCAATAAGTATATTGATCGAGTAGAGGGAAAAAATAAGTTGACGTTCTCGACTGAGCGGGAAGATTCATCTGGTTCTCCAGCCTACCAGTGGCTTCCACCACTTTCCATTTCCTCTTCTACTAGTAGTTACTTAACTACACTTGAACCATCTATAACCACATATCTAAACCCTCTTAATTATGCTACTAATTAGCAATACCAGATCTAACAACGTGGTGCTATCCAACAAAGTCAATTAGTCACCAGCTACCCCGCCATGCTGGGTTGAACCTTTCGACCCCACCATGTCACCCGTCACAACCATACAAGACGAACGGTCATTCGTGGTATCCAGTGTATTGCCACATATGACATTACCTCAGCTCTAGGCTGGAATCCTCACCCATCAGGAGTCAACCCATTGGGGAAATGAACTGAACGTGTTCGACCGGATTCGTCCCGTGGCGGTCCTGACAGGCTGGGCCGATGTCGATCCAAACAAAAGGCGGTAAAGGGGGTAAGAAACTAGAAAGAAAGGAAGAGGAGAAGAAGAAGGTGGGAATCTCCACTCGGAAGACGGATGAGGCGGCTCTTGGAAGGTGGCCACTGGACTAGTTTACCTCATTAGGGGGGATTCTAGAATGGGTATGGATGATGGATCAGATCATGGATGATGGATCATGGATCCCGGGCCGGAAGGGAACGTTCAACCTTCAGACAATGGACAATGGGGACGAGACAAGAAGCTGGAAGCCTGGGGGAAGGAGAAGAAGGGAGCATAAGGAAAGCAAATCGTCGTCATCTGTGTCCGAGATGGATATGGTCCAAGGGAAAGGCAACCCTGGATCCTGGATGAGCCCCACGAGGATGCGCAAGCCTGGCCATTCTTCTATTTTATCGTACGTATTCTTTTCCTTTTCTCTATCTTTCGCCCTTTGCCATCGAACATCTCCGCCACGATTACAGCAGATTAGGTACCGTCGTTACAGTCACTACGACTGGTATTCGATTGTGGTGTTTGAGAAAAGGATTGGATGATATCTCTTCTGCCTGAGAGGCAACTCTTTTTGTAGTGGATAGGGGAAGGAGTACGTAGTAATGGATACGTATACCGTTCGAATAAGAGTATAGGGATATCAGATCATATTGAAGATGGATCCCATGAATTAACTACTTGACTACTGTTTCTTATTATAACCAGAGATCAGGGGGGTGTTTCTTACCTAAGAGACTATTGGTACAGAATACGGGAGAGTACGGTAATCTATCCCTTTTCCCTCTGTTCTTCGCTGCCCCCATTCGGGATACCGTCCCATACATACGATACATACACATCATACCGTACATACCGTATGGTACTAGCTCCTCCCTTTTCCCTCCCTTTTCCCTCCTTCTTTCCCTCTTTTTCCCACCTTAACTAACCAACTTTCCACCACCAAAACATCTCCATCCCTACTCACTCCATCTCTCTCTCACCTTCTCTCTTCTTCTTCCTCTCTTCTTCCTCTCTCTCTCCTACCTTCACCTCCACCTTTCACAACTCCAACTACTCCTTCAATTCTCCCATTCCATCCTCTTTTTCTTCTTCCTTCTTTCTCCCTTTCTCCCCGTAGTTTTTAATCTCTATTTCCGTCATCATGGAAGGTAAGCTAGCTTCCGGCCACCTCAGCGCCTTGCTTCCTCCCTACCCCTCCTCCCCCAGCTCCTCTCCCCCTCCCCCTCGACTCCTTCCACAGTCATTAACCATCTCTTTTTCATCTCTACAGAAGAAGTCGCTGCTCTCGTTATCGACAATGGGTATGTCTTGATCCATTTCTGATGGTTCCATCCGACGATCGTCGTCGGATCCCCCCTCCTTGATTAGACGGGAGAATTGCACACAATCATCGACTCTGTGTCGATGAGACCGTTCCTCGCTCTCAAAATACGTGCACAATGCGAATCCAGCAACTGGATTCGCAGTAGGAGCTCGATTGTGTGGCATCGTTGATGGACGGATATGCTGACGTTGATCCCTTAGTTCGGGTATGTGCAAGGCCGGTTTCGCCGGTGACGATGCTCCCCGTGCTGTCTTCCGTAAGTTATCCCCCATAAAGTTTTGTGTTACCAGAGCCTGGTCTCCATGCAGCCCTTGCATGGGGTGGCTCTGGGAAACAACCTTAAATTCCCCCGTCCATAAGTTCAGTCACTAATAAAAAGTACAGCCTCCATTGTCGGTCGTCCCCGTCATCATGGGTAATTATCGTCCTTCCCCCCTATCCTCCGGGCGGTCAGCTGACCCTCGCAGTATCATGATCGGTATGGGCCAGAAGGACTCGTACGTCGGTGACGAGGCTCAGTCCAAGCGTGGTATCCTCACCCTGAGATACCCCATCGAGCACGGTGTCGTCACCAACTGGGATGACATGGAGAAGATCTGGCATCACACCTTCTACAACGAGCTCCGTGTCGCCCCCGAGGAGCACCCCGTCCTCTTGACTGAGGCCCCCATCAACCCCAAGTCCAACCGTGAGAAGATGACCCAGATCGTCTTCGAGACCTTCAACGCCCCCGCCTTCTACGTCTCCATCCAGGCCGTCCTGTCCCTGTACGCCTCCGGTCGTACCACCGGTATCGTCCTGGATTCCGGTGACGGTGTCACGCACGTGGTCCCCATCTACGAGGGTTTCGCCCTCCCCCACGCCATCTCGCGTGTCGACATGGCTGGCCGTGACTTGACCGACTACCTGATGAAGATCCTGGCCGAGCGTGGCTACACCTTCTCCACCACCGCCGAGCGCGAAATCGTCCGTGACATCAAGGAGAAGCTCTGCTACGTCGCCCTCGACTTCGAGCAGGAGATCCAGACCGCCGCCCAGAGCTCCGGCCTCGAGAAGTCGTACGAGCTGCCCGACGGACAGGTCATCACCATCGGCAACGAGCGCTTCCGTGCCCCCGAGGCCCTCTTCCAGCCCAGCGTTCTGGGTCTGGAGAGCGGTGGCATCCACGTCACCACCTTCAACTCCATCATGAAGTGTGATGTTGATGTCCGTAAGGATCTGTACGGCAACATTGTCATGGTATGATTCCCCCCTTACTTTGATCCCGTGTGGAAGAGCCTTGTTTCTAACAAGACTAGTCTGGTGGTACCACCATGTACCCCGGTATCTCCGACCGTATGCAGAAGGAGATCACCGCCCTGGCGCCCTCGTCCATGAAGGTCAAGATCATCGCGCCCCCGGAGCGCAAGTACTCCGTGTGGATCGGTGGTTCCATTCTGGCCTCTCTGTCCACCTTCCAGCAGATGTGGATCTCCAAGCAGGAGTACGACGAGAGCGGACCCTCGATCGTCCACCGCAAGTGCTTCTAAGGTATTTCTCTATATTTTTTCAGCATGAATCTATCTGTCAGATGTCTGACTTGTACAGCTCTTGCGCGTGATTCGTTCGTATTTCCCTGTATTAAAAGACCGGAGCTGTGGTGACTGGCGGGCCTTCTCTGGACTCGCACTAGGGAGATTGTCTGAAAAAGGGCATTGTTTTCGGCTGTGGAATAGAGATGGGTCGATTTGGGAGACGCTGTGTCACGCGGTGCAGGGGCAACTCTGCCGGCAGCAAGGCGGGAAGAGGAGAGTTCGGAGGAGCAACGGTGCGACGGACCGCGGAGATGGACATGGGAACCGTGTGGTGAAAGCTGGAGACCCCGACCCCGTTTCACGTTTCATATAGTTCGACACTTCCTGTGTGAATCCCGGTTTTTTCTTTTTTTTTTTTACCATGTCGTGCCGTTTCTTGCGATCTTCTCGCCTACGGGCTGGGTTACATATCCTATCTTCTTACCATGCTGCTGAGAATGTTGATTTCCGTGGAGTGATTAGCAAGGTTTCTTTATTTATTATAACTTTTTTTTTCTTCACCTTTGTCTGTTTGGTTGAGTGTATGACCAATCGCATATATAGTCGTATTAGATGAGGTGGTCTACTGTAGTTATAGATCAATTATCTAGGATATACTGAGTTGGACAAGATAAGCATCAAGAGTGATGCATCATTCATTTGACCTACTTTCAATCTAATACACGGTGTCTGCAGTCTGTCTATCCATCTCTATCCATCTGTCTCTATCTGTCTCTGTCTGTCTGTGTATCCATCTCTCTGTAAATATCATATTCAAGTATATCTCATCTAAACAAACACATCAAATAAAACAGTTCAAACCAACCAACCAACCAACCAACCAACCAACAAATCAAACCCCTCCCTCATCAAACAAAAACATAAACAACATTTATTTAAAAACCACAAACAAAAGGGTTAAGACACAGGGTGAGAGTCAAGAAACTCAATCCCAGCTCTCCAACCCACTCAACACACACCCTTCCTTATCAACCTCATCGCCCTTCTTCGCCTCCAACGTGCCGATAACGTAGACCGACTCGCCCTCAGCTTGGAGAAGGTCCTTGACGGCGGTAGCAGCGTCCGCGCTCACAGCGATGAGCATACCCACGCCGCAGTTGAATGCGCGAGCCATCTCGGTAGACGAGACGTTACCGGTTTGCTTGAGCCATTTGAAGACCGGGGGCAGAGACCAGGCTGTGACGTCGATGTGGGCTGCGAGGTGGGCGGGGAGCATGCGGGGGACGTTGTCTGTGAGACCGCCGCCGGTGATGTGGGCGAGGCCTTTGATGGAGGCGGAGGAGGGGGAAGAGAGGGCTTTGAGGAGGGGTTTGACGTAGATTTTTGTCGGGGTGAGGAGGGCGGCGCCGAGGGTTTGGGGGAGGAGGAGGAGGGCATGGGGAAGGGGGAGGGGTCGGTGTAGGTGAGGCCGGAGCGGTCGACGATCTTCCGCACGAGGGAGTAGCCGTTTGAGTGTGGGCCGGAGGAGGCGAGGGCGAGGAGGACGTCGCCGGGTTGCATGGCGGCGGTGTTGGGGAGGATGGGGCGGGCGTGGTCTCCCGAGGTGTTGATTGCGCCGACGGCGGCGCCGACGGCGTCGTAGGCGTCGTCTGTGAAGAGGCCCGGCATTTCGGCGGTTTCGCCGCCGATGAGGGCGCAGCCGGCTTGGACGCAGCCGGCGGCGACGCCCTTGACGAAGGCCGCTGCGGTGGGGACGTCGAGCTTGCCGCAGGAGTAGCAGTCGAGGAAGAAGAGGGGCTCGGCGCCTTGGACGACGAGGTCGTTGACGTTCATGGCGACGAGGTCGATGCCGACTGTGTTGTGGATGCCGACTGCGTGGGCGACCTTGAGCTTGGTGCCGACGCCGTCGATGGCGCCGATGAGGGTGGGCGAGAGCGGGTGGTAGGTTTTGTTGGCGGCTGCGAGGGAGAAGAGGCCGCCGAAGCCGCCGATGACGGCGTCGGTGCCGGGGCGTTTGGTTTGGGAGACGGAGGATTTGATCTGTTGGACGAGGTCGTTGCCTGCGTCGATGGAGACGCCTGCGGCGGCGTAGGTGAGGGAGGAGGAGGAGGCGGCGGCGGCGGCGTCGCGTTGGCGGAAGGCGCGGTGAGCGATGTCTTTGCGGTAGAACATGCCGTCGAAGTGGATGGTGGCGATGCCGGCGTAGCTGCGGCGGACGGCCTCTTCGAGGCTGCTCGCCGTGGCGGTCGCTGCGATGACACGGCCGCCGGCGGTTTGGAGCTGGCCGCCGGCCAGGCTGGTGCCCGCGTGGAAGATGAGGGTGTCGGCCGGGGCGGCGTCGAGGGTGATGGGCTGGCCCTTGCCGTAGGCGTTGGGGTAGCCGCCGGCGACGGCGACGACGGTGGTGGAGAAGTCGGGCTTGACGCGGATGGTGACGCCGTCGAGCCAGTGCTCGGTACAGGCGACCATGATCTCGGCGAGATCGGTGTCGTCCGTGAGCAGGGGCAGGAGCGTCTGGGTCTCGGGGTCGCCGCCGCGGACGTTGTACTCAAGGACCTTGGGCCCGTTGCGGGTCATCATCAGGCCGGTGAAGAGGATGCCGACGAAGGGGAAGCCGTCGCGGCGCATGCCGTCGACGGAGGGCTGGACGATGGTGCGGTCGACCTCGGCGAGGATCTCCGGGGAGGAGATCGGGGTCGGGGCGTAGCAGCCCATGCCGCCGGTGTTGGGGCCCTGGTCGCCGTCGAAGATGCGCTTGTGGTCCTGGGCGGGGGGCAGGGAGCGGATGGTGTAGCCGTCGCTGAAGGTGAGGACGCTCAGCTCGTCGCCCTCGAGGTACTCCTCGATGACGACCTCGTTGCCGGCGGCGCCGAACTGGTGGTCGAGCATCATCTCGCGGAGGGCCTGGTGGGCCTCCTCCTTGGTGGCGGGGATGATGACGCCCTTGCCGCCGGCGAGACCGTCGGCCTTGATGACGACGTTGTGGGAGACGGAGTCGAGGTACTGGCGGGCGGGTTCGTACTCGGAGAAGTTCTCATAGACGGCGGTGGGGATGTTGTGACGCTTCATGAAATCCTTGGAGAAGGTCTTGGAGCCTTCCATGCGGGCGGCGGCCTTGGAGGGACCAAAGCAACGGATGCCGACTATTCAATCAGCCTATCTGCAATTTGTAACAACCGGTCTGGCAGGAAGAAGGGTAATATACCAGCCTGGAAATAGCCCTGAATACCCTCCACAAGCGGCGCCTCGGGACCAGGCACCACCAAATTAACACCATTCTGCTGCGCAAACTTCACCAGACCGGGATAGTCATCGCCCTTGACATCGGCGCTGGCGATCTTGCCATTGTCACCCAGGCCGGTGCCACCGTTTCCGGGAGCGACGTAGACGGCGTCGACGCGGGGCGACTGACTCAGTTTCCAGGCGAGGGCATGTTCGCGGCCACCGTTGCCGACGATGAGGACGCGCAATTGATCTTGGTCTTGCGAGGGCATGGTTGCGCAGTGTTCGAGTGACCTATATTTTATCAGGACAGGATAAGATTAGAGAGAGTGATCTTGTATAGGTGGAAGGAGGGGAAGATGATGACCCCGCGGGTTCTGCATTTCTGCATGAGGGTGGAAGTGGGGCACGGAAGATTAAGAGTGAGTGACTCACCTCGGACGAGAGTCTCTTGGAGACCAGACTGCGTGGAGCAGATAATTGAAAAGATGGAGAGGAAGGTGGGAAGGGTTGGATAGAGAGAAGAAGAAGAGAAGAAGAAATCAAGAAACGGAGATCAAGAATTGACTTTTTTTTTTTTTTTTTTTTTTCTTTTTTTTATTGCGGGGCGGATTATTCTCCGTTCCCCGGATTGGGTTCTTCCTCCATTCAGATATAGATCATTGAGATCATACAAATCAACTATTTAGTTATGTATATAGATAGATAGATAGATGGATGGATGGATGGATATTAGTTCTCTCAATCAGTCTTTATCTTATTGTCTTTCTTGTGCTATGGAGGAAGATACGTTGTACCGTTCCTGATCTACTACCCCACCACTCCGACCCATGGACAATCTGAATATTATATACCCCATATCAATACAGTGCCAGTTCGGCTCTATTCATACACGAGACTATATATCTCCGTCATTCTGTTAGATCTGAGGACATGATCAAAATAATAAGAAAGAAAAAAAAGTAAGGAAAGTCTTCCAACGCCGGTAATGCGGGCGCCCATAGATATGCCAGCCCAAGAACGCCTGCTGTGGCGCCTGCCTGTGATTAAGGTGCCTGTCCGGAGGCACATCCCAAAATAAACAAAAGGAAAAGGAAAAGGAAGAAAAGGAAAGAAGGCGCCATGGAACACCAGGCTAAAACAATGAGGGAATGTCACTCGGGAGCAAGATTGCTCCCTCCAGGAGAATTCGGGGGAAAAAAAAGAAAGAAAAGAAAAAAAAAAGACTGTAGACCTCGACTAGCGAAATCGTTCATCACTCATGCAATCCGGTCAAAGGGAGAAGAAGATCACTCTCCCCAATTCCAGTGGGGAGGCGTCCAGTCCACCTGGGGTGGCCCCTCGTCCGACACACACACCGCCGGCGTCGTCATCTGCTCCATCCGTCGTCGCTCCTTCGTCCCGCTCCCCGTCAGGAAGTTCTTCAGCGTCGACGACGCCGTCCCGTATGCGCTTCGCGCACTGGCTGCCGTCCCCGTGCTCGTCGACACCGTGCTCGAGCTGCGCGCGCTGCGCACGCTGCGCGTTTTGTACATCGTCGCCGGTAGCGGGGATACCGGCGCCGCCAGCCGTCGGGATGGCGTGCCCCCTGCCGCACCGGATCTCGGCCACACGGTCGGCGCAGCCGGCCCCGCCAGCCCGGCAAACGGCGCCGTCTGCGGTCGCTGGCCGGCGTTGACCGCGGTCCGGCGACCCCCGTCGAGACGCCCGTCCAGCTCCAGCGAGCTCGGGTGGCTGCTCCCGTCGCTGGGTTGGGGCGACGGCGGCAGCCGGTCTGTCGTGGGCGGCGAGGAGGACACGACCTCGTCGGCGGAGATGGTCACCTCGAATTTCAGGTGGTCCAGCATCGTCGCGAGACTGGTCGCCGTGGTCGGACGCCCCTCGCTGCGACCGTCGTCGAGGTCGAGGTCGTCGGCGACGGCCCCGTCACCCCCGTGGGCCAGGTGGTAGTTCCGGAACAGGTACCGCTGCAGGCGCGCGCCCTCGGCGTCCCACTTCTGCGTCAGCGCGTGGAGGATGACCTCCACGTCGTGGTGGAGGAAGGGCGTGGTCTCCGCGGCGGCCAGGTGGGCCGGCGCCGACGGGCCCGACCGCCGCAGCGGACCGGTCGGGTGGGAGTGGGCGGACGGCTTGGTCAGCCGCGACCCCGTCGTCGCGTGCTTGCCGCTGCCCCCGGTCATGGCCACCTGGAGGGACCGGCGGATCGCGGTCGTGGCGGAGGACGTGGAGGAGCTCGGCCCCAGGGTGCCGTCCCGCTTCACCCCCTCGACCTCGCGGCGCACCTTCTCCAGCGACCGGGCCCGATCCCCCTCCATGCCCGAGAGGCTCAGGAGGGTCCGGTTCCGCTGCAGCCCGTTGACCAGGACGGTGAAGGACTGGAGGTTGAGGTCGTTGTTCTCGCAGTGGACGGCGCGGAGGCTGCGGTTCTCCTCCAGCACGGTCGACAGCGTGCTGGCCCCCTGCAGGCCCAGCTTCTGGTGCTCGACCCGCAGCACCTGCAGCGTCCGGTTGCGCTTCAGCCCCGTCAGCGCCAGGTTCAGGCCGATGCCGAACCGCGCCACGTCGAGGTGGGCGCTCTCCCCGCTGATGTCCAGGTCCTCCAGCGTCTCGTTCTCCTCGAACATCCGCTGCAGCGACCGGCACGTCTCGGGCCCCGCGTCGGCCGGGAGGGAGGCCTTGGCGATGTCCAGGTGCGTCACGGTGCGGTTGACCCGCAGGGCCTCGACGAGATCCCGGAACTGTGCCTCCGTCTTGAAGTCGATCATGCGCATGGACAGGTGGGTCGGGGCCTTGTCCTGGGCGATCGCGTCGCACAGGAAGGCGCAGCCCAGATCCAGGCGGTTCTCGTTCACGTGCAGGTGCAGGCGGCGCGGCCCGTCGGCGAGCGCCATCGAGTGCAGGAAGAGGGCGACGTCCTGGCCCGTGAGGCCGCACTGGTCGAGCCGGAGCACCCGCAGGTTGCGCGACTGGTCGCTGGCCAGGTAGGTGGCCAGGGCGTCGACCGACTCGCGGTTCAGGGCCGTGCGGCTCAGGGCGAGCTCCTCCAGGCGCCAGTGGAACAGGGTCTCGGCGGAGAGGAGGGGCTCGGTGCCGGACACACGCGCGATGCGCGACAGGTCGAGCGTCCGGATGTGGGGGAAGTGGCCGAGGTACTGCCGGAGGAGATCCGGGTCGAGGCGGCCCTGGACGCCGGCGATGTTGACGGCCTCGAGCGAGGCGCCCTGGGCGACCGTGGTCGACAGCAGGAGGTCGAGGTCGTGGACGGACAGGCCGCAGTGGCCGACCTCGAGGGCGCGCAGGTGGCTCCCCCGCTGGGAGGCCGCGTCGACGAGGTAGTCGAGGTCGGAGTCTCCCAGCCGGATGCCGGTCAGCACGATCCAGTCGACGTTGGTCATCTCGCGGCGGCAGACGGGGAAGAGGGCCTCGGGGATGCCGCACCCCGGGTCCCGGCTCTCGCTGTCGGCGGTCGGGATGCGGCCGGAGGTGTAGGCGAAGTCCAGGCGCCGGAGCCAGCGGCTCTGCAGGGCCAGGGCGCGGATCTCCTGCGACAGCACGGACAGGATCTCCTGGCCCGGGATGTGGACGGGGTCGCCGTCGCGGGTCCGCAGCAGGTCGGTGTCGAAGCCGTGGGGGTCGCGGACGCCCTGGAGGGCGTCGAGGCTCACGCCGGCGAAGGAGATGGAGCGGAAGGATTCGTTGTAGCGCAGCGTGCGCATCACGGCGATCAGCTCCAACGGGGAGTAGCGCTGGCGGGGGGCGCCGGCCGGGGGCAGGAGGCGGAAGCCGGGGGCGTCGTCGCCCTGGCCGTCGTCGATGGTGTAGCGGATGTTGGAGGTGTCGACGTCGAAGCTGGCCGAGTAGGCGACCAGGGTGCGGTCGAAGCAGCCGTAGTCCTCATCGAGGTCCACGGGGGGGAAGTTCTGGTGGTTCTGCAGGTCGCGCGGGACGATAAAGTCGTAGGGCTGGCGGGTCCAGAGGGGCCGCAGGAACTCGGTCTGGCGACGGATCCAGCAGGCGATCTCGAGCGAGTGGACGGAGGCCAGGAAGACGGAGAAGGGGCGGCGCAGCGGGACGCGGAAGGTCAGGTGCAGGCTGTCGTCCCCCCACTCCATGGACAGGCAGGTCAGGTTCATCAGGCCGAAGGAGGCGGCCGCGGAGGCGTCGAGATCGGCCAGGGAGACGGCGGAACCGCGGCCGGTGACGATCTTGTGCAGCGGGATGAGGTGGAGCTTGTGGGAGCCGAGGGCCAGGTAGCAGCCGGTGGGTGACAGCTTGGTGAGGTCGTCGGAGGAGGGGCAGCGGCGGCGGCGGCGGCGGCGCGGGTGGTGGTGGGCGAGGGCTTGCTCGAGGCCATCTGGATGACGCGGAACATGCGGAAGGTGTGAGGATCGTAGTCGCGCTCGTGCTCCAGCACGCGGGTGACACACTCGAGGGGCTTGGGGTCGAAGGGGAGCGGGCGCGACGCACGGGCCAGCCCCGCGGCGGAGCGGATCCCCACCATCCACAGGCTGAGCTCCTGGAGATCGAGGGTCTGCATCTGGATGAAGGTGGCCTTGTGGGCGCGGTCGTCGAGGTAGGCGACCTCGACGGTGGAGGAGGGGCGACCATCGTCGAGCATGTAGACGGCGACGATGCTGTGCAGGGAGATGCCGGCGGCGGGATCCGTGGCGGAGGCTGCGAGCTGCGGGTCCTGCACGGAACTGACGGAGGCGATGGATTGGCGGTTTGCGGCCGTGCGGGCAAAGGAGGGCGGGATGGAGGGGAAGACGTCGGCGGCCTTGCTCTGATTCTTGAAGCGGACGAGGTGGGTCTCGGTCAGGACGAGGTACTGGCTCTTCTTGCGCCACATGCCGCCGGTGGTCTGGACCTCGCCGTGGTGGAGGATCATGGAGCCGATGCCGTCGTCATCGTCGAGGACGACAGACGAGGCGGCTTTGGACCGATTGAGGGAGTGGTTGTCGTCGTCGAGGGAGTGCAGCGACCGCAGGGACCCGAAGACGGAGGCGCGCTTCTTCTGCTGGATGGATTTCCGGCGGGGGCGAAGGGTATCGTGAGGGGTGACCATCCCGTTGGGAGCCAGGAGGGAGTCGACCGTGCCGGCACGGCGGTGGCTCTGGGGGATGGCAGCGGCATCCGGGACGGGACTGGGGTTCCGGGCGCCGAAGAAGCCGGAATTTCGACGGGATCTCTTCTTGCGGGTGTGAACATCGTCGGACGGGGAGCGATCGTGGGCGGGGGGCCGAAGAAGGGGGCGGCGGAGGCGGAGGGACTGAAGACACTCAGACTTTTTCTCCGTTCCTTCCTCGCGGGACCTTCAGCCATGGTGGCGAGGAACGGAAGGGGGAGAGACGGAGTATAGCGTGGAGAGTGGAGAGTGGAGGGTGGAGAGATGGAGGGAAGATAGAAGGGAAGGATTGAAGGAGGGGGAGGGGAAGAGAAAGAGTGGGGAGAGACAAGAAGCAAGAAAAAGAGAGAGAGAGAGAGAGAGAGAGAGAAAGATGGCCCGAAAAGACTAGAAAAGACCGGGAACCAGGTCAGCGATGATGTTTTAGAAGATGAGGAGATGGTAAGACAACAATCGGGACTAGTGACTAGGGTGGTGGAGAAGAACCCAGGGAAGCCAAGGAAAACAAAGGACCTACAGGAGGTGTTGGGAGTCAGGATGCCATGGGACGAACGAGGCTCATCTGGACTGGAATTCCGGGGGATTCCAGAGGTGTCGAGTACAACAAACCTGTTGTTGATCTAGTGATTGAGACGGCTGAAAGAATCGGGAGGACGAATGTTTGATCGGATGGAATTGGAATTGGAAGAAGAAGAAGGGAATCCCGTCAAGAGAGTGGATGGAATTGAAATATTGAATGGATGGATTGATAATAGACAAGAGGAATGGAAGGAGAACAGAATGAAATGGATGAAATGGATGAAATGGATGAAATGGATGGAGAGAATGAAGTGAAAAAGAGAGAGTCAAGAAGAAAGAAAGTGAAGAAGAAGAAGAAGAAGAATGAAGAGATGAAGAAGAAATGAGATCAGAAATGCAGATCGGAAGCGAATCCACAGGACCCGACCGAGGGAGTGGATGATGTCAAGGGGGCGATGATCGTTTGCGATCCGAATGCATTGGAATGTGGATTGGGATTGAATCGAATGGAGAGAGGATTGGATGAAGGAAACGATCCAGCCGGATGCAGAAGAGAAGAAGTCGAGATGAGGAGAAGAGAGAGAGAGAGAGAGAGAGAGAAGTGAAGAAGAAAAGAATGTGCCAGATCCCTGACACCTGACGGATCTGGCACATTCTTCTTCACTTCTTCCCTTCTGTCTTTACTCTACTCTTCTCTTCTACATCGCTTCTCTTCTTTACTTCTCATCTTGACTTCTCATCTCGACTTCTCCAACTCTCCACTAGCAGAGATGATCACCACTCATGCCTATTCCGTCCTGGTCAATCCCCTGAATCCAGCAGATCCCAATGACATCAATGACGCCATGCCATTCCTTTCCTTCCAACTCGACTTCGGTCAGTCAGGTCATCCTGATAGTCCAGATCCTGCCAATCCCCTAGAAAGAACATAAAGTACGATATCGAGATACATGGAGAACTCCTGATTTATCCGAGACAGGGAGCTCCATCGTTCCTGGTTCGAACCATGGTTATCTTCCCGGACTCCATCTCCGCCTTTATCCGGGACATAGAATCAGGAACTCTTTCTTAGACTCGGAATTCAAATAAAAGGTCGACGTCTATATGTAATTTTTAACTGATGATAGAATCATGCTATTGATACAATCCATTATGATCTGTCGCTTTCCAGCGAGCTCCGGGCCTCCGTGCTGAAAGGCTGGCAAGATCTTATCTACCTAGCGCAAGTCTATGTATGCCGGTAACTTCCAAGAAAAAGAAAAAGAAAAAGAAAAATACTAAAAGGATATAAGGGGTACAAAGACATTGGGAAGAATTGGGAAGAAAGGATCAACAAGACAAGCCAAGAAAATTCTCCCAAGCAAACAAGCTGTCAAATAGCATCCGAGTGCCCTGCCTCGCAGCGGCTCCCCGAACAACAGATCGCGATCATCTGGCCAAAACATGTACACGGCGAAGCCTTAAACCACAGTAAATTAGGATGTAAAACAGGCGCTCGAGGCAAAGCTGGATCCCGTAAACTCCATGCATGCACGCCAAAGGAGACGGAACTCTCCGGGGGGAGGAAAAACGTAAAGGAGCCACCCGGGAGGAGAAATCAGAGGGGGGAGGGAAGCTTGAAAGATGTAGGAAGGGTCGTGTCACGCGGGCATCTAACGCTAGTAAAGCAAATGATGACAACAAAAGAAAATAAGAAACGAAAATTCAATCACGTCGACTGTAAAGTTCATACGACGTTTCGGTCGCACCGCCTATCTCCTCGTCCTCTTTGAAACTCACCCGACGCAACAGGGTGGGCATGACGCCCCGGCGCGTCGGGGAGGAGCGGCGGGACCCCGACAGGAACGATGGGATCTTGGTGTACCGGTAGCGGTACTTGGATCCCAGCAGCATGAGCCGCCCGTACATCCACCAGGCGGCGAACCCGACCGTGCCGGCGAGGATACAGCCGAGGAGGGTGAGGAAGACCCAATGCTGGCCCATCCAGAAGATCAACCGGGCGTCGGACCCGTGCCAGCTGTTGCCGACGTGGTGGGTGAAGAAGCTCCACGAGTACCGGTTGTACTCGTCCTGCATGAGGATGCGGACGCGCCCGGCCTCGGTGATGCGCTCGTGCATGTACTCCTTCCAGATGACGGAGAGGAAGAGGGGACCCGTGGTATACATGACGGTGATGTAGGGGAGCAGCCAGCTGCGGTCGTAGGACTGCAACAGCTCGATCACGCGGAGGAAGAACGGGTGTTGGGGGACCGAGCCCATGGCGTCATTGGATATCCCCGTGGGCGCGGTGCGGCGCACCCAGGCGGGGTAGGCGAGGAGAGGATCTAAGCGACGGTTGCAGCCCTGCGAATGTCAGATCTGTAAATGTTAGGCAGAAAGGACTGTAGATACGTACATCGTCGAGATCAATGTAGGTGCCACCGTAGTGGGCGAGGACAAAGTATCGGATGGAATCGGCGCGTTGGATGGGGAACTTGTAGCCGTCAAAGGTGTCGAGGAACCAGGGATATTCGTGGGCGATAAACTCGCGCGCCTTTTCATTCGTCCACAACTGAGCGACAGGCGAGTTAGTATGTATAGGATGGAAGAGAGCAGACGGGTGGGAGAAGACATACGATGTATTCATAATCCGGATGCAACTCGATACAACTCCGTTGCGCATCCTTCCAGACCTCGGGAATGGTCTCGTTCTTGTAGGTCTGGTGGATAATCTTGGGAATGATCTGAGGACGTTGTTCGATCAAGCTGGAATTGGGCGAGGGGAGCTCGGCGCGGTGGATGGAATCGGCCGAGGCATCTTCGATGAGCAAGGAGAGCAAGGTCGAGACGCTGCGGACGAGGAAGGAGAGGATGAGGAAGTTGACGAGCAGGAAGATGATGACGCCGCGACGCATGGTGTCGGTTTGGGACAGGGCCTTGAATTGGCACCTGTTTGACGGGGGGGGGAGAGGGAGATGAACAGGCAATCCAATTCCACCCGCGAATTCACCAGACCAATATACCACCACTCGAGAACAATTGAACGGGGGGGGAGGGGAGTCGAAAGAGAGGAATCAACGGTGGTCAATCAATACCCATTCAGCTGGTTGTTGGAGGGACGGTTTGGAGGGACGAGTTGGAAGGATGGGGAGGGACAGGATGCGATGCAGTCCAGATGCGAAGGTGGCAGTGAAGGTCGGAAAGAAAACTTGTTGTGTTTAGGTGTGACGGCGTGACAGGAGGGCAAAATGACAGCCAATCCCTTCCTAGTTTAGTGGGGGGAGGTATTTTTTGGGGGGGGGGAGAGAGAGTCCAAGAGAGAGTGGCCCCGTGGGTGGAGACTAAAGACTGGAGACTGGAGAGACTGGAGACCAAATAGAGGATCCCAAGGGGGAGACGGGGCGAAAGAGAGGAAAAAAGGAACGTTGAATTGAAATCAAATGAATGGAGCCGTGAAGGGACCGCGGGAGGAGAAAAAAGGTGAAAAAGGTAAGGACGGACAAGAAGGTTTGGAACCACGAGCGGCGAAGTGGGAATAATTTGCGACCTTTTTTTGTTGGGTCCTTTTTCTTTTTTTTTTTTTTTTTGCTGGACCAGGGGATGAGAAGGTGAGTGGATGAATGGATGGAGGAGAATGGAGACTGGAGAATGGAGAGATGGGGAAAAGGAGACGGGGTCAATCTTTCTTTTTTATTAATTGTTCTTTTTTCTCCTTTTGTATTATTTTGTATTCTTGTCCTTATTTGGTTGAAGATAGATTGAATTGAGATATAAGGAATGAAGGGTGAACCGTTACTTAAGATGAACAAGAGAAGGAATGAATGAACGACACCGAGTAAGGCGTCCCAAGATACTCCGTACAGTGGAGAGAGAAAAGAAAAGGAAGAATAGGTAGAGTCAAGAGCAAGAATGAATCTAACTGCCTACAGAAGGATAACCCAGGCTAACCAGCAGACTACGCACTAGTTAAGGGTTCAGGGGTTCTTTGGTTGAGCTAAGCCTCCCCATCCATTATGAGTATTACCATTACTATTGTCCAGCCTCGTCATCGTGGCGGTTCCCTCGGTAGGAGGACTCTGTATCCGTACTAGGTTGCCATATTATATTCCCTGAATAGATAATTCTATGTCGAATATCCAGTCCAATCATGGAAATACTTACGTGGCGCTCTCATGTCCTCAGGTGCAGCCTGTCAGGTACAGTCGCCTCTTGAATCCCTAGGGATTGATCTGGATACTGGCCACTGTCTCCACTGGGCTAACCAGAATAAACTCAAGGAGTGGGCTCTTCCTCATTTGTTTCTTGGTTTTTTTTTTTTTTTTTTTTCTTCTTCTTCTTCTTCTTCTTCTTCTTCTTCTTCTTCTTACCTTTTCTTTGCTTTCTTTTTATTACCTTTTCGTAAAGAATAGAAAGAAAGTAGAAGAGCGAGTAATGTACCTGCTATAGCTGGACTGCAGTTGTACGCCGCACTGTCGTACCACCTGCAGCTGCAGCAATACTGAGTACTCCGTACTGACTACTGACAGACCGAAGACACTAAGAATGGAACGGCTCAAGAGTTAGTACGAAGCACTAATCCTCCACTCAAGAGGGGGCGAAAGATATCAGATCTCAATCACGTTAGACAATGCCCATCGGTGGAACTTGGCCGAGGACTGTCTGGTACTATAATGGCCGGTCCAATGGAGAAGGTTTATTAGTATGTGACCATTCTCTCGATTCTCATTCTTCGTGGTACTGCGGAGAGACCCTGACTCTTTCCTGGTTGTGGTCGGATAGTATAACATATAACCGAGGAATGGAATGAATAAGTAAGAAAATGACTGAGACATGTCTCCAAAAGCACAGGGGCCAGGGTTAGAAGTTCGAACGTAGGAGGATCGATTGAATTCTTCTGGAAACTGCATGGAGGATAGTGGAGATGACCTGGTGTGTGCGTTCTTTTCCGTCAGTCTGTGCAACAGGCGGAGATGAAATTCCGTCTTCATCTATATCTAATACACCAGTTGAAAGACGAGATGCACATCAACCTCTCACAGACGGAGGACACAAAAGATGAGAGATTCAAACCCTCTTCCCCCAATTGGCCTGGTGGAAGACGGGTGGAACCATTGGGTGGATTTGCTACGCACATCCCAGACTTTGACTATCCGACGCGTGGACACTGGAGTGAAGTGGAAGTGGAAGTGGAAGTGGACACTGCACACTGACAGACCTGCAAGTGACGAGTGAAGACGGTAGAAATGGTCTGTCAGAGCCATGTTTCATCTCTTCTCTGCCTCATCAGTCCAGTGACTCCAGTCCGACTCCATGGTTCAGTAGTATGAGTGATGTCATTCATGAATATCTATCTATTATCTATCTATCATTATTTTATTGAATCCAATAGAACCATACTATCATTCCCCAGATATTTCTGACCACTTAGCCACTGATGAACCCTCCCTCCCGCTACCTAGTAAGGTACCTATGAGATACGGACAAATCTGACGTCAGAAACACACCACAGCCCCAACCCAAATATTCCAAAATACAAGTGGAAAGATCGTCAACCGCCATGCAGCCCCTGGTCTGTTCATCGCCTGTCAATCTTTCTCTTTTGAGGATGATCTCCTGTTTTTAGCCTTTTTTTTTCGTTTCTTTTTCTGTATTTCCCTTCCCCCTTTTTTTTGTGGTAATATAGCTCGGTTGAGGTGTTTATTACTGGGTGTCTTTCTGGTGGTGAGTTTCAAAAAAGATATAATAGAATTAAATAAAAGAAAAAGAGAAATACACTACAGCGTACTCACATCTAGTCATCTACACGATATAACTACTTTAAGATACACTTTGTCAGACAAAACTAAAAACAGAGCACAATCAGTGAATCTCACCCATGAAGTCATCCAACAGATCGACACAGCGTCTACCCCATCCGGAAGCCAGCCCCATCCCCAGCCTTCAACTCTGTCGCCCTGTCGCTCTGGATACCAAGATAGAGATACATACATAGATCGCCATGAGGCTGGCTGCCAATTGAGCGGAAAGTCTAAGTATACATAGTATACAGTACAGCCTTGCAGCGGACGGGCACAGCCTCGTGTCAATCTTCCTTCAATTTGTGTCTCACGTCAACGCCTGTTGCTTTTGGACACTTGTTCTTGCAGTGGGCGTTGCCCTGTCTATTGAGGATTGTTTATGTATGTATGTATGTGTGTATTACCTACATCATTGGCTCTTCGTCCATGTATGCCTGTTGCCCTGTTGCCCCGTTCTCCGTTTTACCCCACGCTCGTCAGATTCCTCCGCACTCATGCGCCCAGCCGCTGTATCTATGCGTTGGCCTTGTGAACCCGGCGCGTAATCTGATGTCATGCTATCCCATCACTCGTCTCGTTAGAGGTAGTGGTCGTTCGATCAAGATCGAGAGAGCTGATGTGCTTCTCCAGTCGGTGATACAGTGGTGCTGACATCGTCAGGCTATGACAGCTGAGGTATGGCAGTGAGCGGTCATGTTATCCGTCCCATACCCGGCATATATCCAGGCGATACGCTGTCCTGCACGCGTTTCCCCCAGAATAGGGTGCAATCCAAAAGTCTCGTAAACATCTAAAGGCCGTACTCTGCCCTAGTCCTTTAGGGCACGACTGCCCTAGTCCTTTAGGGCACGACTGCCCTAGTCCCCTCACCGGACTTCCCTCGCAGCAGCAGTGGCAATTTCCCTATCAACATCGGTAGCCCCCGAGCCGCTCGCCGCGCGGTCAAACAGACGCAACCACCACATAGGCGGATCCAGCGGGCGGCGGCCGCCATGCAGGTCAGGGTAAATGTCATTGAAGTAGTACCAAATATGGCCGACGACCACGCCGCAGAACTCATCCTTGGGCACGATTCCGTGGACGACCAGGCTGAAGCCCATCAACACCCAGGGGAGGTAGGGCGCCGTGAAGACCAGCAAGCCCAAGAAGCTGAGGCGGGTGTCGGGGTTGCGGCGACTCCAGATGTAGACGAGGCTGGAGGACAGCCCGGTGCCCATGAAGGGCATGGACAGGATCGGCGATATGCATAGGAGGAAGACCATGGCGTAGAAGAGCAGCCAGGAGAAGTGCGCTGGGGACCGGCCGGATGACTCCTCGAGGAGGCGCGAGTATCGCTGCAGGAAGAAGACGTGGAAGAGGAGGTCGAGGCTTAGCGGTCCGAAGTAGAGGAAAGATGTGAATAGGCGCCAGTACTGTTGGAGTTAGCTTTCTTCTTTCTTCTTTCCTTGTTGCTCTTTTTCCTTCTTTCTTTCTAGATAGGTGTACATACCTGAGACTTGACATAGACCGCGCGGAAGCTATAGAAGAGCTGGAACGGGGTCAAGATATGGCACTGGACCATGACCGCGGTGGCCACCGTGGCCGCTGTCCACCATCGAGTCACTGGAGGCATCTCATAGAACCACTGCTCCAGAGGAAACTGCCCCCCTTGGGCTCCATTACCCCAGATAGCAGCCATGAGGTCACCGTTGACCAGCGGTTTCAGATCAGAGTGGGTGGGGATGCGATCAGCTCGAGTGCGCTACTCGGGGAGATACAGACTCGGAGAGTTAAGAGGAAGAATTGAGGAGGGAACAGCTGTGGTAATCAATACTGAAGAGGATTTATAAAGCAATCAAAGGATGAAATTACTTGTGAATGAAAGGACCGATGAATGAAGCCGGATTGAATGAATGTCTGATGATGAACTCGGTCCAGGTGGCCTTTCATGCCAGGGAGCCTGAGGCAGGGCTACCTATCTCAGTGCCTGAGGCAGGAGTGACCACTTATCATCACGTGATATATACGCGGTCGCGTCACGCGTTTGAAAGTGGATAAATGGATAAAAAATGGATTCATCATCAATGAATGGATAAATGGGGGGGCTGGGAATGAAGCTCTCCACACTCCACTTAGCAATTCCCTCCAGCTGCATTTCTCCTGCCTGTTTTCTGTCTCTTCCTTTCTTCTATTCTTTCTAATTTTTTTTTGATTTTTGTTAATTTTATTAGTCTCTGTTTAGCTGTGGTGTGTCATCCGACAGCAACCCAAGCTCTCCACATTCCTACATCGGAACCGGAACAACAACCAGCTTCCTACAACCTCAAGGACTCGACAGTGTCCCCTCTCTCCAGCCATTGCATGGAAGACACTCCTGGGATACACCCCGTGATCACTCTGTCCTATTAAACACCTCCACTTCACAACCATGCCTCCGAAAACCGGCAAAGGGCGCAAGGTCACCACCGCCCCCTCGACCAAAGCCGCAGCAGCAGCAGGAGACGACGCCGCCGGTCCCTCGAAGAAAGCACCCACAACCACATCCCCGACTGCCCGACGAGGGCGCAAGTCAACCGGAGGAGTAACCAAGGGGGGGAAGACACCAGCCAAGCGGGTATCCGACGTTCAACGTAAGTTGATATTCCCCTCTTCCCTCGACGAACTCCACCCCCCTCCACCCCCCACTACCAAATCAACCCTCTCCAAAGAGAGCAAAGAAAAAGAAGAAAGTCTAATAAAAAAAAATCCAGCCGGAGACCCCACCCCCAAAGGCCGCCGCCACCGCTACAAGCCCGGCACCGTCGCGCTCAAAGAAATCCGCAAATACCAACGCTCCTTCGACCTCCTCATCAGCAAGCTGCCCTTTGCGCGCCTCGTGCGCGAAGTCGCCATGGACATGCTTCCCGCCGAGATGGCCCACGAGCTACGCTGGCAGTCGCATGCCATCCAGGCTCTGCAGGAAGCCGCCGAGGCTTTCCTCGTGCATCTGTTCGAGGATACGAATCTTTGCGCGATCCATGCTAAGCGCGTTACGATTATGCAGAAGGATATTCAGCTGGCAAGGAGGATTAGGGGGGCTTGGGCTGGGTTGGGTTGATTTTCTGATTTCTGATATCTTTCTTCGATGAGGACTGTGCTGAATGAGTAGGCACAAGAAGAGAAGAAAGAAAAGGAAAGAAAACAAGCGACATTGAGACTAGCGCGATCTGATCATCGCGCTCTTCTTCTATTGATTTTCTCCCTTCATTTCACTGATAGCGTGGACCGCGGGTCATCATCCCCCAATCTACCCCGCTATCAATTGAATGAATGAATTGCAGGTTTGCAGGCGTCTGGGGAAGTCCGGAGTTTATTTCGCAGGGATTCATTCTCTGCTGGGTTGTCTGTGTTATTTGCGTGGGGGTTTCACTGTTTCTTTATTATCGACCCCTGTCTGCGTGCGATGGCTGTAGGGGTAGGTAGGTGGTACCTTGGTTTTATCTATGTCTTGTCCGTCTGTCGTCTGTCTTATTTTGTCTTTTCTGTATAATAGGTAGGAAACCGATGAAGAGCTGTGGATGGAGGAAAGCTAGCAGCTATGCTGTCTATCGCACGGGTAAACATACAACGCGCATACTATTTGCACTGGTTAAACCTATGGACAGGCGAAAAGCTAGCTGGCTAGCTAGCTAGCTACTTCGATTGGGGAATATAAAACAAATGTATGAATCAAATCAATCAAATCAATCAAGCAGATAAGTCATCGCTCCCGTATAGATAGATATCCTCCAGTTGCGCCGGAACCCACCCATTCTCCTACCCTCCGTACTCCACGGTTGACCCGAATGTGGTATCATACGTAATAAAAGACAGAAAGTAAACCCAGCAAACAGACAAGCAAGAAAAGGAAGAAAAAAAAAAGGAAAAAAGAGGAGGGGCAAACTAGGCAGGTCGCTTCAACGCCGCCGGTAACCCCATCATCAGCCGATGTCCCTCTTCACGCACCCCCATAGCCTCGTCATTCTTCCCCTGACGCTCCAGAGTCTCCGCCAGCATCTCGTCCGTGACGCTGACCCAGAGCCGGTCGTTGGCCTTCTTCGCCATGGCTCGGCCCGCCCGCGCGCTCTTCTCGGCTTGTGCGCCCACCACGCCGCGGAAGTACTTGAAGCTCATGAAGGTCAGCGTCATGCAGGTGATCTGGCTGTTGCTGATCGCCGTCGCGGACTGGAGAGCCCGCTGGAGGAACTGTTTGGTCTGGATTGTCGACTCGGTCTGCACTGTCGCGCAGACGAGATCGTACGCGGCCTGGAGGTATCGGTTGGGTCCGTTCTGGCAGAAGCTTTCCACTGTCGCTAGCACGTTGGGGAGATGGTGGTGTGAGGGATGGTTGGGGTCGCGGAGGATGAGGATTGTGTTCAGGGCTGCTAGGATGGCAATGTCGCGACAGGGGTCATTGCGCGCGACGCGGCTGGTGGATGGAGATAGCGCTAGCAGAGGCGACTGGAATATGCTCAAAGCCTGGTTTAAATCGCCTGTGGCTTGCGCAATTGACCCCGCGGCGTACTCCATCAGACAGCGGATCGTATCGGGCAGACGGTCCCCGAGTTCCTGCGTTTCCTGCCAGAGCTCATTCAGGGCCTTGGAGGCTAGGTCCCAGGCGGTGCGCCCGCACGCGAGGAAAACTTGCTGCAGGAGGAGGTTGCAGTACAAGGTGCGTCGCCACTCCACGCGCTTATTCGCGTTCACCACCGATTCGGGGATGTCCTGGGGCTCTCTGAGGCTTGCTGCACGACTCTGTTAGCAACGTTTCTTACAACTTGAAGATAGGGAGCTACTGACACTGCACCATCCCGATTCCTTCCTGGAGGAACTTTTCCGCCTTGCGCCCATCGTAAGAGTTCTTGCAGCTGAGGGTGATGGAGCTAAGGAAGTAGCAAAGGGTGTAGAGGTCGTGGATGGGGAGCCAGTTGAAGCTCAGGAGCAAAGTCCCTTTCTGCACTTGAAGGATATCGCTGGTATCTATGGAAGAAGGTCCTGCCGACTTGCCATTCAGCGGGATCGAGAATGACCCGTCCGACCGCCAATTCGGATCTTTCAGTCGCCCGTCCATCAAGTCCTGCATGTCTTTCAGCTTCTGGGACGACTGGTTGACATCATACTCCAGGAGACTGCAGCAGACATCGACCATCTGGATCAGCGTTGTCAGCTGTGGAATCTGGCGGAGCTCGTCATTGAGTTGGTGCTTCCGTGCAGCCGCCACGGCGCTTTGGGCCAGTTCGATCGAATCGTGGCCCGTCCCTTGCTGCAGGTGTGCAAGGGCCTCGATCACGGCGGACATAGCCGACACGGCCCTGTCGCCGTTACGGTCGGCCATGTGGGAGATTTTGTGTAGCTGCTGTAGGGCCGACACCGAGTCTTGGTGAGACTGCGACGACAACGAAAGTGACACTCGCAAGAAGCGAAACGCATATTCCCAGGCGGAATGTCGGTATCTGTTCGAGTTAGGTGACTGTCTCTAGGTCGGATGGATGATAACATACGCCTCCACGTCTTGGATTACCCCGTCAACAGCCTTCAAAGAAGCTTTGGGGTTGGTCTTGTGCAGCATTCGCGCCAAGAGGTGCTGCATGCTGTATTTCAGGTCCAGCATGCGATTCTGCAAGACGGAAGTTCTACGTAAGCACAGGCTCGTACAAACCTCGTGTTCAAATTGGACTTACTCGTTCACATAGATCAATCTGCCAGGCGACTGTCAGCAAACCAGCTCTCATCCGACTGTCAAGTAGGAACTATACATACACCCTTACTCAGTGCCGTCTCCGCCTGCAGATCGTTATCGGTCTCCTCAAACAAGATGCGCGCGTATCGTAATCGTACAAGGGCCTCCACCCGGGGCTGCAGTCGCCAGTTCTATCCCACTTCCGTCAGCCAACCCAGACCGGTCTCAAGAACAAGAAAGAGGGGCACCCACCTTCAACACGGCCTCGAGACAGCCAAGACCCGTAGAAACAAGTTTATAGTATTCCTCAACCTCCATTTCCCTCCTCGCCAAGGCAACCATGGTTCCATGCCCGTGAGCCGCGTTGAGGTACTCGTCCGCCATAGCCAGCAACAGAACCTGATAGTCGATCGGGGGTTTGGCCGATTTCTGCGGGCCCGATTTGGGAGTTTGTTTAGAAGTCGGTTTGGCTGTCGGCTTCTTGGGAGACGGGCGCTGTTGCATCTTCTGCTGTACATCCGGCGACGGAGCCGGGATCAACACCTGGGGGATGGGTTTCGGCGACGGCGCAGGAGGGGTAGGAGCGGCAGATTGGGGTCGGAGCGTAGGTGGGTTGGGGACCGCTGGCGGGTATTTCGGGAACACCTGGGTTTGGTTCCCCTGGCTGGCAGTAGGATCGACATAGTATGTAGTCGACGGTGTCGCAACAGAGGTGGTGATTGCTTGAGGGGGGCTTGCGGGCGGCGGCGGCGGCGGCGACACCGGAGCCGGAGCCGGAGGTTGTCCTCCGAACTGAGAGCCCCCATGACTGAATGTAGAAGGTGGAAGTGATGGCACGGGCGGCTGATTGAAGAGATCGGATGGGTTCACAAACTGCGGAGGTTGCGGAGGCTGAGGAGGTGGTTGAGGCTGTTGGGGCTGCGGCGGCGTCGGAACCTGTTGAGGGCTGTATGTCTGCGCGTATGTAGGATACGGAGGGATCATAACGGACGGATAGCCCAGGGGTTTCCCATATTGCTGATACGGCGACGGACTCTGAGGCACATTGTTATTGTACAGTAGCTGCTGCGACGGGATCGTCTGCTGGGGAGGCTGTTGCAGATACTGGGGAGGATATTGGCCGTTATGAGGTGGTGGATAGCTCATCGCCCCAACAACGCCGCCGACGGTGATGGTTCAGAAGGATCGCTGCGATGTACGTTCCTGACAGAATTCTATCGAAACACGAGATAAAGTATATAACGGGACGACTGTTTCATCCAGACCAAGAGACAAAGAAGGGAGTAGAAGCAAGATCCGTTCATTGAAATGCATCTGGCGTTGACGCTCTTGCGGTCCAGATCGCGCTTGGCCGTTTCCGCCTTTCGGGACGGAGAAACCTGGGGGCGACACCGCCAATGATTTAATATGGTAACTATATCTTCAATTCATTCTTCAATTACGATGTTTATGATATGGATGGTGAGGATATAGATGGTAGGATATGGTATTGAGGATATAGTATTGACGAAATATGGTATTTGCAAGATATATGGACCACATGCCCAGTATCAAAGGAAAGAGGGGGAAATTAATGGAAAGAAAGCGACAACCACCCATTATAGACATGATACAATACCCCAATACACAACGCCCGAGCCGTCCCATTTACATCATATTAATCGAAGAGTACAGTTGATTCATCGACTGGTCCTGCATCCCAGGATCCAGAATATCCATTCCCAGTGCGGGGGGTCCGTTGAGGGCAGGGTGTTCGCGAACCGTCCAGGGACACAGCTCGCTGCAGTTGTCCACATCGACCATGCTCTCGGCCGGATGGATCCTCTGGGCGGCCCACTTCCCGTCGGGCATAGGTGCAGGACCTCCGAGGCCGCGCTCCGTCCAAAAGAAATACGTCCATCGGGCCGCCTCGTCATCCACGCGGCATGGCTGTTTGCGAGGGCATTTCAGGGTGGCGTTGCAGGAATTGCAGACGGAGATGCGTTTGCATGAAGCACAGTAGCTGTCGTAAAGTCCACAGACAGTCGTCTGACAGACGCTGGAGAGCCACAGATCCACGGAGCGATGGGCACAGCCAAACCGAGGCGTCATATGCTCTTCTTTGCCGAGCTGCCCCGACCCCGTAGTCAGGTAGTACTCTGTTTTGACGAAAAGCTGATCGTCCGCGTCCAGCTGGGGGTAAAGCGCCACCTTCAGCTCCGTGGATCCGTAGTTTTCGGTGCACGAATGCCAGCAAAAGCGCTCTGGGACACCGGGTCCAGTCTGGGAGGCCAGCATGGGCACCGTCTGTTGCCGTACTTTCAACAGGTCAATGAGGTCCAGCTTGTCCCGGTATGTAAGCTTCTTGCACGGACACAAGTCGACGATGCCCGTCATATTGCCCAGATTGCAGACTCGATCCTCAGATTTTCGTTTCATCTCGCGGGAGGAGTATGCGCTTCGCGGATGCAACTTGAGGCATCGGGAGCAGGCGCGCCAGCGACTATTCTCCAGCAGGTTGATCAACTGCCAGCGGGGGGTGACCAGACTATGGCCGTTTCGGTAGTGGTGGAAGAGGGGTGCGAAGTCCCGGTTGAAATGGAGCGACTTGGACTCCAAGATTCCCCCGGCTATCAAGTGTAGCCGTCGACATGTCAACGCTAGACAGGCCTCCGGCAACAAGGATAGATGTGAGATAATCTCCAGGATCAACTCCGTCGGAAGATCCAGCAAGTGACACCGTCTGGGGGCATCGGGCCCCAGACTCAGCCCGTCGGGGGGCGAGCTTCGTGGCCAGCGGTTCATATTCGCAACAATCTTCAATCGCTCTCCCGCACGACGAAGGTTATCCGTCATGCCCTTTAGGGTGAACTTTGTTGACTGAGCACCGGGGGGGCGAGAGATCTGAAAGGCACGTTTGATTCGTTTTCGGAGCGTCAAAGGCTTTAAGCTATCGCCTGGGGATTGACAAAAGCTCATGGGTGTAGTAGCAACGAGAGCCTGCTCGTTCCTAACTCCGGCCTCATAGTGTATATAGCAGGAAACCAGGATAGGGTGTGCGGATGCGCCGCGTGATGAGAAAAAGATCGCTTCAAGAAGGACCAAAGAAGAATGAGAGGGGCCTAAAGCCCTTCAAGTAGTCCAGTCCGAAGACTCTGGTCTCGCATGCAAACGGAGCACGCGGTAGGGTCACAACGGGGCCACTGTTATCAGCATTACATCCGTGACCCAGGGCCATCTTCTCTAGTTTCCTTGGGTTCAGAGGGTCAAGGATAAAAATAAAACGAATTAAGTGGAATAAAATCTCGACCCGTACCGCATCCAAAGAAAGAGGCATTTTAGACTGTGCCTGTTGGACGCAAAGGGGGTGAGTCTATGATGCCATCCGATGCGAATCTACCTTGGGTCTGTCCGCAAGCGGAACCTAGTATGACCGCATCAAGGTAGGCAGCCCCAAGGTCCAGAGGGCCGGCGAGAATGTCCATACTTCCGCTGCAGCAGGTAAGGACATTGGAAGGAGCACGAATGATTGCAGCAAATCGACGAGAAGAGGAGAAACGAGGATGTCTCCATGACCAGCGAAGAGGAAGTCAAATGACGAGATCATAGCCACTCTGTGCATCTCGTGATGTGCTACAGCTTAGTCACGGCGATCATTGCATAAATTTATATATACCTGAGGCATAAACACTGATAAGCCGCTTACATAATAGATCCCTTATCGGCAGAGATCATGCCGAGGCATCGAAATAATAATCGGCTTTTCCTGCGACACAGCAGATTCAGTTTAGAAGAATAGACAGTTGGTTGATGGACTGATTAGATTACACTTTTCTTCATTCTCGCCGTTCTTCCCTCTTCGTCTCACCTGTCCCGGTCACAGCCCATGTCTCTCACCGACCTCTTGCTCGATCCTTCAAACTTCTGGCCATTTGTCCTGTCAGGACTGTTCGTGATGGGCGCGCTGTCATGGCTCCGGCCAAAGGGACGCATCTCGTTTCACAATGCAAAGGATAATGGTCTAATCCTGACCAGAAAAGCAGGCAAGTCGGCCGGCAGGGAACAGGTTACACTCATCGATATTTGCCGCGCCGCCACACCGACCCATTGCGATCTCAACCCGTTCCTCTTCAATGGCCATCTGCAGACGGCTTGGACCGCGGTGAAATACGACCCGGTTCCCGTGTACTACAAGCGACGGATGTTCGAGGCGGACAGCCCGATGTATAGTGGACATTTTGCGATGGACTTCATGGTGAAGCCTTACGAAGTGCCAACCGAGGGCCCGGAGACGGACCCAGAGAGGATACACACCCAGCCGTCGGGTCTCCCGGAGCGGACGAGCTTTTTCTCGTCGGATGAATTGTCTGCGCTCCCCTCGGATGACACCCGGCCGATGCTGGTCGCGCTTCACGGCTTGAGTGGCGGGTCACACGAGGTTTATCTCCGTCATGTAGTCGCGCCTCTGGTTGCCGACGGAACCTGGGAAGCGTGTGTGGTGAACTCTCGGGGCTGTGCGCAGACTAAAATTTCCACCGGTGTCCTTTACAATGCCCGCGCGACATGGGATGTTCGGCAAGCCGTGAAGTGGCTCCGGAAGACCTTCCCGAACCGACCCCTGTTCGGCATCGGCTTCTCGCTTGGGGCCAACATCTTGACCAATGTAGGTTCTTTTCTGTGGAAGTTAGCAGCGCGTTGGACTTTCTAACGTACGTGCACAGTATCTGGGCGAGGAAGGCGATGCTTGTCAGTTGAAAGCGGCGGTCCTCTGCGCTAGCCCTTGGAATCTAGACGTCAGCTCGTCGAATCTGCAAAACACCGTGATGGGCCTTCATGTGTACAGCAAGGTCATGGGAACGAGCATGAAGGCGCTGTTTGAGCAGTGAGTGAAAGAACGGATCTCCTGTTGAGTCCTACCCATCTGACGCATTTCCAAACCAGACATGTCGAAGAGATTTCCAAGAATCCTCGCATCGATGTCGAGGCCGTGAGGAGTATCACTCATTTGCATGAGTTTGACCGGTAGGAAGACCTGATGGATACCCAATTTGGAAGAACTAGTGGTTAACTTTAATTTTTCCTGTATAGGGCTTTGCAATGCGCAGCGTGGGGCTACCCCACCGAGGGTGCGTACTATCGTGACGCTTCATCGATCGACTCTCTGCATGGCATTAAGATCCCTTTCTTCTGCATTCAAGCGGAGGACGACCCGGTGAGTAGCAGATTGTTTGGTCATTCAACTGTAACTTGAGCTGACCCGTCGCAGATCGCCTCGTCTAAAGCCTTCCCCTACCACGAGGTAACTCAGACGCCGTACGGTGTCATGATGACCACGTCTTGGGGTGGGCATCTTGGATGGTTTGAACTGGGAGGAGGACGGTGGTTTGTCAAGCCGGTACGTCTCTCTGCGTTGCTAATCTGCTGTTCCCTACGTTAACCCCCCCGGACAGGTCAACAATTTCCTGAACAAAATGGCCGAGGTGGACTGGGAGACACCTCTCAAGATCCAAGACCCCGAAAAGGTCCCCTGCCACATTGCCAGCCACGAGGGTCCCAACAAGGACGCTGACGTCGCCCCCAAACCGGACTTTGCGCCAATGCGGCGCAAGCTCAATTTGCGTATTGTACAGTCGGATTAAAAAGATGCATTGCCTTAGATCGATAAACATAGAGTTGGATCTTTATTTACAAGCCAGCGATGATGTGAAATGACTGTCATGAAATGTCTTTCGTGTCAAGATTTTTTGGGGAGAAAAGTATAGACCTAAACAACGCCAGAACCCTATCTAGATACATAGTTTCGCTATAGACAAAAATTACTTTTGGTTTTTGCAATGTAGCCCGTTTTTTAAGCAAAAGAAACGCTCTTTCTTTTCCCCTTGGACTTCGAGTCCCCCTTGGACTTCGAGTCCGAGCCGCCGGATCGTGCGGTGTTCTCACTGCCGGGCTTCTTCTTATTACGGATCGAGTCTTTCGTCGCGTCCTGTTCATCATCGACATTAGCATGTTTATAGCCATAGCAATTAGATAAGGAGAGATGGGAGCCACCGTACCAATTTCTTCTTCTTCTCCGCTTGTCGAGCCTCGGTCTCCTTCTTCCGGAGTTCACGCAGCTCCTCCAGCTGACGAGCCTTCATCATCTTCGACTCGATCTGGCCTTCCTTCTCAGCATTGACCATAGCAATAATCGTAGCGACTCCATCCTGCGTGAACAAAAATCTATTAGCAAAACACACTATCTCCCAACGAAATGGCCTTTATCGACAGGAGCATACCCGATCATCCACAAACGTCTTTCCCTTCTTCTTGCCCTTAGGCTTCACAACACCCACAGGCGTGATCGCATTTAACTCAGGGATACCCAGCTCGGCCTCGGTGTATTCTCTCTTCTTGGTCTTCTTCAGCTGGCTCGGTTCCGTGCGAGCCTTCGCCTTGACTTCCTTGGGCGGCGGGCGCTTGACATTCTTCTTGTTCACTTTCGACGACGACGACAGCGGCTTGCCTGACTTTTTCGAGTCGCCTCCCGAGGAGGGCTTGCCTTTGGCGGACGGTTTAGGAGCCATGTTTCTGTTTCTTTTTGACGAATGGACTATAGATCAGTTGAGATCAGGGTGAGCACGTGGCGGGGGGTGGAAATGTTTTCGACCGGGTCCCGCTTGTTGCGACTGCGAAAATCTAGCGGTTGGTGTCGCAGGTTCCAGACACAAAGTTTCTACCTTGTAATCTGAGTTATATCTCTGAAATGGTTATATATGTAATGAAAAGTGATCACGACAAATAAAATCAACAAAAAGTGCCGGGCAAAAAAATAAAACAGCTTAGAAAAATGGAGGAAAAAAGATAAGCGCCAACCGCAAAGACGGAATGAAACTTTTTCCAAAGCGGCAGGCGGTGAGCCAGCGTGCAGGATGCCACTCCGACCTCCACCAGCGACCGTGCCCGTTCCATTTCCCATCGTCACTCCCACCTTCTCCTCTTCCTCGCGCCTAAACCCCCCGCCGTGATAGTTGTCAATTGTGTCTGTGGTAGCAATTGACCCTGGGAATATTTCAAGATGACGATCAACCCGACCTTCCTCGCCCAGCGCACGCGCTCCTGTACGTTCCAGCCCACTCTGAGACGACCTTAGAAATTGCTGCGATCTCAATGGACGAAAACCGAGCTAACCATGCGTGCTCTCCAACAGCTGTGAACTGGTCCGATGCCCGGTTCCGTGTCCTCAAGAACTACAGAGAATGGCTCAGAGCGGTCAGTAGTCCGATTATCGACCTACTATCTCCCTGGAGCTAGTCCCCCTTCGTCCGGGTTGACCTGTCGTCTTGTTCAAATTCGATATCCGGATGGAACGCCCGGGGGAGAGAGGGGGAAAACAAGCTCTAGGGAGTGGTCAATTCGTGGAATAGAATGGATAGACTGACTTTCAAGCCGCCGAGGGTGGCCCACTATGCTACAGTCCCCTGAGATCCAGACCATGTACTCTCTGAACATCCCCGTCTCCGCCATCCGCACCAAGATCCGCCAGGAATTCGAGAAGCACCGCTACGTGAGCCAGCTGAAGGTGGTGGATGTGCTGCTCTTCCAGAGTCACGCCGAGTTCCAGGTTCGTAGTCCGTCAGGATCATCCGTTTACTTGGGTGGGGATACTATCAGGCATCTGATACCTGAGAATACTCCACCTTCCTTACCCCGGTTCACATTTGTTCTAACTTGCTACTGTTATAGGAAACCCTCAACTTCTGGAAGCAGCTCTCGCACGTCATGAAGTACTTCCGGCCAGAGGAGGACCCGGGCGCCCGCCTACCCCCCAACTTCATCTCGGGGTTCTTGGAGGGCCGCAATTGAGTTCTGATTTCCTTTGTGTGTTTTTCATCTTTGCATCGTTTACGTTTCCAGGGAGAGGGACGACTCTGATAGAGTGTGTTATGTATATACTGTTTAAAATAGCTAACGTCGGCTTTCGGTTTCCGTCTTGCTTTCGTTTTCGTCTTACGTAGTTGCGATGATAGGGTTTAAGTTGTGGAATCATGTTTCTTCCATGCTATGGAACTCAGATCGTATTATCAGGCACATATATAGGAAGGAAAAAAGAAAATGAAGAAGCAAAATATATAGCCCCCCAGAGAAAAAGAGACAAATGCAGCTTTTCTATACACAACGCCAGAAACAACATCACATGTCATAAAAACAAAAAGTGGGAAAAGTTCAAGTGAACAAGAAAGAAGAAGAAGAAAAACAAGATAATTTATCTACAAGCACGTCAACATCACGAGCTCATCTTATCCGCCTCGGCAGCGTTGAACGAATCGCGCGCGGAGGTGAATTTCTCCGTAACAACGTCACATAGATCCATCAAGGACTCCAGGCCTTTCTCGAGGGCCTCGATGGCGTTGGTGGTGTCTGTATCTGCCGTTAGACATTCATTTCTTTTCTTTTTTCTTTCTTTTGTGTCTTTCGGGGGGGAAGGGCAGAGGTGTAGTTATCTTACCGTAGGTTTGAATTCGGAGGTTCATTTTACTCTCCGAGGGGTGGGGGATGGTGTAGCCGCAGAATTCGACTTGGGGGCTGCAGTATGTGTTAGCGTCTGTCTCTCTTTTCTTTCCCCCTCTGACTATGTAGGCGTTTGTGCCCCGGAGTACAGGCAAGACGTACTTCTTCATAATGGCATATCTTAAAGAATTACCCAACGTATGGCCCTCTCCCTCAAACTGGAACGACGCCGCAGTCTCAGTAGCACCAGGCAGCTGTATCAAACCAGGTCAGTCAAGTCCGTGACATGTGGACGAAGCAAGAAATGAGAATAAGTTCAAGAAAGCGAGAACTCCGGGGAAAGAGGGACAGGACGAACCACAACAATGCGCTTCTCTTCCAACTCCAACTCATCTTCCTGGTCGATCTGCTGCTCCTGATCCTGAGGAGCAGCGTCCATCATGGACTGGTCCTGGTCCTGGTCCTGGGAGTGAACGGAGCCCGGCATTGTGATCGTGTTCGGGGTCTAAACTTGTCGCACGAGGGAGAAAGATGTTGTTACACGGCGAGGAGACGGAGTCGCTTTGACGGGGCAAGGGGGACAAGCCGGTGGTGTCTACCAGCGGAGGATTATTCTGATTCGGACACCCACGGTGGATGCGACGGTGCGTGCTTGGGGTGGAGGAGGGGAAAAGTTCGTCTTGTCTTGATGTCGGGGTGGGGTTGAGGCGGGTTGAATCTGTTTGCACGGGGTTAGAAGGTGTTGCGTTTTTGTTTTTCTTTCTATCAAAATACTGACCTTCTCTTATTGAGTTGATCCCGAGAGCAATGTGTTGGATTGGAAAGGTAAAGCTATAAGATCGTCGCAAATGTTCACGCCGAGCGAGAAAAAAAAATCCCGAAAAACGGTTATCGATAGGAAGCTGGGTTGGGCTCACCGCCTTCGGGGATTGGCGGCGGTGTTAGGCGGTGAGTCGGATTGAGCGATACTGCTCTCATATTTACTTAGTAGGTAGACAGGTACTATCTCAAGTGAGGACATGGAAGATGAAGGTATTGCTCGTACATATTACTATCCTGCAATATCTATGAAGTGGAGTGTGGAAGTTAATTCCCCAGTTCAATCTGGGCAGTTGTCGATCGCAAGGTGGATTGCATATCTAGCTCAAGACATCTATGTACGGAGGAGGACGTGAGGAGGTCTCAATCAATGCAGGATGCCTCCACGGGGTCCTTTGTGGATGAATCGCCATGGTGCGGTAGCCAGCAAGTCGTTCTTCCAGATCGCAAGCATGACTCCAGGAACAGTCTACCAGAAGATCCCCGGTCTCTTCACCTCCATCCGAGGTGTCGAAGCAGCAAACCAGACCGAATGGAATCGCTAGCGTCGGCAACAGACTGATTGCGATCGACCAGCATCGCATGCTGGACGCAAAGACCACCAGCAGTCAGGGCCCGAGAGATCCTGGTCAAATCATTGATGGCAGTCCGTGCTGGGGATTAGCTTGCAGTCTGGACTCGGCGCACGGCAATATTGGATACCCAGAAGATGGGAGGCAGAATGGTGGAAATGACAATCGGCGCTAGATGCTATAATTACATGCTGGACGAGTTTGATTGGGGGTGGTTGGATGGGATGGAGAAGTTGATAGTACGATCTACAACAGTGGACGTGGACATGAACAACGTCATTCGCCGTGACTTTCATGAATCGTATTGTCCATCGAAGTGTACTAAGGTACAGTATAGTGTACGATGCACAGGACTACGATCGAAGGTCGGACGGAGTCGATCAGAGACAGTCCACTGAGGGTCAGGTGAAGAGTCTACGGTGTATCTCCCATGACACGCTGCATTGAACGACAGTGTATCCGAAAGGAGACAGAACATGTCCCTTGATTGGGAGCTGAGAGGAGCGAGCTGTCCGCAATCTCCCGCTGATGAAAAACATGGCAGCCATACATTGCCACCGATTGACAGTTTGCTAAAGCATTCTTTCTTTTCTTTTTTTACTTTCTATTGATTTTTTTTCGTTTCCATGATTGCTGTGAGAAAGACAGACAGGCACAAAATCCCCCGACAGCTGGACCACCACCACTCAAGCCAATCAACAAGAACCCTGTCCGGAGCAGGGGGAGAAAGGACCCACAAACTAGTGGTTCGTTCCAGCAGGATCCTCCGACTCCTCGTTTCCCTGATTCTAATTTGCAAGGTCCACGGGTCCACCCGGACAAGGACAATCAGAAATTCATGGATGACACTCGACATGAGACTCGAACCTTGGCCATGACCCAGGGTGACTTGACCTGACCCAGGAGGGCCAGGACGGGGGGCGGAAATTGTACTAGGTCTCCGCGGTGAATCTTTGATTTCCCCCTGCTCCACCTGTGCTAAGAATAAGTTGTGGTAATCAATCTGATCTCTGGGTCAGGCATCTCCAGAATCTTTCTGGAGCAGATGGTTCCATGGTTGGAGCGGACGTGGAGAAACGGTGGTTTGTTCTATAATAAGTGAGGGATGAATCTTTCATTTCTTCTCTCCAGATGAAGATTCTGAAGACTCGTGCTGGATCGCGTGGGAAACCTTAATGAAACGCTGGACAACATCAATCTTGTCAATCCTCACTCAGCAGTTGAAGAAACAGGAAGAAAGGTCAAGAGAATGGAAACAGACCATGTCTCAGCCTCTCAGACCCGTGCCAATCAATGGATCCGCGGCTGGTCAGGAGTTGATGCCGTCTCATGTTGGGTTTCATTTCTGGCACTAACGCGACTAGTGTCTAATAGATTGATGATTTGATCTGGTTCGACGGGGGGATCCACTTGGTTTCTGGTCTGGTCACACTGGGGACGTGTCAAGTCTATTAATTCTTCTTTATATATATGGACTGAGTATTCAACATCTATCTACCTATCTATCTCTCGAGATTCAAATCTATCTATATACATATATATATATTCTGTTCGAGAGAGAGATATATATAGATATATATACAGGGGAAGATATCAAGATATCAGATATCAAACGATCAAGAACAATCCCCAAACTGTGATGATCACACTTAGCCGCCCACTACAAACCGCTCCGACCACTCGTCTTCCTCTCTCTAACCAACAACTTCCTGGCAATTGTGCCACCTCTCTCTCTCCCTGTCGGCCTGTCTTTTCTTTGTTGTGCGCTTGATTTAGACCTCACTCGTCCCTCCTTGGTCTCGATCCTTCTTTTTTTTCTTTCTTCCTTTGTTTCTTTTTGGACTTTTCTAGCCGCTGGTGGTTCGTCACGGTCTTGAAGCTCACCCTTCACCTCGCCCCTCCTTCTCCTAATCGGACCTTCTCCTCCACCCCTCTCTCTCTCTCCCCCCCCCCCTCCCCCATAACCGCTCCGCCGAGCTTGGGAAATAAATCCACTTTCGACTGGATTTCGGTGTGATCGGCCGATGTTCGTCGCAAATTGAGCGCCTGTCACCGAGAAGCTTGTTTGGGCGTCTATTGATTCCACTCCACAAAACAATCGGTTGGAACGCTGGTGCGGCCACCGGAGACTCCCAATCTGGTGGCTCCGTGAGAAGAGAAGAAGAAAAAGAAGAAGAAAAAGAAAAAGAAAAACGGGGGGAATCAATATAATCCAGTCATCCAGGCACTGGTCGGTTTTTTGCGTCCTCTGTCAGGTTCTGAACTTCCACCACACGGCCCCCAATCCCCGACTCTCAACCCGAACGAAAACCATCCTCGCTGTCAACGCCGTTGGCACAACGTTGGTGGACGACCCCACCGTCTTCATATCTCGATACCCCCCCCTTCATCGTCATGTCCACAGCTGTTGCGCCCGCGACGGCTGCCCCGTTATCCTCGCCGCATATGACCCGTGATCCGAGTCCGAGGACGTGCCCAACACTGGCACCGACGGTGACCACTACGCCGCCCCGACCGTCTGGCGGCTCGCACGACGGTTCGTCGACCAAGAGTTCCCCCACGGGGAAGAACCAAAGCTCGCCGTCGTAAGTTATTGAAGATTCCTCTCCCCGTTTCCGGGTGCCGAAACTAACGTCTGTCTCGTCCGCTAGGTTGCAGAATGGTAGTCATGGCTCCAAGGTCTTCGTCAAGAAAGAACCCCCCTCCTCGCCCGCCATCCAGTCACAAAACTCCCGTCCGCGTCCCCGTCGCTTAGATCTCTCCACTAGCCTTCCCAATTCCGATCGGCTGTCCGCTCGTGCCCCCGGAGGCCCCATGACCGCCCGAGAAGGCGTCAATATGCATCAAGTGGGCATTGCTTGTCTGTCCCCCGGTTTCCAAACCCACGATCCCATCATGCGAGAGCAATTGCAGCGGAGCCTGTCCGTCCGGGATCAGCAGCGCTCCATCATCGAGTCGCGCCTGCAGCGGTCGGCCAAGGATGATGGCTCCGAGGGCTTCGCACACGTGCTCGGCCCGCCCAAGACGGCCTCCAAGAAACGCCCGCCGGGCTTGTCGATCGTGCCCCCCTCGGCCACCCAGTTCGCCAGTGAGCGTGTCATTCAATCCGCCCCGTTGAACCAGACCTTTACCGGCCGACACCAGGCCCAGCCGTTGACGCGCCACGTCGTCAACCAGAGCCCGACCCTGGCCTCCACCTCCCATATCCATCATGTCCCCGCCAACCAGACGAACAACCGCCTGCCCCCGCTCGCCGATGTCTTTGGATCGGAGACCCTGGGTGCGCGGGACCGGGAGGTGACCCGGGCGCCGTATTACCCCTCCACCTCCGCCTCCAACTCCTCCGACCCGAAATCGTTGGCCGCGTTGCCCTCCCCCCGGATATCCAGCACGGGGGTCCCCCAGCCCCCCTCTCACCGACCGCGCGAGTACCGTTCAGCCGAAGAGGCCGTCCAGGAACTCTCCGGGGGCCGGGAGGATTTGCTGCCGCGCATTGTCCACTACGGGGGACATCAGCCTCCGACGCCACCCTCCCCGCGCCTGGGCAAGTCGGCTCCGACGCACCCAGAGGCACCCATGGGGACGCATCCGTCTGCCCCCGCTCCGCACCCGATGCTGTTCGCCCACGAGGGAACGGGGCGTCGTCGCCCCCGCAGCGAATACGAGCGGGACAACGGAAGCCCCCCGCTGGGCCACGGCCCGGAGCTCCATCGAACGAACCCCGCCTTGGGGCCGCCCCCGAGCGCCTCGTACGGGCCCTTTGGAGCCGGCCGCGATTCTCCCGAGACGCAGCGGAAGAAGAAAGAAGAGTTCCTCGGCCTGTGCTCCCGCGCATGGGATCTCTTCCATTCCTAGACGCAGTCTCCCCATGTGCCGGCCGCAAACATTACCCCATCGTACATTGACAGACATTGGGGCGTGACCAATGTCCTTTACTGGAATCTGATATTCGCACCAATGGTCCATATCTCTCATATTGGGCGGAATTACTCCCGACGTGGGGGGTCATCATCCGCCGTTTGACGGGGGGAGGAATGATCGCCTTGCCCAATGACAGGAGTGACCAACCATCGGGGGCTGATGAATATGCAACTACAATTGCGTATATGAAGAGCATGAACAAGCTACATCTATGGATTTTCTTTGAGTTTTCGTTCGATTTCTGGTGCTTCACTTCTTACCCCATGCAAGGTCAAGGGCTAATGCTCTATTTTATCTTCTTTGTCCCTGTTTTCATCTTTGTCCGCCTCGATCTTCCAGGCGTTCAGCTCATGCCATTTACTACTACCTTGTCTGAGGACATGTTATGTTGAGACCCATGTTGACTTGATGTTGTTGATGTTTTCTTGCTTTTGAGTCCCTCCTTACCATCTTTTCCTTATCTACTTCTTGCCTCTTTTTTCCCTTCCTCTTCTCTTCTCTTCTCTTCTTCTTTTTTCTTTTACTTTTCTTCTCTTTTATTGGCGATTTGTTTTGTTGATTCCCGGTTGCGATACCAATGGTTTGTTGATTTTTACTCGGCTTCTCTTTCTCTTTCTTTTTGGATATAGCGTCACCATTCAATGATGTCTGGTTTGCTTGCCTAATATTCGAACATTTGGAGCTGCGCTATCTCAATACTTAATGTGAAAGTGGCTTGGCCTACGGTCTTACATTGTTCAACACTACTCGATATGTAGATTCTGGTATTTGTTGATCGTAGATATAGACAGATATCTCAAGGGTAAATAAAAGCGATACCTCGATGGTAAATAAAAGCAATAACGTTCAAAAGACAACACACAGGCTCAAACTAATCCATACGTCGCCGTTTCCTAGGCTCCTCAGCACCCCCATCATCCAACCCCCTCCGATCCATAGGCATCTGCTTCCTCTCCTTAGAAGCGACCTTCTTGCGTCTGCGCTCCAACGCCTTCGTCCTCTCCTTCGAGTTCATATTATCATACTTCTTGAGCAAAACCTGCTTCTTCATCTCCGAATTCTTCAAGAAGTAAGGATTACTCTTCTTGCCCTCACGAATAAGCTGCTTCTCGCGCTTCTTATGCTCAGCAACAACATCCTTCTCGCGCCGGCGGTTCGCAATCGCGCGCTCCCGATCCGCCGCCGACCGAATACTCCGCTGCAGGGCCTCCTTCTCCGCCGGATTCTTCGTCCGCCGGAACTTCTCCTTCATCTCCTTCAGCTCCGCAGAGCGGTACTCGTCTAGGAAGGCGTACGCCTTGAGCGCAGCCTCGGGGTTATGCTGCCCGCCGCCCTGGCTGAGAACGGTGGGGTCGAAACGCGGGTCGCGCGACTTTTGGATAGCGGGCGGCTCGACGACGGTGCGTTTGCGCGAGACGGCCCGCTTGGAGGTCTGCACTGCGGGGGCGTGTTTCGAGGAGCGGGAGGGCTGCTGCTTCTTCTCCGAGTCATATTTGCCTTTTGTTGACGATGAGGAGGAAGCGGTGCGTTTCTGCTCGCGCGCTTCGCGGATGCGCGCCCGGATGTCGTCTAGTGGGGAGTCTTCACTTTTCCCTGCTTCTGCGGTCTGCTTGGTGCGTTTGTTTTTAGGGCCTAGGGAGGCTTGGGCTTTGGCTAGGGCGCCGAAGGAGATGTTGTTGAGGGAGGACTGGAAGTCGTCTTCTTCTTTGGGGGGAGAGGAGTCTTCGGAGGCATCGTCGGATTCCTCGTCTTCTTCGCCTAGATCTGACTCCATGTCTGATGCTGAGGGTGCATTGTCGGAGTTATCGGAGTTGTCGGAGTCGTCTGAGTCTGATCCATTGGCGCTGTTTTCGCTGCCTGAGCCTTCTGAGTAAACTTCTTCGTCATCGTCTGGCCGCGCTTGCATGCGCCGGTTGAGTAGATCTGAAATTGCCATGCCGATTGATGTTTCCCAGTGTATCGAGCAGTGGTGGTGGGAAAAAATAAACCAGCTAGTTGAGACTTCAACTAAAAATCAGAAAAAAGAAAACCGAAACGGATAATTCTGCCCGACCAGCAAGGCGGTGTCCACGGCGGTCAGTCCGTGATTGGCTGATAACCGTTTTGTCGCGGATTTATTTGGATCTTTTTCGCCATCGTCGCAAATCGTCTTCTTGTTTCTTCCCATTCTCTCGCGATATCTCCCTGCTGGGTCGGATCGATGGTCTCATCCTTTCTATGCGGACTGTAATGTCATGGGGCCATCGCCCTAGTTCGGTCTGTTGTTCTTCTTTACTCTCGTTCACGAGATCGTCGTCCCCCCGTTGGACTCCGCCGGGTGATTTCTACAAGGTATTTAGTGGATCCTTCTGTGTCTTTAAGTGTTAGTTTCACAGGTTGAATTCTGATCACTTCGCTAGTTTCTATCTGATCCATTCGTTTCGACCCCCGTAAACGTTTCTCGTTTCTCACACGCCTCCATGCCGAGGAAGAAGCGTCGCACCGGTCCCCCCCAGCCGGGGGGGCAACCCCAGAATATCACAAATGGGGGTAAGAGTGGCGGTGACAACGCAGCGCAGAGCAACCATCAAACATCCGATGGCGCATGGCGACCATACCAAACGCGCTGGAACTCAGGCTCTCAGAAACAATCAGACAAGGCCGCCCCGAGAAACCCCAACAAGAAACGCAATATGGGCGCGATGCCCGGGGCTTGGATGCAGCGGCACAGTCCTCTGTATCGAGTATGGGAGGGTCGCAGGGACCGGCTGCGATGCCGCAGTCGTTTGCCTCGGCCTACGATCCGAACACGTCCAATCAAGGCGCTTCTATGGGATTTCCGGATCTGAACGCCTTTCCCATGTTCCCCATGTTGCCCAACATGATGGACTTCCAAGGACAGTTTCAGTCTCAGGGTATGCCGGGACAGCAAGCCCTACAGAACCAGCTCCCTGCCGGCCAACAAGCACCCGGCTCAGCCAACATGCCGCAGTGGAGTGACTACAGCAATCCTGCGAACTTTCTACCATTCCCGCCGCCACCGCCCTTCCTGAACATGACACCCACACCGGCCATGTGGAACACACCGTCCCCCTTCCACATGGACCCTACGGCCTTTGCAGCAGCTGGTCCTGCAGCAGCCAGTACCCCGGGTGGGCCTGGGCGCAAATCCGCCAACGCGCAGCGAAGACGATCACACTCCCCTGTATCCCCTCCATCAGCCACAGAGGCATACCTCGCCCAGTCTGCTCTCCCCCCTCAGAAGAGCAAAGCTCGCTTCCGGCCCCTCCTCGTCATTCTCGACCTAAACGGGACCCTTATCTGCCGAAAACACCGCCGAATGCCCCCCAACTTCGCCAGCAGAGCGGGTCTAGAGAACTTCCTCGAAACCTTAATGTCCAAATACAAAGTCATGATCTGGTCCAGCTCTCGCCCGGAAACAGTAAACGCAATCTGCCAGCAGCTCTTCCCAGGAAAAAAGCGCAAAGCCCTAGTCGCCGAATGGGGCCGGGACAAATTCGGCCTCACACCCAAGCAATACGGCTCCAAGCTCCAAGTCTACAAGACGCTCCAAACCGTCTGGGCCAACGAGTCCATCCAAGCCAAATACCCCGGCCGCGCCAGACGCCCCTGGAACCAGACCAACACGATCTTAATCGACGACAGCAAGCTCAAAGCCCTCAGCGAGCCCTACAACATCCTCGAGATCCCGGAATTCACGAACCCCCCTGGTGCCGGCGACGAAGACATCTTCCCCAAGGTGCTGGATCGCCTCGAGGCACTGTCAAAGTACGACGACGTCAGCAAAGCTCTCAGACTGTGGAACTCGAAGTTGTCAGACGACGTCAAGACGGTCCTCGATCTGGGCGTCTACCCCTCCTCGGACGACCCGCTGCAGCCGCCGCCGCCTGTTACAGATGAAGACCAGCTTCGCAACCAGCTTCGCGTCGAAAGGCGCAAGGCGCAGAAGCAGGTGAAAGTCGCGCGGAAGAAGGCGAGGAGAGCCGATCGGAATCCCGACGCTGTTCCGTCGGCCGCCGCACCCGGGGCGAGTGGCGGGACTGCTACTCCCGCTACTGTTACTGAATCATCGTCGCGAGACGATGGTGGAGTCTCTATCCCTTGTTCTGCTTCTCTTGAAGAAAATACCAGCACAGACAAAAACATAGACACCAAGAAAGTGAACCCAGCAGCACCGTCCTTCACCCCCAGATCCATCTCCCAACCCACCACTACGACCACCACACCTCCATCAACAAACACCACGACTACCACAACTAGCTCACCACCCCACAACACGCGCTCGCCCTCCCCAGCCCCATCTACTAAATCCGACAATTACCTTCTAGATCGACTAGAGGAGTCGCTGAATGTTTAGATTAGAGTACATTGACTTTTTCTTTTCTTCTTTTTTACAACCGATTTGTTGATATTGTGCTTCTTTGGCATACTACTACCTACTTTGTTCTTCTGTACATATGGTTTGGTAACTATGGTATGGGATGGATGGATGGATGGATGGATGGATGGATGGATGGGACAAATCATGGTTTCTTTTTGTTTTATCCCCTTCTTTACCTATCATTCCGCATAGAATGATAGATAATGATGATAGATGGTGTTTTCTTTTCTATCCTTTCTACTTGTTGTTATTCTTGTTTTCTTGTGGTGGACAGGTTGATTGGTTGTTTTATTTGCTGTCGTCGCTTTTATTATCATTCAATGGGTGGATGTCTTTCCTTGTATTGTGATATACCCAGGTTTTGACTAGGACGATTCAATCCATCCAATTCAATTTCAGAGATCTCTTTTTTTCTTGGGAGAGGCGTGGTATGGTGGAAGTCCCGCGAGTACTCCGTAGTTCCAGATGATATAATTGGGTATCTATTATCTACTAAGTTGGTATTTAACTACTACTGTCCATAGTAAGGTTTGTTCCCCTGAGGGGTGGCAGCAAGTGCCATTCTTCGTTGCGAATAGTTAGCTATAGCTATTATCCAGCATCTCAAATCGTAAACGTGGCATGACGAGAAGATAATTTTTGCAAGAGAAAAAAGGGGGTTTGACGAATGAAAGCACGTAAACCGTTCCACATAAGCATAGACATTAAAAACCGGGGAGGGCAGGGCCGGGCGGGAAGGGTTTACCCCGCTCCGTCCAGTTGACTTGAAGTGGACGGGCCCGGCGAGAGGGAGGGGATCATCATCCATCAGGATGTGGTTACGATCACAACAGACATTTATTTGAAGACGTGGCCGTCAACCCAGGGGTACTCCTTGTCGTTCAGGGTGATGTTGGTGTCCCAGGCCCACATGTCCTCAATGAGCTTGCGGTCCTCCTCCTTGGTGTGGTCGAGCTTCACGAAGTCGTAGCTCTCCCAGTCGGGAGCGACGTCGAACGCCGGGAGGGCCTCCTGGCCGCGGACCAGGAAGACACCGCGGATGGCGCAGTCGTAGTTGGTGCCGAAGACGGACTGGGCACCGAACAGGTACTTGCGCGAGGCCTCGAGACGAGCGTGGAAGCCGCCGATCAGGTTGTTGGCCATGAAGGTCAGCTTCAGCTCGTTGTCGTACTTGTAGTTGACGCTCCACAGGGAGAACTCCTCGGGCTTGTAGTTGGCCCAGAACCAGGGCAGCGCGGCGGGGCGAGTGTCCTCGTTGGAGTAGCAACGCTTCCACTCATCGAGAACGAAGGTGGGCTTGCCCAGGGCCTCCAGAGGGTGCTTGGCCTTCTTCTCCTCGGCGGGCTTCTCAGCGGCCGGGGCGGGGGCAGCAGCAGGCTTGGCCTCCTTGGGCTTCTCCTCCTTCTTGGGGGGAGTGTACTTGATGGTCTCCTCGACGAGGACGGGCTTCTCAACCACGGCCTTGAAGGCGGGCTGGTTGACGATAGTCTGGAACCACCGGGTGACGGCAGGGTTCTCGGAGCGGAACTTCTTGTCCAGAACGGTGGCGAAGGCACGGGTCAGGAGAGCCGCGGCGAAGATATCAGCCAGGGTGATACGCTCGCCAACGAGGTAGGTGTTGGCAGTGAGGTGGGTGTTGAGAACACCGATAGCCTTCAGAGAAGCCTTGGCGGCATCATCAACGTTCTTCTTGTTGTAGGAGTCCTTGCCCATGAGAGGGCGGTACCAGCCACCGAGCTTGGAGAGGACCTCGGAGTTGGCATAGGACAACCAACGGAGGATGGAGGCATAATCCTGCTTGGTCTTGCCGAGCAGGGTAGTCTTCTCATTCTGCGAGGTGACTTTGATGGTCAGCAAATTTGGCCAAAAAAAAAAGCGAGAAAAAATGTAAAAATAAAACTTGAAAATTCTTCTCCAATCTAAATTACCCCGCTTTAGGGTTAATTCAGATTGGAGAAAAATGTGAATCAGAGTTTGGGTAGTCAACACTGTTGTTCTGCCAGGGATAACTTGAATAAAAAAATTTGCTCATCATTTTAAGAGGGGGATACGCAATCAGAAATAAAAAATCAACACTGATATACATACCATACACAGCAATGGCAATGGCCTCAGACAGAGAGTAGCCGTTGGCACCCTCGAAAGCAGGGACCTTGCCCAGAGGGCTCAGCTTGGTGAACTCGGCCGACTTGTTGAAGGCGGCAGTCGAGTCAGCCTCGGTCTTCACCAACTCGAGATCAACATCGTTGCTCTTGGCAGCGACGAGGATCGCGATGGTGCGAGGGTTGTCCTGTTACCAACCGTCAGTTCTGACGCCTGGTTGACTATGCAGACGAGAGCCATGTGCCTCCCACAATGACCGATCGAGCCCCTCTCGATCCATCATGTAGAGACCAAAGCAAAGATAAAGAAACAAGCCCTTAGTTCAGGGAAACGAAAGGGATGGACATACGGGAAGACCGTAAAGCTTTCCAAAGGCCATTGTGAAAGAGAGAGGAGGAAGGATTGTGAAGAGAAAGAGAGATGAAGAAGAGAAGAAGAAGAAGAAAAAGAGAAAAAAAAATGGATCGAGGGGTTGGAGGAAATTTGTGCGAATCAGCGTTGGCGCCGCTTCGGGGCCCGGAGCCGTGTTTGTCCGCGCACGTGACCGTGCGTCGAAAAACCTCAGGATCGCCGAGCTCCATCCAGCCATACAGAACGGTCTGGCATTCGGCATATCCACCCGTTTTGCTGACGCAGCTTTCTTCCTTTCTATTTCGACGTGAGATTGACCTCGCTGCCAGTCTTTCTCAACTTTCCTCTCGCAATCATGGCGTGGCAGAGCCCCAATGGCGTCTTGCAGGCCATGCAATCCGTCCGCCGGTCCCTACTCCGACCCTCCAAAACGTCCACCTATCCCATCACCCGGACCGCCGCCGTCCCCAGCCTCTCCCAGCAGCAGCGCACATATGCGACAGAAGTGCAAGACGCGACGGAAGTGCGAGCCGCCCCGGAGATCGACTTCTCGACCTTCCACTCGCAGCCCACCCGGATCATCCCCCGATCTCGGTCCTACTTCTCCGGCAGCCCCAAGTTCATCGACAACATCCTGGGCCTGGAGCGACTGCTCGCGAAAACCTCCGCCCTGCCGACGGTGCCCGCGAGCGAAGCGCCGCGCAAGGCCTGGCTGAAGCTGGCCCAGTTCCGCGACTACGTGGGCGAGCCCGTGGCGACGAAGAAGTACAAGAACATGCTCAAGCTCCTGCAGCGGCTGAACCGGATCGACCCCGAGGTGATCCCCGCGGAGGTGACGACCATGCTGACGGAGTTCCTCCGGCCCGGTAACCCGTACAGTTTCCAGCCGGCGCCGCCGACGGTGGATGAGATGGGCCGGGCGCGCGGGCGGGGGAAGCGGAAGGAGTCGTCGGCTGTTGCGACGGTGGTGGAGGGTGAGGGGGAGGTGATGGTGAACGGGAAGACGCTGGCGGAGGCGTTCCCGCGGATCCATGACCGCGAGAGTGCGTCGTGGGCGCTGCGGAGTTCGTCCCGGCTGGACAAGTACAATGTGTGGGCGACGGTGCGCGGTGGGGGGACGACGGGGCAGGCGGAAGCCGTCGCGTTGGCGGTTGGGCGGGCCTTGATGGTGCATGAGCCGGGTCTGAAGCCGATTCTCCGGAAGGGTATGTTTTATTTCCCATGGTGTTCCTCAGTAGGGTTGAAAGTGGGACTTTTGCTAACAGCTATTCTACAGCCGGCGTTATCACGGTGGATGCACGACGCGTGGAAAGGAAGAAGCCTGGTCACCTCAAGGCGCGCAAGATGCCCACCTGGGTCAAGCGGTGAGGGGACATTTGGGTTCTTTCTTTCTTTCTTTTTATGTACTTTTCCTATTCTTTCCTATTCTTTTCCTAGTTCTAGACGACATTCTGCGAGCTGTACAATTACTTCCTATCTACCTACATAGCCTATCATGTTAAAGTATGACCCGTATAGTAAGCAATATAGCACAGCGTCAGACGTTTCAAGACACGAGAGAAACCTTTATAAAAACTCAGGGAAAGACCGAAAGAGAAACCAACACGTGCGTCCAGACCTATAGTAGTCCATACCTATAATATAACCCACGACCATACCAACCATGTACTACTATTCAATAGCGAGCTGCTGTCCAACCCCAACCCCTGAACCAAACTATTGAACCGAAATATTCAAGCGCAGGCCAGGGAACTTGTGTACGACCAACACGTGTTGTCTATGGTTATTGGCACGTCTACTTTTGACACGGACGGGAAGACTCAACTAGGGGTTTTCCTTTTCCTCCTTTTCCTTTCATTTGTTTTATTCTAGGGTTTGGTTAATGTTATCATTTCTGCTGGAATATTTCACGTTGGTTTGTCCTACGGAAGACGGGGGAAACCGTCAGGCGGAGGAGAGGTCTGTTTTGGGGGTGTATTGTTGTACAGGACTGGGAGTAATATATAAGATGATATACCTGGTATGGTGATGGAATATATATATGTTGGAAGAGAAAGAAAAAGTAGATTTGGCTGGTCTAGGTATACCCGAGTATACTCCGTTCATGCACCTGAGAAGAGATGTAGAGGAATTATGGAAGAAGAAGCTGTCATCTCCGCTGGAATGTCACTGCATGCAAAGAGACCATGAGGCGGGACTGCGGTGAACCCTGCCATTTGGTACGAATCTTGTTACACGAATATATATATATATATATATATATATATATATTAATCGATTGATTTCAAGGCTGAACAGGGCGTATGATCCTCTGACGTTGGATACTCATGACGGATGATATAGATCCTCATAAGACTGATGACCATATGGAATGGAATGATCGGGGGATCCGGCCGGATTGTCAGGAAAGCCTGGTGACCGAGAATGGCAAAAAGTCAGTCATCAGTTCAATTGACAATTCTCCTGGGGATCAGTAGTTCCTGAGTTGTCCATTCATGCATTGATCTGGATGTCAACCATCAAGCAGGATAAGCTGCAAGGGTGAGAAAATGAAGAAGATCATGTCAGACAGGAGATCGGATCTTCTTCATCCCCGATGACATATTATTATATAATTATAATATCATAATATACCCAGATGACGCCTCACTTTGAAGAAATAGGTGGATTCCAAATTCCGATCAGAGACTCACTAGTTGGTCCACTAAGGTGCGCACGACCCTTGGCTTTCCAGGACTTTGGTTACTTTATCTACAGTACTTTCTATAGGGTTATATTCTTAGTATTTGATAGTATTGTATCTTATATCTTTCTATTATATCGTCTTATATAAATGTATACATGTTATACTATATATATATATATATATATATATCCCCTATCTATCCTGGTTGTATTGGTTGATATAGTCCCAACCTGTCGGAACCCAAGGGAGCGGTAACTTCCTTCCGTCTAGTTCAGCTGATCCTTCGTATATTATTATATATTATTATATATTATATATATAATATTATACATAAGATACCTATATTTATATTATTTTGTATTATACTAATATACCTACCTATACTGATACCTCTCTACCTATACAGTTATAAACTATATATATAGATGAAACAAGTCAAACACAAGAAAATCATTGATTGCTGGATGCTTCTTTATGAAGACATCTCGAACTCAACATGCAGGAAACTCCACCCATGCAACTATTGATTGCATTCATCGTCATTCTCCTTTCTTTCTTTTTTCTTTTCCCTTCTCTTTTCTTTTTCTCTCTCTCCTCTTTTAGTTGTTTTCATTCCTTTTGATTCCCCACTCCTCAGTCCCCACATCAATCCCACCTCAATCCCAGATCGAGATCCCCAACTCGATCGTTCTCATCATGATCCGACGAACTCCCCGTTTCATAGTCTCCAGTCATCGTCCATGATTCCTTCCTTTCCGGATTCGATCATCTTCCTTTCAGCCCCCCGATGGTCCGTCCAGGGGGTTCCCTTCGTGGCGTGCCTGGTTGCTGATACGTATAAGTAATCCATCAATCCCATTCAGATGTCTTGTTTCAATGGTATTCACTTCTCTCTTCTCTTCTCTTCTCTCTTTACTTCTCATCTTCTCTCCTTCCTCGACTAGTTTCCTACTTCTCTACCCTAGAACCCCTCCACTCTCCCAACTGCAACAACATTGCATGAACTTCACACATCTACACAGCAAACATCTGAAACATCGAAACATCAAAACATCCATTCTCACTCGTCGTCCCACGCGGATCTCCGCCTCCACCCACTCACATTAACCCTCATCCTTCATCGCCCAAGTGACGTATCCCGCTGCAAGATCCGTCCGATCTCTCTCCACGTTGATAACTCGAATTTAAACCCCACTCCCTCGAACTGACCTTCACCCCACATTCTTAAGGTACATACTCTTTCCCCCTCCTCCCTAATAATCCCTTCCGTATAATACTACTATAATGAATCCGTCCCATGCTGACAGTCCGAGCGTATAGATCGCGTGGCACCCATCTGCCGTCCGGCATTACTGAACCCGTGGCACCAGTGCATGCTTCATCTGCCACCATCCGTGGCTGGTTTCTCAATCCCTTTCAGAACCATCCCTTGGGAAAGAAGACAAATCATAAGATCAACCCGGTATCATTCATATCAATATCCTCGATCTGGTAGTTTTTTTCAGATCCTTCTTTCTCGTGAGATATATATTATATATCTAGACGAATACCAAGAAGGAAAAGAGCGGAAAGAAACAAAAATAATCAAAATTCGGACCTCCGTACGACGGTCCCTTCGCCCAAGCTGGAATCGTACGCAAGTCCGCCGCTGTCGCCCCCAGCGCTGTGGTCCCCTGACCTCGATCCGTCGTGTAGAGGCATCTTGTGGGACCCGCTGAGTGGTATGGATGGCGACACCCGACGCATGAAACACAATGACGATTCCCGTTTCCCGGCCAGGTCGGCCATGTCCCGTCGCGGCCGTTCTGGCCATCCGGCCAGTGCTGCGCACTCTGAGCGCTTCCGACAGTCCGTCTTGCAACCCGCACGTGGGGACCCTGCATCGCTGTCACAAGCCGCCGCCCGGCCTCGAATGTCCACCTACATGGACTACCAATACGCGGACGGCGCCTTCCCGGGGCCGTCCTTGCAAGGGGGAGCGGATCTGCCACAGTTTCCGCCCGCTCTGCGCGACCCCCAGCGCCAGCCCCAGCCCCAGCACCAGCACCCCCAACAACTGTCCTTCGCCCCTTACGAGCCCGACATGGTCTACAACATCCCCCAACAGGGCTCCGCACAGGGGCCGTACGAGGTCGTGCCACCCTACCAAGGACGGCCGTCTGCAGCTATGGACGACCTGACCGGCCAATTTGGCGTTCCACAATACTTCCCTTCTAATGAACCGACCGGTCCCGGGGTGCCTCCCGGCGTGGGATCCCCGTACCTCACCTCGCCGCTCCATTCTTCTTATAACCCGTCTGGTCCCATTGGCCGCTCGACTGCATCCCAACCCTTCCCCACCACCATGGCGGAGATCAACCCAATGGCCAGCGGAGGCTCCTCATCCACCTCGCAACCGCCACCGCCCCCACCCCAACACCGCCCGCCACCATCCCAGCAACCACCGCAACCACCGCCGCAGGATGCGACGGACCGGCCGAATCTAAACGAGGCCTATGCGCAATTTCAGCAAGCATTACGAGAGACCTTTGATCATACGCGCGCCGGCCGGCTGGTCGAGGCTAGTCGATCCTTGTTGGAAATTTCCGAGTGGCTAGTGACCAATGCACCGGGACTGGGTAAGGATTTTAATTTTAATTTCTTTTTTCTTTCTTTTTCTTTTCTTCATTGCACTGCAGCCTTGTCATAACCCTGACTACCCTTGCACGACATGCGTCCTAGCGCATCCATCGCCCTGGTCATGGTGCACTAGCGCCGCCCCCTTCCAACTAGTCCGAGAGAAAGGCGCTAACTGCGATCGATGAGATCGGGCTGTAGGGATCTTACGTGACGATCAGGTACTTTATGCGGATCGACTCCAGCTGTGGAATGATTTCAACATCTGCTGGCTGGCGATTTGTCAGAAGCAGAAAGACCTGATTCAGGAAATGCTGCAGTCCGGTCGCCGCCCGCCCCACGTCAGTTTACTGAGCGGGGACACTTTGGAAAGTTTGGGCAACGAGTTGATTCAACTTTGCGACCGGATCGAATCGCACGGGCTGGTTGATTACCAGATGGGTATTTGGGAAGAGGAAATTCTTAGTGGTGAGTTCCTTTCTCTACCTCGAGGAGCAAATATTCGAACCAAGGGGGGAGTATAGCTAACCCAACTCAGTCCTGGAACAGTGCCTCGATCTCATGGAGAACCAAACCGGAATGTTGCACACTCACACGACTACCGCCCCCCCCACAGCGGCCTAATCCGATGGCCTCCTTTTTTCTTTTCTTTTTGAGTCATTTTTTCTTTCCAGTTCAGCTCGCTGATCCCCCTACCCGGAATGGCACCGTACGGAAGCGCCCATCGTTCCGGACATCCTCCGTACTTCTGCAGTGGGTTCGGGTTCAGGTCAGGTATGGGGCTAATTTAGTCCTTGTTTTTGATCGAGTGGTGGTCCTCACCGGATGGCTCGTCAATCTTCCTCCCCCCCGGCCCCCACTCCCTTTTCCAAATCTGTCCCCAATCTGCTTGCTTCGATCTCTCCACTCCTGCAAGGGCATCTATCAGGATCTAGCTTCCGAGCCCGAGCGCAGGATTGGTCCCGGGGCGATGGTCCGTGCTAGACTGGCTCCACCCGTCCGCTGATCAATGCAACCAAACAGCCCCAGCAGCCCTCCCAAGAAAGGAAAAAAGAAACATAAACAATATCACATCTCCACGTGTCTCAGATCGTCAATTTCCTCATCTCAGCTCATAGATGGGCGCTTCTTTCTTCTTTCTTTTTCTCCTTTTTTTTTGTCTCATTTGTTTCATGTCTTTCAGCGATAGATGCCCGGAAAACGCAACCTCATGTTATGCAAAGATTTGATTTGTATCTTTTCTTCTTTTTCTTTTTCTTTTTCTTTTTCTTTTCTCTTTCCCCATATTTCTTTTTTATTGTTTTGTTTGTTTTTATTTGATTGTCGGAGATACCCAGGTGTATGGATGACACAATGACCCATGCGATGCATTCAATATTAGTCAGTACGTACTTTACACTTATATTACAAATAGTTTAACTTTATAAACCACTGATTTATAATCTGGCAAAAAGTAAATTAGCAGATATAGATTGGATCCATAGTAGTGTTGCCGACTTACCATAGTACCAAATGGAGTAGCACTATAGTAGTGTACAGACTTTCGACCGAGAGGCAAGACAACAAGACAGAATAGGACAGAATAAACTAAATCGCCGGATATACTTTTAAGACCATCAATCCATACAATGGCTATGAATCAAAGTACCACTCGATCGATCAATCCTGCAACTCGTGCCCAAAACCACGCTAGAGAGAGAGAGAGAGATATTCTTTCCAAGCTGTGCGTCATTATTACCTTGCCTTATGCAGCCGAGTCTATGCAGCTGGTTCTAATTATACTTATCTAGTCAATGAAGTAGTATTTCAGTTCAGCTCTTGTAGGGGGGATGAGGTATGTTTGATGTCATCGCTATATTAAAATTAGTCAGGTAGAGTATTACTGGTTTTCTTTCCTCTTGCTTGGATTATTTTGGATCATACGTAAGTATGTCCATGTTGAAGGCTGATATAGTTGAATATCTACTCCGTACTCCGTACTCCGTAGTTAGTCTATGTATACTCTGTTACTCTGTACTAACTGTGTGTTGTAATAGCTTTGATAAGACCATGATTCAATAAGTGCTACCTACCTATCTACCTAATTCAACTCAGAGGTCGGCGGACATTCTTTTGACTCTTCATAATTTCCCAACTATTCGCAACCTCTCCGTAGTTCCTAGAAACCACAAAACCATAAAACCATTAATATCATCAATATCATCAATATTCATTTCCTGCCCGTTTCAACAGTTTCAAAGAACCTGTCGCGATGTCTAACCGCATTATCATTCATTCTTTCATTCATTCTTCATTATCATCTCGACAGTGCCATCATGTCGAGGAAAGCTGCGCTCCATTCTTCACTAAAGCCAGAAATTAGCGATTCTAACAAACCAAGCAGAATAGGTAGAACTCACGTCTCACTAAACCGTCGATTTTATCATAGATCTCATCAACGCTCAACAATGATAATGACTCGACATGCGCGATGGCAAGATACTCCCACGGTTTAGTAGATACAGCCATAGAAGCTCTAGGGTTGTCAAATAGATTGGTGTTCATGATATATCTGCGGATATTTTTGAACTTGTTTAGCTTTGGTTTTGCATCTTCCAGGTCATCGTTCTTTGTCGCCTCTAAGCCATCGTTTCTTATCGCCTTTAAGGCTAAACCATTACACCAAGCCCCTGTGTCAAATGTCAGACCATCAGGGAACTGGATGTCCAAGGATGCGACATATTGCGAGGCCAGCACCATAACCGACAGACGATAATCCAAAACATCATTAAGATAGATGAGTCTTTCATCATACTTCACCCCTTAAACTATCTGTTTAAGCTTCCAATGGACTACATTAGGCCCGATATTATCTGGGCCGGAGAATGAGTCCATGTATGCTCTGCTTTGGCTTTCGCGGTATTGAACTTCTTTGCTATGGGTCGTGTCTGAAGTGTCATAGCTGCTTGTGCTTGACATAATTATCAGTGTTTGAAGATGGTGGTGGCATAACTTGTATTATCTCTGCCGTCTTTCCCAATGTTTTTGGTATGAGTGTTCTGCGTGTCGAGGGTTGACTATCGCTGTCGACGTATTGACAGCCGAAGTAGAAAAGCTAGATAGCCCTTTAGCTGGTGGTTTTCGTAGCTAGATTAATACCCTAGCGGAGTGTAATTTGTCAATTACCGTGATGAGAGATCTCAAATGATTGCTTGATGAAGAGTCAAGATGAAGAGTCAAGATGAAGAGTCAAGATGAAGAGTCAAGATGAAGAGTCAAGATGAAGAGTCAAGATGAAGAGTCAAGAATGACATATAAGATATACTGCAAGGACGAAAGATGGTTGGTTGGAGAGGATCGACGAAGACCCACTACCACCTGGTCGGAACCTAAGGTATCCACTTGAATGGGAACTTCTGCCTATTTACACCGCCCTACCCGACAATAAGAACGCCAAGATCAGGCAGCGAATGAAATAGCTAGGTAGTGATGCAAACAATACCAATACAATGACCAGAGTGATAACCTATCACTTTCCATGCAAGTTTACCAAAAGGGCATATATAACCCTCCAAAAAGTGAATAAAAAATCATTATCCATCCTAGTATATAAATGAAGGAAGAAAAAAAGAAGTGGTCCCAGTGAGGCTCGAACTCACGACTTTAGAGTTATTAGCTCTACACTCTAACCAACTGAGTTATAGGACCTTGTTGGATGATTTTTATCAACAGTAAGAGGGTTCTTGTGGGGACTTCTTTGGGTATCATTGACGACTGCTAATCACCTAGGTAGTATGTATGTGTTGACTCAACCCAAGGTATGTCAATACCCGAGTTTGAGATGTTATCTTATAGCACAACTAAGAAGTATCTCTGTATTCATACTAGAGATGCATGTAGTCTGAATACCATCGAGTATGTACACCCGCACTATCATCTAAAGCAAATCTCACTTAAACTACAGGTAATCGTCACTATCATATCGTAATCGGTCATATCGGCGAAAGGGACGTTGAAAAGCGCAGAACCGTAAACAAGAAAACATAGCTTAAATTTGATCTGTACCTTACATGGTTAGCATTCATTCATATACCCTCAAGCATACAACAAAAGACGAAGAGAGGGGGAGGGGGAGGGAGGACATACTCAACGTCATGCTCAAACTGATATCAGTATTCTCCACCATATCAGTAAACTCCTCAAAGCTGATCTTGCCATCCTGGTCCTTGTCCGCCTCCATGATCGTCTTGTCGACGATCTGCTGCAGCTGGATGTCCTTCAGGTTGTTCCCGACCATCATCTTCAGCACGATGAACAGCTCGCCGTTGGAGATGAACCCGTCGCGGTCGATGTCGTACACCTTGAATGCGAAGCGCAGCTTCTCTTCCTTGTTGCCTTTGGAGCTGAATGCCGAGAGGCCCGATACGAACTCTTGGAAGTCGACGTCGCCGCCGCCGTCTTCGTCGAAGATTGCGATCATTCTGTACCACACGTGTCAGCTTGCTCGTCCTGTTGTCTGTGTGTTTTTGTAGATTCTCTCGGAGATGTATGTAACATACCGAGTGGCGAGCGGGTTGGACGAAACCTGCGGAAGGGAGAGGAACTCATCCCGATCGATCGTACCGGAGCTGTTCTATACAAGTGTCAATAACGCCCCAACACTGCCAACGTTCAATCCATCACCCACCTTATCAAGCTTCATAAACCGTTTGCGCAGTCGGTCCACCTCATCTCTGTCGACTAATCCCAGAAAAAGGTCAAGTCAGTGGCTGCACCCGGCACAGGCTCAGTCCAGAACTAACAGTTGGAAGCGGAGACGATGTCGTCAAACAGTCGGGTGGTGCCGACCGAGCCCCTCCGTCTCCGCGCATCGTACAGAGCCGCATTGTTGGGTTCGCTGGATTGGTCCATGGTGGGGTATGATCGAGTGTTGATGCGCCGATGGGTTGGGCGGGCGGAAGGTGAGAATGTAAGGAAGGTATGGGGCGGGCGGAAAGGTGATGTGATGGATGTATGGGGCGGGCGGAAAGGTTGATGGAGGAGTTGGGGAGGAGAGGAGAGCCCGGCGCGGGAGGGCGGTAGGCGTCGATTACGGGAGGTTAACTATGGCCCAAAGCGGAATGAATCGACAATGATGAGCCACCCCAAACAAACTAAGCCACCGGTGTTGATAGATAGATAGAAAGCGGATCCAATCAAAGGATATATCCAGACGGTCGGAACAGCTTAAAAGTACCTAGGTACCAGGTAGATATGAGCTTGGAAGGGCGAACATGCCACCGGGAGCGATTTGATATCGGCCAGCCCCGCACTAACCGGAAACGGACAGGCAAGCGAACCCCTGAGGCCGTGCGCTGGTCCAAAACAGGCCACGCCTGGGCGGCATTGCAACGTCAACCCATCCGCCAGCGCTGTTGTGACGAGATTTCAGCCGTCATTATCACCCACCCACTCATCCTTTTCCATCACGAATTTACGACTACGTGAATCTACTGTTTCTGACCTATCGTCTGATACTAATTTCGTTCCCCCTTGCCCATGGTTATTGCCCCTTTCCGTGCCCCAAAGTTCGGATGACTCGGTACGGGGGAATGGGGAGGACGCGCCCAAAAAAGCTCACCTCCAAGGCCTCGATCCCGATTGTCAGAGAGCAGGACATTGATATCATTGATGACGAGGTCCAAAATGCCCTGCAACAGGTTGAGACCGGCGTGGAGAAGGCGGAGGAGTCGGTGAGTTTCTATCCCTCCCCCCCAAAAGCCTCAGGCCCATCCCTGCATCCGTCACGTGATATCATCCCGAACCTCACCCCATCGTGAAAATTTCGCACCTGGGCCAGGCCACCCCCAACCAACTCCTACTGATCCGCTGCTCTACAGGAATTCCATCTTCAGGCGGCCATAAATGCAGCTGCCCAGGGAAAAGTAAATGAAGCTCACATCCCGACTCCGGAGACGGTCATCAGCAACCTGCAGTATGACGAACTCTATCCCCCTACTTTTTCGCAACCTGCGACGTACATCCGCTTCTCGTCCACGGTCGAGGACTGTTGCTCCTGTCCGTACAATATGACGGAGGAGGATGATGTCTTCTTCAAGATCATGAACCAAAAGCGGGGCCCCTCCAGCCGCTGCACCGAGGACCAATTCGAAGAGGTGATGAACTTCTTCGAAGAGACGGCGCAGGCCAAGCAGCCATTTGCGGCCGTAGATAGTCCTCCCGTGTTAAGCTTCCAGGAGATGCAAGACTCGATGGATGCCGCCGTAGAGGACAGCGTAAAGCGGTTTTCCAAGGACATATATGAGCACTGGAAGTCAAGGAGGATGAGCAATAACAACCAGTCCCTGCTACCACATCTCAAGGTGAGTCATGTGCTGAAGTATGAGAGGAAAGACCGCGTCATTCTGACCCTCGCGCAGTTTGAAACGGGCCAGGAAACCGACGATTCAGATCCATATGTCTGCTTCCGTAGACGCGAGGTTCGTCAGATCCGCAAGACTCGGGGTCGGGATGCTCAGAGCGCCGATAAACTCCGAAGGCTTCGAAAGGAGCTGGAGGATGCTCGGAAGCTGGTCGGCCTTGTACGCCAGCGCGAGTCGGCAAGGAAGGAGATGTTCGCGATTGAGCGGCAAGTCTTCCTGCAGCGATCCGAAGTCAAGGAGATGAAGAGGAAACTCAACATCAAGGACGACGACGAGGATCTCATCAACCAGAAGGTAAGCACCACTCGTGTCCATATTCCTTCTCAGATACTAATCCGGAAGCAGCCGAAGAAGAAGCCCGCAGAGGCCCCAGCGGTGCAACGACCAGCTGCCCCGCAACTTCGTATGCCGCCCAAAGCTGGTACCCAGACTTCAGACGACCTGCAGTTGCTGGAGGATGTGCAGGCGGAGAAGGAGAACGAGATTCTGCGCGACATCAAGCAAAACATTGCCAAGCATGTCAAGTGGAACGAGGGTTACGTGGACTTCACAAGAGCACCACTGTCGCCGCCGCCTGAAAAGTCTTTCGAGGCGGCATTCCGCCCAGCGATCACAACCCAATTACCGACACCTCCGTCGTCGGATTCATCTGAGAACATGATGGATACCTCTCCGGATGTCTTGGGTGCCATCGCATTGCGAGATAAGCTGGCCTCCCATGCCATGGACCTGGACGACGAGACTAGCAAACTCCCGTCGTTCCGAAGGCGGATTGGGCGGGGCGGCCGTTTATGGATCGACCGTCGAAACCTGGCTTCGCGTTGTAGAGTGGATATGGACCCACTGAAGGCCGATCGATTCAAGTTCGACCAGGAGGATTCCGACGAGGAAATTGAGTTCGACCGGGATCAGTATGACATTCAAATCATGCAGCACCGAGCCATCATGGCAGCCAAAGCTCGAGAACAAGCTGCAGCTGCAGCTCAAGCCCATGCGCAGGCGCAGGCGGCCCAGGCCCAAGCTCAGCGACGAGCACAAGCTGAACAATCAGCCAACACCAACAACCAAGCCCCCACCACGGGGCCAACGATGGGGTCAAATCCTGGGCCTGGAGCCATTGCCCCAACCGCTGAGACTTGAGCTGGGCTTTCGTTTCTTCTCTCCCCTCTTTGCCTACCAAACACTTATTAATCTGCCACACCGATATGTCTTTGCATCTGACAGGCGTTTATTGCGATTTTGCCAACCCCTTGTATTTTATTTTTGCGCCATGAGTGATGCGGAAGGGTTTTTTGCCTTCTATGTCGCGTCCGGCGCCAACGTGGTGTCGTTTCTTGCTTATTTGAATGCCGGGAAGCTTTCAAAACCGGGACGAGCCGAAAAAAAAGAGCAGTCTGGGAGAATGTCGCAGACGGGATCATCACCTCGTTCTTGCGATGTTAGTGTACATAGTATTTGTTTTATCAGCGCGACGGTCGATAGACTTGTATGGATAGTGAAGCGACGAGATCAGCAACGAAAAAAAACAAACAATATTTTAATGCGAGATAACGAGAAATCCACTTTTCTTGAACTTTTTCTTATAGAATTCGACAATCCAATGGAGATGGACTGGCTCGAGAATCAGGTCTTTTGAATTTTGGGGTTTCTCGACTGCTCGCTATCGCCTGCCGCAGACCGCTTGGATGCAGACGACCCCTTGCCGTCTGTAGACGAGCCCAGCAAGGAGAAAAGGCTCTGCAGGATTTCCTTCTCACCGATGCGAACCTGCACCGCCATTTTCTGACGCCGGGATGATTCGTCCAGCGGGGAAGAGGCCCCCGATTGGATCAAGCGGGATAGAATTTCATGATCTTGTTCGATCGTTGTTCCGTACTGCGCGCTCTCCAGCTGGATGGTTTTCGCCAGAATGGCAGATTCTTCCTGGTCGAGGGATGGCTTCGGGAGCTTGTTTTTCGACTGGTGCTTTTGGAACTGATCTGACGGCAAGGTCAGGGTCTTGAGCAGCAAGATGAGCTCGACCGGCAGGATATCTGTCAATGAATCATCCCCGGAGATTCTTGGGATGACATAGCCATCGTCGAGGACCTCCATTTCCTCAAGAATTTGGAGCTAAGCATGCGTTAGTATGGAGGGGTAGCCGATGGGCGGTATCGATGAACATACCCGAGGTTGGCTTTCAATATCAGCATTTTCAAGACCGGCTGCTTGGCAGATATGCTTCAGTGATAATTCGGCCACGTCGTAGGGGGCGTAGTTGTCCGTCACATAGCCGTAGCGTCTCAGAAGATCTACCCGAGGAAGCTCCCCGTAGTCGTTGAAAATCTCATCACCTTGCTTGATGGGTTTGATAGCTTTCATGATCAACGAGCCGTCTTCTTGGAACAGGCGAGCCTGGGAGAATAAACAGGTTAGCCTGAAGTACCGGAAAGGGGAAGGATTAAATTAACAAAACTCACATTGTTCCGGTCCGCATCGGCGTTCAACATATCGGCCAGCGGGACCATGCCTTTAGACTGTCCTTCCTCCTCATCGGTCATATATCCATCTTCAGCATCCTGCTCGTCTTCATCCTCCGGATTCTCAATGTCGAAGGCATACGCCATGATGATGGAACCCATGGTATGGGCGATGTTCAGGAGGGCCCGGGTGCCCGCCTCGCCGTCATACGAGGTCAGACCACCGACAGGCGGGAAGAAAGTAGGATTTTCTCGGATTACCGGAGCGATAGTCTCCAGAATCATTTCCTCCGCGCTCTGCTTCCCAATCTTGCCCACAATTGCACTGCCCTGGAGCTCTTGGAGCTCTGCCGGGGACCAGAACATCAGGGTGTCGAAATTCTGCGGGAGCACGTTGAAATACGGTTTCCAGGCAGACTGTTCACCACGGAGGTACTCGTAGATCATGACGAGGATGAGAGAAAGCCATGGGCCGAACTCGTTGAGATCGTGGGAGAGCAGATCCTTCAGGGTGGAGGTCCGAGCCGACAGAACGGACTCGGGTGGGATGGTAAAAAGTTCTTCACCTTCGGCAATATCGGACTGAGCCACTGGATGGAAGAGAAGAATTTGTATCAGAGAATGGAAATCATTGACACAAAAGAGATATAAGAAGGTTTAGGATCTGACGGGGTAAAAACCCTGTCTGGAGGACCACATACCAACACCTCGCCCAGCAGCTTGGGATCTCAGATCTTGCACACGAATTTTGGGGTTGATCTTTACGCCCGACCTGCCCGCGAGCCAAGTCATAAAATCATCCGTCTGCCGCTGAAAGTCCTCATGGGTTGGGGAGTGGGTTGTGGGAGACATTGTGCATTAAACGAAAAGGGTGTGGATTTCGTCACACCAAGAAGAGACTAATGGGGATCCCACAGGGAAGAGGTGAGAGGGGAGGGGGAGAAAAGGGAAAAGGGAAAAAAAAAAGACAAGGAGGATCTCTAACAAGAACTGCAGAATCTCAAGATTCTTTTAGAGGTAAAAAGACAGAAAGATGGGTGGGGAGAGGAAGAGGGAAAGATGAAGATGTGTGGGAGGGGAAAATAGCATAGTAGAGAGCAGAGCAGGCGGACTACTACTAACTGGTGTATACACTCGGATAAACGCTGCGGCGGAATTGCCGCCTCCCAACCCAGCGGGAGCACAACCAATCAAGGCACCGATAACGCCCGCTGATAAAGAGGGCAGAAAAAAACACCGCCCTGTTTGCCCTCTTTGCCCTCATTGCCCCTCACCCTACCTACCTTCTTGTGAACGGAATATCTATCTATATAATTGAATTGACTTTTCTCCCCATATTACTATCTCTATCTACAGCACCATGATCGCCATCGGCCTAGAAGGCTCAGCCAACAAGCTTGGCGTGGGCATCATGTCGCATCCCAACGACGGCAGCACCCCGCAGGTCCTAGCCAACATCCGTCACACATATGTCTCCCCACCAGGCGAAGGGTTCCTCCCCAAAGACACAGCGCGCCATCATCGGTCATGGGTCGTGAAGCTGGTGCGGAAAGCGCTCAAGGAAGCCCGTCTGTCCGTCCAAGACGTGGACTGTATCTGTTACACTAAGGGGCCCGGCATGGGAGCTCCCCTGCAGAGCGTGGCCGTCGCAGCGCGCATGTTGAGCCTACTCTGGGGAAAGGAGTTAGTCGGGGTGAACCACTGTGTGGGACGTATGTAACCTCCCCTCCACCTCCTGTCGCAAAGCGCTCGCTCGACTCACCGCTAACACTGTTTCTGTTCCATACAGATATCGAAATGGGTAGACTAATCACCGGCTCCACAAACCCCGTCGTCCTCTACGTCTCCGGAGGCAACACCCAAGTCATCGCGTACAGCTCCCAACGGTACCGCATCTTCGGCGAGACCCTCGACATCGCCGTCGGCAACTGTCTGGACCGGTTCGCGCGCACCCTGCACATCTCCAACGACCCGGCCCCGGGGTACAACATCGAGCAGCTGGCCAAGAAGGGCACGCAGCTGGTGGAGCTGCCGTACACCGTGAAGGGCATGGACTGTTCGTTTTCGGGGATATTGGCTGCCATTGACGGCCTCGCGGCGACGTATGGTCTGGGCGGGAAGGAGGAAGACATTGTTGGGGATGCAGCGGAAGCGACGGCGGGGAAGAATGGAAATAGCAATGGCGGTATCACTACCAAACCCACCCGCGCGGACCTGTGTTTCTCGCTCCAGGAGACGATCTTCTCAATGCTAGTGGAGACGACGGAGCGCGCGATGGCGCACGTCGGCTCAACGGAGGTGCTGATCGTGGGTGGCGTGGGCTGTAACGAGCGGCTGCAGGAGATGATGGGGATTATGGCTCGGGACCGGGGCGGGAGTGTCCATGCGACGGACGAGCGGTTCTGTATCGACAATGGGATTATGATTGCGCAGGCGGGCCTCTTGGCTTACAAGACGGGGTTCCGCACGCCGCTGAAGGAGTCTACTTGTACGCAGCGGTTCCGAACGGATGATGTGTTTGTGAAGTGGCGCGATTGATTGATGAATGGTTGATGATTGATTGATTGATTGATTGAGCGTGTGGTGACATACCCAATGAACGTTAGATTTGCTTATTGTTCATATTATTTGCTTCTATGAGTACCTCATGAGAACTGCATCTGGATGTTACGCCATCGATTGGGCAGATGTATCCCGGTCTATTGTGGACGATAATGGCAATGATCTCCAGTTCGAGATGGGACCCCTCGCATGTGAAAGCTAAGCGGGGTCGCGATGCTGAAGAGCGTATGTCCACCAATTTTGCGAATCCGTCTAGCTTCAAGGGCCTTTCAAGCAATTGACAGCGACGCAAGAGAGCAATGGGACTATGAACATAGCAAGGGCTCCTTATGGCCATAACGTGGATGATATGATATAAAGGCAGAAAGCATGTTCAACCACAAAGGAAGAGAGAAAAACACGCAAGTCTTGTCGCTAATGGGGTCCACCCCAACTCCAAACAAATAAATAAGAGTTTATGAATGTAGAAATCCTCTGAACGATATGATGCCATCCAGTCGTCCGCAGACGAGTGGTTGCAAAGGCCAGAGTATGTCATACTTGACGCCTGTCTGTACGAGCGATCCATGATCGTGAGAACATCGGGGAAAGGCTTTGTGAAAAAGGCTCTGTATTGGGGATTGGATCTGTCCCCGGAAGACTGTGGAGATGGTGGCGAGAGCAGACCGTGCTGATGTTCGAAGACGTCCGGCTGAGGATGAAGTGATATGTTCAATGCGTGAGGAGGGCTTGTGCAACGGCACCTCCACACATGCGATTTATCCTGTAATGTGCGCGGTGGGTTTGTACAGTATCGTGGTTACATACTGGTCGCGGGGAGATCAGCAAAATTCTAAAAGTAAAAAGTAATGAAAGAAAAGCTCGATGGGGAAGTGATTGACATACCTTGCGCTTGTACCGGGTGGTTACACTCGTGGCGAGAACACCGTTCTTGATACTACTCGTGGCGAGATGGTTCAAAACCGTGTGGTTCGGGTAGTTCAAGACGCTGCTATCGTCCTTCATCGGGGTGGTGCCGTTGAGGATGGACTTGCCCAGGAAGAGCGGCAGACTTGGCGGCGTAGGCGCATCGCCAATGACGTTGACCGCCTGCTTGTACTCCGGAGTTTCCTCGCTATCTTCCTCTTTGTCCAAATCCACCAGAAATTGCGGGACAATGCAGCGGAAGTCTCCTAGCAGGATCTCTTCCGGTTCTTCCTTGTCGGACTGCTCTTCCACCGCGGACCGGACCTGGTCGCTCCCCGAGGCGTCGGGAAGAACCTGGGGCGGGTGAACGCCAGGCGGGGCTCGGCTCCGAGAGGTCCTGTCGCTCCCGCTTCGTGTGCGACTGCTGTCGTCGGCACTGATTTCGATGTAGTTGACCAGGTGGTTTGTAAAGTCGACGGCGGTGGGAAGGGTGTCCGCGGCGCACATCTGCCCGTCCACGATGAACTTCAGATGATGCGTCCCCGGTCGAAGATTCAGGGTCGCGGACATGATGCGGGGGTTTTGTTCACTGGAGATCAGGATCATTAGCGACCACTGCGAATGAAAGGAGTCGCGACATGGTCGCATCCATACCTTCTGTGCAATCGATATTTCTTCTCCCAGTTGACAAAGGTTCCGGTGACGTAGACCTTATCGCCGGGTGCAGTCCATTCGATTGTGGTCGGCACCGCCCGTCCGACACCACTTGTGGTGTACGGCTCCAGCTCGTCCAGCGTTTCTTCCTCATCGACCGTCGGGCGGCGCTGACCGGAGGCCTGTGGGCCGGCACTCTCGCCCAGCAGTTGGTCGGAGGGAGCCGAGTTCAAGGAGTCCTCCGGTCCGAGAATGGGCGACCCGGGAGTCGCAGTAGCATCACCAATGGGTAGCGGTAACCGCGGCGGCCGCTGGAGATGGGTGGACGTATTGTAGTAGGTATTGGGAGGCGGGGCCGACGGGTCTATGGAGGGGTAGGGGTCCTGTTTCGGGGCGGAACGAGAAACCGGGACTTCGACGGGGGTGGATGGATCAAGGGAGGGCGGTTCGTGGGGGGGTTGTCCTGTCCGCTTCGGTTCGTTTACTTGACGCGGAGATGGATCGCCGACATTGCTTGATTGGAGAAGTTGCTGGGCGGTTGCTTGGTTTTCATGGGCGGGATGTCCGGTCGCCGTCTCCTTGGATGCCGACGGGTCTAGAGTGGTCGCTTTGTTGGTCCCTGAGGTCGCATTGAGTGACGGGCGGCGATTCACTCTCCTGTCACCAGCGGAGGTGGCTGATGTGGCTGCGGAACCCGGGATCGAGTGGGCATCTCCGACCGGGCCCTTGGATGGATTGTTTCCCATCTGAGATCAAAAAATATTTCCCGAGGCGGGAGAAAACGTGGGAGGAGAAGAGAAGAAACTAAAAAGAAAAAGGGGAAGATGCGAAGAGAAAAATGATACAAGTAAGAGAGGGGGAAAGAAGGGAGAAGATGCGATCCCGGCGGGAGGAAGAGAGGGGAGAGAGGAGAAGGGAGGAAATTATGCAGAACGTGCCAGCATCAGAACGTCAGGATCGAGACCCGAAAGAAGTGACAGAACAGGGGATTGACCTTTCCCAAGTCAATCAATCGGTAAAGAGACGCGATGATAATGGGATTCTCGACCGGGAGACGGGATGAAGTTGAGAAGCAACGAGAGAGGAAGAACAGATGATGTCGATGAGAGTTGGCTGACTAGGGCTTAGGGCTTAGTCAGTCAGCCCGACCACTCTCTACAGTAATCCAGTTACTACATGGACATCTACTTCTATACATCGTTCCTTCATCTTCACTTTCACCCACTTGCATTATCTTCACCAGGTCAACTGCTTGTAACCAGAAACTCGAATAATGACGACTTTTCAAGGGTAAAGAGTTCTGGTCATCCCTCTGTCATTGACCCCTATCTCAAACAATGGCGTGGATGACAGCGGTTGCGACAGCCCTGTCCTTCATCGTATATCCATCGGTTTACATCATCACTGTTGCATACATTCTCTTGCAGCTATTGGTCAAGGTCCTGGTCAAGGTCCTGGTCACGGTGCTGGTTACACCGCTTTTGTATCTGGGCAATTCGATCTTGAGCCTGATCCTCCTCCCCCTAAGGATCCTGGCCAAATTCGAGGTACGAGGGATACGAGCCGTGGCGCCTAATGAAGTATATATGAAGAGGAGATTTGCTTATGTCTCGTGCAGTCAATCCTAATTTACCTGGGGGTGGCTATCGTGATGGGAATTGGGGCGGGTTTCATCGTGTATTACTCCAGTTCCACCGTGGTTAACCTGTTGGGCCAAGCGATGGGAGCGCTGTGGACACCATCTGCCCCACCCACCGGTGCCTCGGACAGCAAGACTCTCCCGGGTCACCAGGTCCGGCAGGCCGGCCTCGTCGATGCGCCACTCTTTCTTCCCCGGGACCAGTGGAGGAGACGGGACGGGAAGAAAGCGCCAAGAGGGACCCGACAAGCTGGGCTACAAGCCTCGACGATTTTGGAGGAGGACAGTAGTGAATATTCGGATGAAGAGCTGGGATGACCCGGACTATAGCCATGGGCATGGTGCTTGTTTCTGTGTTGGATAGATAAGACCGGGACCCTGGTAGGACGACCCGATTGACCAGGTGGGCGTGCTTAATCAACCTGAGATATGAACGAACCCCTGCATATCCAATGTTTCTGATCTGTCAAGCACGGAATCCTGGTTACTTCGCTGGTGGACCAACTTTAATTTAATCAACTATGACGACGACGATTATTGTCTGATGTTTGTTTTGCGGTTCCATTTCCCCATCCGACCTCGCATAATCGGATTGTCCAGAGAAAGAGAAGAATGAAAAAGGCCATTGTTGACTAACGCTCTGGATAAAGTTATGTGGTCCGAGTGGATCCGGCCAGCCTTGGCCAAGAAGGATCATCAATCCTCATTGACTCCTTGGGAAAGGTCCAAAGCATTGATTAATCGGTAGGTATGTGGGTCAGACGAAGCCTCCGCCCTTTGTCTGTTGTCCTTTTAATCTTTGATTTCCTGGAAATCATTTCCTCGGCGCTTTCTCCTTCCATTTTTACCCTCCCATCCCGGTGGATTGATCCCATCTCTCTCGTTCATCGTCCTTCCTACCGCCGAATGCCTCGCATGCCTCACCTTTGATGACTCGGATGCTTTCATCTATCTAGACAAACCCCAGTGGCGCATCGCAGCCTCGACCGACGGTTTCCGGCAGACGTTTCGGGCTTCTGGAAAGCTTGTTGGTGGTAATCAGCGCTGGATGTTGGATTACAAGGGACGCGACGGGACTTCCATTCCTCCTTTCTCGGTCGCGTGTGAACAATAAGGCTCGGCAAAATGGTCCTCCCTCGGTCATATTTGCGCGGGCGAGTGCTTCTCTGGGCTCTTCTCTGCTTGGTTTGCGTGGGGTTGTTGATCTCAAGGCGAGAACAGACCGCTTGGGTAGCTCACACGCGCCCGGCTCCCCCGGGCTCAACCGGCGGACCCCTTCGACAAGCAGATGCCTCCCACGCCCTCGAAGGTCACATCGCTTTCTGGCGCCGGTTCCAGCACCTCCTCATCAAACATGGACCGAAAGCCGAACCTCCACTCCGGTTGGACAACGCCCCGTCGATTCGATTCGAGCAGGCTAAGCCGGATTTTCGTCCCCATGTGCTGGACATGCTGCCGGATGATGTGGAAAACATGAAGTTAGCCCACGCGGGGTTTGTCAAGGACATCACGTCGAGTCCACCCCAGTTACAATACACGCCAAACACGAGGGGCTTGGTCTCGACCGCAGGGGGGGCCTACCTCCCGGTCTTGGTCATCTCCCTTCGAATGCTACGAAGGACCGGCTCGAAGATGCCGATGGAGGTGTTCCTCGCGGACGAGGAGGAGTACGAGGGCTACATCTGTGACGTGGTTCTTCCGTCCTTGAACGCGCGGTGCGTGATCTTGTCGCACATTCTCGACGCTGTCCCGATGGAAGCAGAAATTCACAAATACCAGTTCAAACTGTTTGCCATGATGTTCTCCTCATTCGAGGAGATCCTCTTCCTCGACGCCGACGCATTTCCCCTGTTGCCCCCCGAGGACCTCTTCACCCACGAACCCTTCAAATCCAGCCACATGGTCACGTGGCCGGACTTCTGGGCGACCACCATCTCCCGGTTCTATCACGACATCGCGGGGCAACCGAACCCGGTCCAGGACATCCGACAGTCGAGCGAATCTGGCGAACTCCTTCTATCAAAGAAGACGCACCAGAAGACCCTGCTCCTGAGCACATATTACAACTTCTGGGGCCCCGACTACTACTATCCCCTACTGTCGCAAGGCGCATCCGGGGAGGGCGACAAAGAAACCTTCGTGGCAGCCGCGCTGGCACTCGGCGAGCCATACTACCAGGTCTCGGAGCCCATCTGCGCCATCGGCCACCGCACCAAGGGCGGCATGGCCGGCTCCGCGATGGTCCAATTCGACCCCACCGAGGACTTCGCGCTGACCCGCAACGGACAGTGGCGCGTGCGCGGCTCCAAGGCGCCCTCCCCGAAGGCCTTCTTCATCCACGCCAACTACCCCAAGTTCAACCCGGCGACAGTCTTTGACGACCAAGACGTCACGCCGACCTTCGCCGACGACGGCAGCTACACGCGCGCGTGGACGATCCCTGAAGATGTCATCGGCCATTTTGGCTCGGACATCGAGAAGGCCTTTTGGCGGGAAATTCTCTGGACGGCCACCGAACTAGAAGATAAGTTCGAGTCGTGGCGGGGCAAGAAGGGTATCTCGAAGATGACCCGGAAGTATTGGAATGCGGTCTTCGCGGATAAGCGCGCCAAGTAAGGTCTCCCCAAGAGCGATCTTCCAATCGATCCTTAAGTCCTACTTGGTGTGTTCCTCACAGATCGCTCCGGCTTCCCCTCTCTCTCCCACCCGAGTATCTGGGAATATCCAGGCTGGTCTCCCGCCCGGGCATATCCCGTGACCAATAGATGGATAATGAATGATCCATCTACCCGAGTTGGATCGCATCCTGCAAAACCGCTGGACAGGCTGAGTCGTGATGTCCATCTCGTGACCCGGGGGAGGCCGCTGCGTCGCGCTTAGCGAACGGTGCAGCTCGGTTCGATCTGTCCGGCCTGAGACGCCACGTCAGTTGATGTATACCACGTACACGTTATGGCTGTTGGCTGTAGTTACAGTGGACGCGTGGACGTGCATGATGCGTGTTGTCTCTTGAGTTGGATTACTACTACCTACCTACCTACCTACCTACCATCTACCTACTACACCGCCGCCCCTATCGATAGATAGATACGTATCTACTCCCTCCCTCAACCAACGAATTACAATTTTTTATTCATTAAAAGTCTGATTGATTCTAACCGCTCTATGCTAACCAAATGCCCGTTGTACACGTAGTTTCTAATATAATATACAAGAGTTGAAAATGCCGGCTGTAACCACTAACTATAGTAATACATATAGGAACCATACCCCCACCTCAAGTTACCTACCTAGGTAGGTGAGTAGGTAGGTAGGTACCTACCTACAAAGGTGCCTCAAGAACCATACCGCCCTTCTCCGCCTTCCGAACAGCCTCATTGAACAAGTCCTTACAGCGCACACGACTCCCCAGCCTCGCGCACAGCAAGAAAGCACCGCTCAGCTTCCGATGCAGACTGTAAGTTTCCTCGGGAGGCGGAGCGAGACGCTCGCGGATCATAACGGGGATGAGGTCGCGGACGCGGTCGGTGATAGTCTGGTTGCTGAAGTCGTAGACGTCGGGGGAGGAGGCCATGTAGGGCTCGGCGAGGGTGACGATGGAGGTGACGTGGGCGTCGACCATGGCGGGGGATTCGTGGCCGGTCAGGTAGCCCAGCTCGATGGAGAGGCGCTGGCAGGTTTGGCGGTCGCCGCGGGAGGCGGCGAGGAGGGTGCTGACGTATTTGGAGATGAAGGCGCGGGGGAACTCGCGGGAGGCGCCGAAGTCGAGGAGCTCGAGGCGGTTGGTGGAGGCGTTGTAGAGGAAGTTGGTCCAGTTGGGGTCTGTCTGCATGTATTGGAATTCGATGATCTCGCGGAGACAGAGGCGCAGGATGTGCGTGCCGATCCAGTCGCGCTGGGCCTGGGTCATGTTCTGGACTTTGGTGACGGCGACGCCGTCGACGCGTTGCATGGTGAGGACTTGTTTGCCGGAGGCTTCGGGGATGATTTCGGGGACGAGGAAGGTGGGGTCGTCCTGGAGGAGGGCGCGGAAGCGGTTGGCGCCTTGGGCTTCGCGGAGGTAGTCGCATTCCCAGGCGAGTTCGGTGCGCGCGTTGGCGATCGTCTTGTCGAGGTAGAGGCCGCGGGGGAGGAGGCGGGAGGCGGTGAGGAGGATGGAGAGGTTGTTGAGGTCGGAGTCGATGGAGTCGGCGACGCCGGGGTACTGGACTTTGACTGCGACGCGCTGTCCGTTCTTCTTGAGTACGGCGCCGTGGACTTGGCCGATGGAGGCGGCTGCCATTGGGACGTCGTCGAAGGAGGAGTAGAGGTCGCGCCAGTTGGGGCCGAGGTTGTCTGCAAGGACCTTATCGCGTTGCGAGGCCGGCATGTAGTCTGCCCGGTCCTGCACTCGCTGGAGGACCTGCTGAATGGAATCGGGGAGCATCTTGGAGTCTGTGCTGGGGTTAGCAGCGCATAACGCCAGATCGACGTGGACGGGTCTACGAACCTTGGAAACTCAGCATCTGGCCCAGTTTCAAGGCCGCCCCACGCATCTTGGAGAGCTTGGCCACGAGACGCTCCATGTTTCCCGCACTGAACATGACAGACCCAGCGTTGTCATCGTGGCTGCCTGTAGCCCTGCGGAGGCCCTCGCCCATGGCTCCCAGAGCCATAGAGGTGGCCAGACCGCTGTACTGCCATAACCTGCCCAGGCGCGAGGAAGGCACCCGGGACTCAGTCATCTGATAGGTGCCATCATTCTGAACATCCGCCACGATGCTCGGGGTTTCCTATAGACGTCAATACTTTGTACCCTTTGATTGAGCGGCGCCGATGGTACATACAGTGGGAACCGACGACGCCGGTTGATCCGCCGTGACACTGTCTACCTTCTCCGTCTCGAGACCGACATTCGGCGGGGTATTCCTCTGGGCTGCCAGCCTATACGGGTTGAACCCGTCCGTGGCTGCTTTTTGCGAAAGCACCCTGGCCACCCTGGGGCTGTGGAAAACCTGGCTCATGACTTCCTCCGGAATCTCCCCCTGTTCTTCAGACGACGGGGTACTTCCCGCCGGGACGTCCTGAGTAGACGCCGAGGTGTGAAACACATCCGCATTGATCCCATCCTTGGCGCTCACTTGCACGTCGCTCGCGGATTTAGGCACCTTGACTCTGGGAAGCCCAGACAAGTGGGTACTGGACTCCGCCGAAGGCCGATAGAACACGTCCTGCTGGGGGCTGACCCCCACCTTTCCTTCCTCGCCTCCACTGTGTTCCGTCACGGATGCGGGGATCTGAGCCTCGGCTCGTCGTTGAGACTGTTTGGCCTCGTCGGGGGAGAGGGATGCGGCGTGCGGAGGAGCCGCAGTCGGGGCGGGAGACGGGTGCTGGGTTTTGGGCGCATGATCGGGGGTATCAGGTTCGTCGAAGCGTCTAGCAAGGGCGGCTGCGGCCCGTGCGGTCATAATCAGACCCTCGGTCTGACTCTGAATGCCCTTGGTCAGGGAGGACGTCCGCGTGAAGACATCGAGCTGTCGCTGGCGCAAAGCCAGGTGCTTGGAGGCGATGGAGGTGGTGGCATTGAGCAATTGGATGGCGTCTAGTAAGCGCTTACCCGACATTGTGATGAACTTGAACAGCAGACCCTAGAGAGCACACCCTAGAGAGCACACATAGCGAACATAAGATTCCAAAAGATGAAGCTTTTGCTGCAGCGAATCGGCCATCGGGCGATCCGGCGGTGTTTTCTGCCGGGCCCCACCGCCCCACCGCCGGCCAACTCCGGTCCTTTATCGGCGAACGAGAATCAAGATGCAGTCATAGATAAGACCTTCTTCCCTCTCTCTGCATCCTTCTTTCTCTCCTTCTTTCTCACCACTCAACCCCTCTCACTACTCAATTTCCCAAGTGGATAATGCCTGATGACCAACAAGAATAGTGCACAAGTTCTGGAGCATGAGATCCACGATCTCGAGTCTCGCTTGCGAGACGCAAAGTCCCGGCTAGCGTTGACCTCTACTACACCCAAAGATGGCGCCAAACCCAGCCCTATACCCCACGGTACGTACATACAACAGCAAGCACCACCTACCAAGATACCAGGCATCCATAACGAAACCAACGTTAACCAGCACACAGATCCCATTTCCACCCCATTAGACCCCACCCACGCGCTCCTCCTCCTCTCCGACACCGCCCTCCCCCTAGGCTCCTTCGCCTACTCCAGCGGCCTCGAATCCTACCTAGCCCACAACAAGCCTCTCCCACCGGGCATCACCCCCACCACCTCCTTCCACCGCTTCCTAAACCTCTCGATTGCCTCCATGGCAAGCACCTCGATCCCATACGTCCTAGCCGCGCACCGCGACCCCTCATCCCTCGAATCCCTCGACAACGACCTCGACGCATCAACACCCTGCATCGTCGCCCAGCGCGCCAGCATCGCGCAAGGCCGCGCCCTGATCGGCGTATGGGAGCGGGCATTCCGCACTACCTACGCCGCGGACCCGCTCTCGGCCGGCCCGTCAGCCTCATCCTCGGCCGTCGCGGCGGCCGCCGCCGCAAGCGTCGAGCGGTTCTCGGACGCGCTCAAGTCCGGCTTTGATCGCGCCGATCAGTTGGGGCCTAAGGGCCACTTTGCGCCGCTGTGGGGCGTCGTCTGTGTCGCTATGGGTGTGGATGTGCGCCAGACGGCGTATGTGTTTATGTTGAATCATGCCAAGGCGGTGCTGAGTGCTGCTGTGCGCGCGTCTGTCATGGGGCCCTACCAAGCCCAGCGCGTGCTCGCCAGCAAGGAGTTGCAGGATATGATCGCGGGGCGGATCGAGCGGGAGTGGGAGACGGCTGTGGAGGATGCCGGGCAGGTGGTGCCGCCGTTGGATCTGTGGGTGGGACGGCACGAGCTTTTGTATAGTAGAATATTTAATTCGTAATGCATCAATTAGATAGGTTTGTGTTTTTTTTCCCTAGCAGAACATGCGTGAGAGCCATTCCAAATGGAGTTCATTTCGATTCGTAGCTAGCGCTGCCAAACCGTCATCAAACAAACCCGTTGCATCTCTCCCATGCCGTTTCCCAAAGTAATCCTACATACATCGCACTGCACGCCTTGCGAACCCACCCAGCTGACATGCAAACACTGATGTGGGTATCTAGAAAACCTCCCTGTACGACGGGACAGAAGGAAACAGAAAGTCAAAGGAGAAAAGAGAATGGGGGGGGGGGGGGAAGAAGAAAACAAAGAACCCGAGGACCAGAGATCCGCAATTATCTGGCCAATATGCAAAGGCAATCGTTCTGCCGGGGGAAACGAAAGATTCAAAATCGGAACGCCGGCCCCTTTGATATCCTATCCAGCTAAAACCGTACGCGACTGAAACACCGCACCGTAAACCTTTTCCGTGATTTAGGGGACACAAACGAGGAAAGAAAAAAGAGAAAAGGGAAAGGAAAATGGGGAGAAAAAAGAGAAGGGAGAAAATAAAGGGATAATAAAAGGCGTAAGTCAAAGGGACGAGAATAAAATGGAGTAAGAGGCAATAGGAGGGTAGAAAGGAACAAAGGGCGAAAGGAAGAAGAAAAAAGGCTATAGTACAAGAAGGGTAGGTGAAATGAGATCGAGAAAGGGTGCATCCTCGATCACAGAGTAACGTGCATGTAATCGTTATTCCCAAAGGACCGGTTGCAGTTGGGACACTTGCGAGATCGGGACTTGAGACGTTCGCCCACACAGTCCTTGCAGAAGACGTGACCGCAGGTCTTGATTGCAGTGTTCTTGAAATTCCGGCGACAGACTGTACAAAGCGCAAGTGTCTTTTCTTTGATTAGCACGAGCTCATAAGGTGGGTAATGACGGGGCGTGTGCTTACCCTCAACATTTCGTACTCGGACGACGAATTGCCAAGACTTTTGTTCTTCCAATTCTCCAAGCTCTTCTTGGTATCGGCGAGCGTTGCCTTCAAGGCTTCGACCTCCGTCTCCGCTTGACGACACGCACTCGAGGTGCTCGCGAGAGTGGAATCTTTCGACTTGGCGACGGTCTTCAGTTCTGTGATCTGACCCCGTAATCCGTCCATGACGATGCCGTTCTCGGTGATCTGTTGTTGCGCCGCGTAGTGTTTATTCATCATCGAGTTGAGCGCCTCCTTCGTTTCGCTCACTTGCTTCTCCATGTTGGCCAGCAGAGAACGAGTGGCCCCCTCGGCCTCCTTCAACTGGGCGATGATGTCCGAGCTCTTGGAATTCTGCATCCGCAGGGTGCGCACTTCCATCTCCCGCGCCTCCTTGCTTTTCATCGCTGCAAAATACTTCTGGTCGGCCTTTGATTTTTCCGCCACGAGCCGCGCGACCTTCTCCTCCAACGCGCCGAAGTCCGTCACTTTCTGCGATGCTAACGACGAGTATTTTTTGCAGGCGGTTTGCATCGACGATAGTTCCGTATTGAGCATGGAGTATTGGCGTTCTAGGGTCTGATATTTGGTCCGTAACTCTTCAACTGGCGTGTCGTCAAGCGCCGGTTGCGCGGCCTTGGCGCTGTCGAGTTGCAACCGTAGCCGTTCCACCTCAGATTCCATCGAAGCGATCTGGGCTTTCCCGGCCTCCGCCAAATCCTGGACCTTGGTGGTGGCCGTCTTTTCCTGTTCCTGGGCGGCTTTTCGCATTTGCTGGTCGGCCAATAATTCGTCGCGGGCGTTTCGTATGCGTGCTAGATCATTCTCCGCGCGCATCAACTGCGCTTCCTTTTCAGCAATGGCAGCTTGCGTCTCTTCGTCCACCCGGTTGCGGTATGCCGTCCGTTCCGATCGTAATTTGGCCGACTCTTCCCGAAGCTGCACGTTGGTCGCCTCTAGATGGTTGATCCGTTTCACGACATCCTCATATTGAGATTTTAAATACTTGAACAAGTCCGTATGCGCATAATCGTCATCCGTCAATTTCGAGTGCTGGCGAGTGAGGTTAGCCCCGTCTCCATCATGGGATGTAGTCCAACGCCTGATGGCGACCCACCTTGATATTCAAATCCGTAATCTGACCCAATAAGCTGGTGTTCTCCGCCTCTAGCTTCTGTAGATGCTCCTTCTGCTTCTCTGAAACGGCTGCGAGTCTATGATACGCCTCCTCCGACTCGGGGCTGCGTTCGGCGCCAGGCGTGGCGCCATTCGAACCGGCCTGATCCTCTCGTTCACGTTGCCCCGATGCGCTGTCGCCCCCTGGTCGCTGCGCGCCGAAGATGTACTGCTTTTCCAACTTGGCAGCGGTCAAGCTGCGCGCGCGGTCCAGTTTCTTTTCCGCTACCATGTAGCGTAACGAGGCCTCTTCCAGACTTTCCTCGAGTTGCTGCTTTTCAGACAAAGCCTTTTCGAGCTCGGCGATGGTAGATTTCTCTTCCGACAATTTCTTGGCGAGTTGGCTTTGTAAGTCGGACACGTCGGGGGAGGCCTTTGCTGCGTTGGCGAGAAAGCCGGAAACAATGTGACGAATGCCCTCTGAGCGGGATTTCAGATGTTTCTCAAACTTCTCGGATTCATCGAAGATCAGCGAACTCTGGAAAGATGGGACGTCTACCAAATCGGTTAAGCTTGTACCTCCAAGGACTATCTTCTGCGACATACCTTTGGTATCGCCGGGGGATCCCATGAGAATTTTTATTTCGTCAATCATCTACGTTAGGCGTTAGATTTGGACTTCACACATGTCACACATGGAAAGAGAATGAAGAGATGAAGAAATTGTAGGGTAACACACCTGTTGGTACCACGCATCGATTATCCGAAGATGGTCGTTGTGATAGGCCGTCGCTTTGGACATCTCTTTCACCTTGACTTCCAAAGACGACTTTTCACGTTTGTATTCCTGCATCTGGCGCCAAATCGCATCCTTCTGGAATCGCTATCAAGGGAGGCAAGTCAGCATGAGGGATCGTCAGGATTTCAACGACGCAGCGCATCTAGAATTTCGAGATTAGATCCGACCAAGAGGGGACCTCGTTGGATGAATCGATTCCCATATCGACTACTAGAGAGGAGTGAGACTCACCTCCAAATCATCCTTCCAGGGCATATCAGCATCGGGGTGAGGCTTCCCCCCGCCGTTGACCGAAGTGGCCTGTTTCTTCAAGGGGGGAGCCGAGTCATTGTGATCATAGGTAGCGCCTCTCTTCCGGTCTTCCATCTTGACGAAATCAGACTCGGAAGACGCGACGGACGTGGGTTCGGCGGCCGGCATCAGTGGCTAGAAAGGCATAAGTTATAAAAGGAGAGGCCGTTCCCCACCAAGCAGCGACAGAACCGGAAAGTAGATGCCACCGCAGGGTCCGATCGTGATTCAATAAGAGGAAACAAAGGTGCACAGCGAGAAGACGGGGAATAAATGGTGATTCTCTTCAAATTAAGAGGGTATGGAAGTGAAAGGAGGGGGGGGTAAGTAGAGGGGGAGTGGGTTGACGATGGAGAAAAAGCGAGGGAGAGAAGAGAGAGAGAGCGAAGAGGGAAGAGGGATGGAAGTTGAGATAAGCAGGAGGATTTTCGGCCTTGAACTTCTGGCTCGTCCATTCGTTTCTTGGCGTTCTTGCCTGGCTGCTGACTCAGCCCGTCAAGGCCGCCTCCCACGTGACCACATCCACCGGCTGCCTGAGGAACTAGGCCTTTTTCGGCCTTTTTCTGCCGTCGAGCCTGAGGATCTCCATCCCACCTTTTCCACTCGCTGTTTCAGCGCATCCATGGCCCCCTCTTCTTCCGACAGCCATGTTCTGCTGCGAGAATGAAATCCTTCTCTAGCTCTGCCATCAGTACGTCCCTTGATGCTTTTTAATCTTTCTTTGGTCAAAGGAATTGGCCGCTGACCCGATGTGGCTACAGATAAGTCGGGGAAGAAGTTTGCTCCAAAGGCGCCGGTGCGCCGCGCCGCTGCGGGAGCGACTTCTGCCCCCCCGTCCCAGCGAAAAGCCAGTGTCGCATCGCAACCATCGGCATCGCATACTCCTCGACCGACACCGCAACCGACGCCTCAGCCTACACCACAGCCTACGGTTGAGACCGCGACCCCGGAACCGACGCCCCGACGACTACCGTTGAGCCTTCTATACCTTTCGAACATCCCACCCCAGAGCCCGCGATCACCCACAGCGCAAATGTGACGCAACAGCCTTCTGCGACGGCCATTCCTATCCCTCGGCCTAAACGGAAGGCCTCTGTCTCGGAACCGGTTCCTATAGTGACAGGTGTTACTCCTCCACCGTCGCAGACCGTCGTCCCGCAGTCACAGACCGTCGTCCCGCCGTCGCAGACCATCCCACCATCACAAAACGTGTCAGCCGATACCGCGCCAATCCCTTCGATAGAAGGTCTGCCCGAACCTTCCGGGGAAACTGAGACAAGAACAGAAGTCCCGGTTACCGTTCACCATGATGACCGTCCTGAGTCCGTTTCCGCGCCCGAACCCGTACCAGAGCCCGAGCCATCCGCCACACCCGCAACGGAGATTCGTCCCTCAAAGCGTCCCAGGAGATCGGTAGAACCATCGGTGGAGGATGCGGAAATCCAGCCGCTGGAGACCGGCGTGCCCCTGGCCACACCCCCACCAACGCAGACCCAGTCGGTTGCAGAGACAACAGAAGATCCTATAGTGAAGGAACCGCCCGCCAGTAAAGCCCGAAAGTCAGTCACCAAATCACGAGCTCGAAAATCGACCCAAAACAACGTCGACGGTACAGCCACCCCGAAGAAGCCGAGGAAACCCCGGGCGCAGAAGACGCGCGAGCCGACTCCCGAGGACGCCGAACAGGTGGAGATTGCACCTGCAGTGGTCAAAATGTCAGAGCTGTGCAAGGATCTCCGAACGGGCAAGAAGTCCAAGCGCGAGGTTGAATTGCGCAACATGGAACTTGCCGAATTGGAGCGCAAGCAAAAGGCGCAGCAAGAAGACAACAGCACCGAGCAGACCCCGGCGCGACCGGAAAAAGACGACCCAACTCCAGCAGCCGAGAACGACATGGGGCTCGACAGCAAGTCCCAAGCTGGACCGGTCATGCGCATCGTGAACGGAGAAATTGTGCTCGACACGGCATCTCTCCAAGTCGATCGCCACGCGGACGCCGCGCGGAACGGAGGGGAGCTCGAAGACGTAGTGGAGAACTCCCTCACGCGGAGAATCAACCAAGCCACCTACGGAAAGCGCTCGAAGACAGAGTCATGGGACGAGGAGCTAACAGATCTCTTCTACCGCGGCCTGCGCATCTTCGGCACGGATTTCATGATGATCAGCAAGCTATTTCCCGGGCGATCACGACGGCAGATCAAGCTGAAATTTAACAGCGAAGAGCGCCGCGATCCGGGCCGCATCAAAGACACCCTGCTGGGCCCCAGCGAGACCATCGACATCACGACCTACTCCGAGATGACCAACACAGTCTACGACGACCCAAAGGTCATCCAACAGGAGCTCGACGAGGAGAAGAGACAGATCGAAGCCCAGCACGCCAAGGAAAAACAGGCGCAGGAAGAGCTCCTCCGCAATCCGGATGGCATGGGCGATGCCAACGGCGCCGACAGTAAAGGCAACGCGGCCAAGAGCAAGCGGGGCCTCAAAAAGCAGTCTGCGAAGAATGCCGGGGGCGGAACCGAGGAGGTTCTGGGTTCGATTGATGACTTTCCTTGAGTTATGTGTCTTGGAGTTTTGAGGTTCAAACTCCATTTTATATCCATCAGGGTGGTGGTCTGTCTTTTTTTCTGTTTCCTCTATCTATGGCTGGGTATGTACGGCGTTGAGAGCGTTTCTGATGTATACAATTGAGGGGCTAAGCCGGCCTGGAGTCCGGTCTGGGTATTTTCATATCGTTAACTATAATGAATTGTTATGATCGCTTTGCAGATCTACTTGCTAATTCGATAAGCATGCCGTTCCAAACGTAACAATCCACGCAATGCAGTCTAATACCCTAGCCTAGGTCCCTAGGTCTTGATCACCTGCGCCTCGTCGACCCAAACCCAGTACTAGTAGTCGGGGTAGAAAACCGCGACGATCCTGAACTGCCCTCGCCCGGATCATCCCTCGCAGCCCGCCTACTTCCAAACGAAGAGCTCGACGAATTACTTCTCCTCCCCATCTGATACCCCGCCGCCGCTCCGCCCAACGCCCCCGTCCAGAACCCCGGTCTCCAGCCCTGCCCATTCCTCGTGGATGCAAACCCATCGTCCCCGACACAGCTGCTATACGGCGGCGGCGGCTGCCCAGGATAAGGACCACCGTCTCCTCCATCGTCGCCACCCCAGCCGCCGCCGCCCCAGCCCCGACCAAACCGACCAGGCGGACCCCCGCCCCTCAACCCAAAGCACTGCCGCACCATGGGCCACAATATCAGCACAAAAACCGCCGCCATGAACCCGAAAAAGATCAAATCCCCAAGTACGGCCATCACGCCGCGCGGACCACCGCCGCGGTTCCACAAACGCTCATCCTCGCGCACAGGGCCAAACCGCTTCTCGCCCAGCTCAGTCAACAGCATGCGGTACTCGACGCCGCAGGAGCCCTTGAGCACCCACGGGTCATCTGCATCACGGTATCCCTCGCAGATGACGTCCGTAGCGCCTAGCTTCAGCTCCGGGGGGAGATCGGCGGTGCAGGTCCACTGGATGTCTTCCTCGTCGTAGTCGTAGCCTTCGTTGTTGCAGCGCATGACGTCAATCGGGTACATGTCGCAGAGGCGTTTGGAGGGGCCTGTGCATTTGAGCTGAGGGATAGGCGAGACGCGTCTGGAGCTGGTTTGTCGGTTTGAGCGGAGCGTAAGGGATTGGACTGTGGAGAGGAGGATGGCATTTTTGCCAGGTGGTCGTTGGGTGGATCGGCTGGAGGCGAGGGTGGGTGTTATGAGGGAGAGGGAGAGGAGGAGCTGTAGGAGGGCGAGGGGGTTCATTGTGACTGGATGGTTAGTGTGTGTGGATTCAGCTGGTGTAAGTGATACAAATAGGCATTTTCAGTTGACTAAAGGTAGAGGGAAGTCTGTATCTCTTCTCCTTGTTAAGGTGAGGTGGAAGAAAGTTGGAAGCTGGTGATGTTCCCGTTCGGTTTAGCCGCGGGCGGTCGATCTGATAAATCATCGATCATCCGAAGAATAAATTCATCTTTCTTCCCACCTCCAACTCTCACCTCACAGTTTCACCCGGGTCTGATCTCCCTGCTGCCCACTGGAGCGGCAATGGGCAATTATCATTCCGAATCTTACACTGGCTGACAATGGCGTTTCAGCAACAAAGTATGAAATCCCTCCCTATATCCAGCGTGGTCGGCGACTGACCGGTATGAACTCCACAGATGAACCCGTACCCATCTCGGGTCAATCCTCGTATGTGTTGCACGAGCTTAGGAACTTCCGCATGGTGCTTGAATAACTAACGGACGGTGTAGCTTGTCATTCACCCAGGGTTTCCTCCTCGGACAGCTCTCCGTGGTGCTGTTGATCGGCGCCTTCATCAAGTTCTTCATATTCGGCGAAGCTCCTCCGCATCCTTCTCGAGGACTGTCCCAGCGCGCTGCCACCTACCGACGCTCGAATTCGATCTACAACGTCAAGGAGAATGAGACGGGGCCTCGATCTTTAAGGGAGAAGCCGTCGACCTCGAATGTCCTCCGTCCCGTTCCGTCATCGTCGACCAACACCCAATCCATCCTCCGCAAGACCTACTACAGTGCGATTCCACCCAACCAGGCCTTGAAACATGGTCGACATCGCATCCATCATTCGTCCCACCAGCCAGAGTCCCTGGACTGGTTCAATGTCCTGATCGCGCAGACAATTGCCCAGTACCGACAGACGGCGTACCTCCTCAAAGACGACCCCTCCGCTTCCATCCTGAGCTCCTTGACAGCCGCGTTGAACAACTCGGAAAAGAAGCCTTCCTTCATCGACAAGATCTCGGTCACAGACATCTCGATTGGCGAGGAATTCCCGATCTTCAGTAACTGTCGCATTCTGGCCGTCGACGATCCCAACTCGGACGGAGGGCGGCTCCAGGCGTTGATGGACGTCGACCTCAGCGACGACAACCTCTCGATCTCTGTCGAAACCTCCCTATTATTGAACTACCCCAAACCGAACTCCGCCATCCTCCCCGTTGCGCTCTCCGTCTCCGTCGTCCGTTTCTCAGGCACGCTGTGCATCTCCCTCGTCCCGGCGTCCACACCGCCCTTCCACGGGCCCTCCCCGGCCCCATTCCCGCCGACTGCCGAGTCAGCAGCAGGGTCTTGGTCGCAAGGGCCTAACAACTCAGGTGACCGGCCAGGAAGCTCCGACGGGGATCCTCCGAAACGGACGCCGAAGAGCAACGTCGCGTTCTCCTTCCTCCCAGATTATCGACTTGATCTCTCAGTACGATCACTAATCGGCTCCCGCAGCCGACTCCAAGACGTGCCCAAAGTAGCACAGCTCGTTGAAGCCCGCGTGCACGCCTGGTTCGAAGAGCGGGTGGTCGAGCCCCGGGTGCAGGTAGTCGGGCTGCCCGATCTCTGGCCGCGGATGGGCCGGACAGGCGTTCGCACCGGCGAGGACTCCGAAACAGGCTCCAACGCAGCCTCTCGGACAGCGATGTCCACCGACATGGGCGAGAATCACCCGCACGGCGACATGCTGGACCAGCAGCCGGAGGGACTACGGTTCCGGGGCGGACTGGGCGGTCGGCCGCCGTTCGACGCGATGTCGCGGACGAGCAGCTACAACGTCGAACCGGGGGAGCTGCGCAGTTCCAGCATGGTCCGAGAACAGAGCGGGGGAGGCATCAGCGATCAATTCCACATTCCGGGATCCTTGCCTGGGGGGACGCCGGGTGTGTGATTATACTTATGATCAGGGATCAAAACACTTTCCCCACATACGACGCCTATATGAGGTTTTAGAAATAACTAGATAGATAATGTAGAAAACAAAAGCGGACGGATATATATAATCAAAGCCTTGGTATATACAGATCATAGATTCATTCATGCAATTCACTAACGATACCACACAAAATATATGTGGTTTTATTCCTATTGTATCCTTCGAGACAGACGGTGCCTACTGCGCAGCAGCCACAGGGGCATTCCCAAGAGCCTCGACATACGTCTTGCGATGGGGGTTAACATCGACGTCGCCGCTACGGTTGAGCGGCGTCCACTTGGGCTCTTCCTGGAAGAGACGCATAGCTTTGACGTACTGTAATCATCAGCAACCATCAACCACAAACCAACCAACCAACACATCCCAACCCCCCAAAAGGGACATCGAAACGGGGAAAGGAAAAAAGAAAAACTCACATTCCGATCATCAGTCGTAAACCGATGATAAATGCCCGCCGGCAAAACAATCAAATCATCCTTCCCCAGCAAAATCCTCACCCACTCATCCTCCTTCCCCCTCACATCGAAGTACCCCTGCCCGTCGCGGATATAGCGGATCTCCTCGTCCTCATGCAGATGCTCCGCGAAGAACATCTTGACCTTGTCCTCGTAGGCCTCGCCCATCGTCGCGGGGGACACGGTCACCTCGTCGCGGTTCTTGTAGCCGCGTTCGGCGGCCAGCGCGTCGACCATGTCGAGGGTGGGGCAGTGGCGGTAGAAGACGCCGATGGAGGAGAGGTAGGATTCTGTGACGGGGCGGTTGGAGTCGTGGGGGAGGCGTTGGTCGCCCTTTTCATTTTTATTCTGTTGTTAGTTTATTTGATTCTTTGAATGGGGGAGGGGAGGGGGTGTAGGTATGGTTGGTTCGGGACTGGATTTTGGGACGGGGGTGGACTTACCGGCTTGTTGTCATACCAGTAGGCCTTCATTTTGAAAGATGATGTCTTGTTAGGTTATCTATGAGGTGGTGAGAGTTGTAGGTGGGATGCTGTATAAAGTCGCGATGATGATGCTGCGGGGTGAGAAAAACCAGCCCCGCGATTGGTCACCGATTGCACCGATTGCGACAAGATTACTCAGCTGATATTATCCAGCACATAACTATACCACAGTATACCACCTTGTGAAACAGGTGGAATGTATATACGTATAAGTATATAGATGTCTATTTCTACGGAGTATTTAGGACAGACTTCACATAATCTGTTACCTAATATTAGATGAAGATGAACTAGGTACGGAGTAGTGTATAATAAGTTCAATTCAATCACCTACGGTGAGTCTATACAATGCAATTACCTACTATACAGTTAGAACGACTACTTCTTCGCGGCGGCCTTGGCGATGCGTCGTTGTATCTCTTCCTTGGACAGGATTTTGACGGCGTTGTTGGAGAAGACGTAGCTCAGGCCGGACCAGATGGTTGTTCCTGCAACGAGGTATCTAGATGGGTTAGTATTATATGAAAGAATAAAACAAACGAAAAAAAGAAAGAGGAACAGCAGGAACAAAAAAGAAAAAACAAAAGAAAAAAACAAGTAAGAAACAAAAACATACAACAGCCGGGATTCGCATGTGGTCACCCACCATACTACTAACCGGCCGGCGTGTGGCTTAAGTACGGCTGAGCGGACGGGAAGCCCTGTTCTCCACACCCTATGGTCGTATGTACTTATTCCTTCTAATGGATGGGTTTTATAGCCCATTCACGTCGCATTCTTCCCAACACACAACAGGAAGCAACTGAGGGAGGGCAATGAAGGGGAAATAAAGAGAAGATAAACTTACTGAAACATGCTCATTGCTTCCTTCAGATTCCACGCATCCAAGAACGGCTCAGGGACGACCGGCATTGCGATCGCACTTCCCACGAGCAGCAGCTGGAGAGCTGTGTTGGCTTTGGATACTGCAGTGGGCTTCACCTCCGCGGACGGGAGAGAAAAATCCCAGTATCGGGCCATGGTCTTGGGGCCGGCAGCGAAATCCACCGGTAGTACAAGGCGGATATTCCCAGGCCAACATCCCGTCCGAGGATGATCACGGCAAGCCAGACTTGGACACCGTCAGTAATCACCTCATGGCCAATCATGAGCATCGTTACTTACCTGGGATGGAGCCGTTGACAGCCAGACAGGCAACACCGATGGTCATCAGCAACTTGTCGGCCATCGGATCGATGATCGTGCCAACCACCGTCTGGAGATTATATCGTCGTGCGATATACCCGTCCACGAGATCCGTGATGCCGGCATAGGCGAAGAGCGCCAACGCGGCTGTGTGATGGCCATAGACAAGGAAGTAGCCCACTAGGGGGGCAGCGACCAGGCGAGAGAAGGTGAGGATGTTAGGGACGGTGTAGATATTCTCACGGGTAGTAGGAAGGGGGATTTTAGAAAGAATGGACGGTTTTTTCGAATCCGATTGAGTGCTGCAGTGGGTTAGAAAAGGCAACGAGTCCACCCTACACGGTGAACTGATACTTACTCGTGCTTGTCAGGTTTTCCCGAGGCAGTCCATCTTTTCTGCTGGCTGGCGTATCCTGCGTAGCGAGGATGGTTGGCACCAACGAAGGACCCTCGACTCCGTAAGCTAGATATGGTTAGACGGTTCTTTTGCTTCAATTCCGATCAATCCACACCTGTTCTGTGAGAGACCAATGGCCGAGGTCGTGATGGTAGCGCCACGGAATGCTTGCGCCTGGAGACCGCGTCGAAGATTCCACGACACGGCATTATACCCTAGAGATGGAACTCCTGACAGTAAAGGAACGCGATGTCCGGATGTGCGCAGTGACACTGTCGACAGCCTGGAGGCCATGATGGAGGACATGGTGGAGATGAACGGTGCAAAACAAGGCGCTATCAGATGGGTATAACAAAAATGAATGGTTGGTCAAGTCAAGCAATCATGTGATGCAAGACAAAGCCTCTCTTCCTCTTGCACTGGAACAATCCAATCCAAGTAAACCGCGGCTACAAGGTGGAGATTGAAGAGTAGATCTAAAGAGAGTCCCCGGCTCCGTGACGTGAATGTCGACCTTCAGTCTCAATTACGAGCAACAAAGAAACCACCCGAGCAATTGCCATCCACAACCGATGAAAACAATTAATCCTGGTAGTTAATGTAGAGAAGGACAGACAACAGCAGGAAACGGCCGGGGAAAGTGAAGCTATACTAAACAGAAACTCGTGATCCAGTCGGTCGATTGGAGGAAATCATGTGCGGATCAACGTTGATCCGGTGGCGGACAGGCGGGTCACGTGTATCCCTTGTGATCTTCGTTATTTATTCAATTTATTCAATATTCTTTCTTGGTTTTGATTTCTGTTGATTCAAGTAGAGATGAGCAAGATGGGAAATATTCACTGTGTTCATTCAGATGGTAGACAATGTGTTGATATGAAGTGGTCACTGGGTTTTCGTATATCACTATCGATCTATATATCTATACACTTAGTATATACTCCGTATGTAGTGAATATTAGGGCTTCATTTGCAGATCAGCATCATACCTATCAACAAACAATAAAAGATCTCAATAGAGTAAAGTACCAATAGACAATACTATAACAAAACAATACAAAATAAATCAATAGAAAGTGATATGACAGTCTACTGCAGCTGATCTGATCAACACGCCGATCGCCCTCTCATCTGATCTCCATCGCTCTTCCACCTGATAGCTGACCCGCCATCTCCACGATCTGACCACAACTCTCATCCAGACTGTCGTCATGTCTCGCGTGTCAAACATACTGTCGCCTATGACTCGTTCTCCATCCAGGAATCGAGTACTACTTTAGCAGCTCCTGTCAACAGGGAATCCCGTTGATGGATGCATCTCCACAGCAAGCCGTGTCGCTATGGGATTCCGCGACCAAGATGAAAGCCAAGAGGCTTCAACGCCTGTCAAGAAAAATGCAAGGCTGGCTATGGTGACCATCGAACGACCCTCCGCTCCAGGCCATCCACCATCCCGACGGACCAGCACTGACGCCCCCGATAAAAAACCACCACCACAACCAGGACCATCACGACCGCCTCTCGCGAACACCGAAGTCCCCATCGACCCCAACCTCACCAACCCCCGTCTCCACGTCAACCGCGCATGTATCTACGAGCGCCACCTCCCAGGCGACGCCTACATCACCGCGCATGTACAGCGACTCCAGCACGGATCCTACTCCAGCCGAGCCGTCTCGGACAAAGACTTCGACAACGTCGACTTCCTCGGCATCAGCTTCGTCTTCCACTCGCCCAACACCCAAAACCACCGCTTCAAAGCAGCCACCATCCGCGCCTCGGTGCGCAGCACCCGCGACAAGTCCAGCGCCATCTCCCCTAAACCATCCTCCCAGACCCTGCGCGGCTCGCGCTCGCGAAACAACAATCCGCGGTTCCTCCGCCACGCGCCGCATCTACTCTACGGCGCCGTCTCCCCAGAGACACTCCAGTGGAACTACAGTCTAGCGGGACAGATCGGGTTCGCGGACCTGCCGCTGATGGCCAGCATCATGCCGTCGGGGGGCATGAACGGGCGATACCGGCGGTACGAGATGATGCGGATCCAGGGCTCGGTGCGATCGCTGCGGAGTCCGCGCGGACGGCAGTACGACGTGGAAGCGGGGGAAATCGTCTGGTCGCTCGAGGAGAACACGCTGCAGCGGTCTGGGCTGCCGCGGGAGTTCACGTTTGCCATGTTGATCCAGAAGCCCCGGGCGGATAGCCGCATCTGCTTCAGTTTGGATATCGACCCGGTTCTGCAGTGCTGGTTTGGGAATTACCCGTCGTGGATGCTGTCGCTTCCGAGCTATCGGGCGGTGCCTCGGCGGCCAGTCGACTTTCGTGTAGAGAGTGGGCAGCGGTTTGAGCCTGCTACGTCGGAGAGGGGGTTTAATTTTGCGCAGTTAGAGAGTTCGTTTGATGATTATGTGCATATGCCTGGGAGGAAGTTTGCATCTAGTGTATGTTCCTTATCTTCTTCTCTTATCATTCTCTTCCCTTCCTCCTCTTTTTACTCATATTGTGAAAAACCATATTGACGAATCAGATCTCCCCCGACAACCTCAACGACGACAACGAACTCCCCAACAACCCACTCCCTAACTTCAACATGGTACAGCCCGTCCACGGGATGCCCCAGATGCCATTCACGCCAGGACCGGGCACCATACCGGGGATGACCCCGGTGCCAGGACTACCAGGGAAGGTAGGGGTAGGAGGGAACCTGGCGGCGTCGTCGATGCCCATGCCCGCGAGCAATATTGACGCCAGACCGCTGTCTGTGCGGGTGTTGATGGAACCTAGTAGTCCTAGCCCCAGCACTGGGCGCGGTGATGGCAGGACTGAGGGGGAGAAGATGCAGGTTTCGACTGTCAATAGGACGAGGCGGAGGTCGGGGAGGTGATGTTTCTTTTGCCCCTTACTTTCTTTTCTTCTTTGTACTTTCTATTTTCTTTTTCTTCTTCTCTTGTGTCTCTCTTTTATTATCCTGTATTTTCCCCCATTCTTCTCTCTTTATTGATCTGTTATATGTGAAAGCGAGTGATAGCGTTACCTTACATTGGACGATACCCAGATATGCCACCTACTATTTTCAACTTACAGTCATGCACATACTATCTCGCTCCCTATGATAACACCATCACAACCCAAGACCTTATATACTAACGCATAAGCCACTATTATACCCAGCTAGAGGGGGATAAGTATGTTAAGCCTAGGTACTATGCAAGTACCTTTAACCTCTAATATAATCCATAAAAAGAAACCTAAAGAATAAACCCAAGAACCATGTGAGAACACAAACCCCACATTAACATTACTTCAAACCTACCTGCCCCCTCCGAAGGTACATGAATATGCAGTCCACAATGCAATCGACAGTGGGGACAACCTGAAGAAGATCCGGTTTAGAGAGGTTGCACGACATCTGCGAGCCCGTACTTAACTGGGGAGTAGGTATATACCGTGGTATATATACTGCAGTGTTATGTATGTAATATATATACATTGTCGTACCTGTATTTACATTTTACATTCTAGATTAATAGATACATTGATAATTAATCAATATTGCATCTACAATAAATAATGAATTAAGTTCCTGGCTATTCCTTTCACCAACCATTTAAGAAAGTAAGTAGGTAATGTAGAATATGTACAACATCATACGCAAGAGATTCAGCAGATTGATTCATCGTGTATTGATATAATAGTATACATGAGTCAGTTGATTCCTTCACTGAGATCCTAATTCATATCTCATTCCATTAGTCTTCCACCAGGTATAAACAGTATATCCTCAAAGACTGCCAATACTAAACAGTAAACCAGGATATAAAATAGATAGATTAGGTATTTAAAGTGGGTCATCATCAATCAATCAATGAGTGAATCATCGATGGATCCATCCATCCATCTATTATCCTACCAGAGATCTCCATGATATAAGAGATCCACACCCTCTTTATCTAATCTAATCTCCACCATTCTTTCCACCCTTCCTCAGATACTAAGGTAGAGTCAGTCCTTTACTTTGACTTATTGATTCGATTTAACTTACACTAAATAAACTACCAAGTCTATCTACCAGGTACAAATTCTAACATAGATTAACTCTAGGTTAAGTTAAGGTACTTACTTCCTTACCTTATGTATATCCAAGGTATCTAGATACCAAGATATGAATGAATGATGCATACATACTATCTAGAATGAGTAGCCCCACAACCCCCCCCCATCGGCGGGTCCAGTCCCAGCATGACGGTTACAATCACATTCCATCACATTTCTTTTCTCTTCCTCTTCTCTTCATCTCCTCTCTTTACCTACCCAAGCTAATTAGGTAGGTGGGTAGGTAGGTAGCGAGTCAGCTAGACTCGATGACTGTGACATGTGTTCTCGGATTTCTCCGACCCAACTGATCTGTTTGAGTCGTACATCTAGAGATCTACCCTGTATCTGCCTACCTAACTACCTAGACCTACTACTACCTACCTACCTACCACCCACTAATATACCACTCTAGATAGTGGCATATATATACCACCAAACTACCTATTTACTCCGCAAAAAGTAAACCCAAACCAAAGTTAAGAAGAATAAGATAAGCTGACACATGTGCGCTCCAAATCATCTGCCTTCTCCACAGACAATGGCTTGACTGATTAGACTTTTGTGTTCTCGCTCACTCATTTACACTCTGCAAGTGTGTCATCCCCTGATTACATCCGGGGAAAACGGATGGTCAGATGGATCTGACACGGAAGTTGAACTAGTGCCTTGATCTCCAGTACAGACTACAGTACACACTACATACTACGCTACAGACACAGTATATTGGATAGAACATCCACTGAAAATCACACTAGAGAATAACTCAATTTGGTCCGGTCTCTTATCCAGTACCCCGTAGAAGCCACAGCTTCCATATCGCACAAAACGCATGCACCACAGGCTAGTAGATAGAAAACCACAAAGACAGAAACAAGTAAATCAGAATACCTCCCAGACCGTGCCGCCCAAACCAATCCATTTGCTCATGATCACATTAAGCGACACGCATAGTAATAAAGAGAAATCAATCCCAATCCCAGAGAATACCACCCGGCTGAACAAATGAAAAAAGCCAACGATAGGACAAGTGCCCCCCCAGAAAAAAAATAAAACCCATTTTAGTACGAATCGTATCGTCGTGGAAAAGTAAAAGAAAGTAAAATCAGTCAAAGAAAAGTGGGCAAAGAAAGGAAAAAAGCGAGAAAGCCGCCCATATCTCCTCTAGAGCCAAACATCCGGGTAATCATCCATAGCGCATAAGCATAGTCTATTTCCCAAACTGCCGCCCTTATGAGGAACAAAAAAAAGTGAAAAGAGAGAGAAAAAATGAAGAAAAGGGTAATAAGAGGGGAAAAAAAAAAAAGGTTATATCGGTTGCTGCGGCGCAGGCGTCGCCCACGTTGTCACGGGGTAATTCGCATGAGCAGCCGGCGTGGCGCTCCCCATGTAGTACTGGGTTCGGTCATTGCCCGGGTAGAACGCAGCCGGGATGGCGTTGGACTCCCGCCGAGGCACACTGGGGTCAAAGGCGGCCGCCATCCCCCGCTGCTCGAGGGGTTGGTGGGACGCACCGTCCAACTGTCCCGCCATGCTGAAACTGCTGCCCCGGGAGAAGGTGGCCGGGGTCGAGGGGTCCATCGGGGAGGTGGCATCCGTGGCCACGCTGCGCGAGGAGATGGACGAATTGCGGTAGGCGGTCGGACTGTGGTCGGACTGCGACCGGTTCCGATCGCTCAGCCCCCCGGGCATGCCCGTGCTGATCGAGGACGAGAGGGACGCGGAGAGAGGATTGTGGCCCAGGTCGAACCCGGTGCCGTACTGCGGTTGCTGCGCGCGGAAGGACGCAAACTCGTCGGCGGCTTTCTGGGGGATCGTCGCGGGGGCGGTCGGCGTGGGCAGGTAGACGTTGGGTGCCGTCGGGGTGGGCGCCATCGTGGCGCCCATGGAGTATCCGGCCACCGAGGTGGACTGCGGGGGATGCGTCGCCGCGTAGGGCGCCGTGTGGAGGTAAAAGTCCGACTGGGGGTGGGGGATCGAATAGCCCGAGGGCATCATCTGCTGGGGGCGATATCCTCCATAGAGCGAATGGGGCTGCTGGTCGGTGGTCACTCTCTCCGGGTGGCCGGGTTCGTACTCATCGATCGGGGCGCGGAAGCTTTGCTTCTGGGTCAGCTCCGGCCGGGGCCGGACATACCGCAAGTGTTCGGCCAACGCCGGAGAGGTCAATCCGCCGGCCAAGACATCCTCGACGCTGTAGTAGGAGACCAGGTGGTGGGTGACCCCGGCCACGGTCACGCTCATCGTCTTCTTGACCAGGCCCGAATCCTTGAAGCCGTATGAGTCCACCAGCGAACCGACGAGGGCGCGTTCCATGTCCGACTGCTGGGAGCGCTCCCCAAAGGAGCCCGTGGTAGGCGAGGGGGAATAGGCGGATCCGTTGCTCTCCTGGCGTGGGTACGGCTCGCCCGGCCGGCTGGGGACGGGGCGACGGTTGGGCTTCTTCATGGCGCGCTTCTTCTCGCCCGGGGGGAAGGGCTTCTCGAGCTCCCGGTAGACGAGGAAATTGCCGAGGATGCGACTGGGACTCCAGGTGACGCCGTCGGTCCAGCGCTTGATCCCGGAGGAGTTCTCCTCGTAGATGAAGATGCAGCCGCTGCGGACGAGGTGACTGCGTTCCCGATCGTGTGGGCGGCGGGGGACATGGTGGAGGACGCCGCTCAGACAGGCCTCGAACAGGATCAAGGCATCCTGAGTCGTGCCGACATATCCCTTAAAGGTGGGCTCCAACACCGTCGCGGGGCCCGAGACCATTGTGTATCAGATGTTTTGTAAGCTCGAAGTTAGTTCACCAGGGGTAGAGAGGTAAAATCGATCTAGGTTAAGACCACCGATGGGCCAAAGTTTTGGAGCTGTCACCGATGGAGATCTGATCCACCCGAGCGAAATGAACTGTCCAGGATGAAAGGACTGTAAAGGGAAAGAAAATCAAGAATAACGGAGAGATCTCCGAGCGATGTGACCGTTTCCAAATGAGCTGTATACCGAGTTGACCGTCTGAGAGATTTGGCGGGTGGGAGGAGTAGTGGGGTTGAAATCGACAAGTTTGGGGGAGGGAAACCGGACGACACGAGAGAAATAGGCTTAAAGAAGGAAGGAAAGGCAGGGAAACGGGGGTGGGTTTTTCGGTTTGGGATGGTGAGAAGGGGGGGGAGGAGGAGGAGGAGGAGGAGGAGGAGGTTAGATTGTGGGAGGGAAGAAGATGGAGGTGGATTGCGAGAGAGCTTAGGGAGGGGGAGGCAAAATAACCTTCTCCAGCAGTTGGAAAGGAACCTCCCGGGGGGGGGAATGACAGGTCGAGGAATGTACGTCCAAAAAGAGAGATAGACCAGACCCTCTTCCAGTTCAATCCTATCCTATCCTAACTCTCTCTTTTTTCCCTCTCCCGCTCTTCTTTCCTTGGGTCAAACCGGAGAGAGATGATGGGAATACCCAGAGGTTGAGGTTGGTTGAGATGAGATGAGATGAGCTGAAGTGAACCAGATCGACAAACTCAAGGGCACACCCGTTCTTCTTCAAGTCGAACCGGGGGTTTGATTAGTAGGAGGCGGGATTGTTTGGTCGTTGGGATCTTGGAGAGAAGCGCCTGGCCCCGTTCTAGTGGGATGAGGAAGTTGGGTCGATGGAGCTTTTGGTTCCACGGATGGGATCGATCTCGTCTTCTTGGTTTTTTTTTTTTTTTTTTTTTTTTTTTTTTCTTTCTTTTCCTTTCGTCTGATCGAGGGTGTTCCTCCCCAAAAAGACTAAATGTGATGTTCTCTTTCTTCAAGGATTCTTTTCTTCTTGTTTTTCTTCCACTTCTTCTCTTTCCGTCTGTCTTGACACTTCTATCCTCCAGAGCCTCGTGAACTAGATCAGAGAACCAGATAGACAACAGACAGATAAACAGACGTTCCCTTCAAGCTCACTATGTACCATCCAGTAACAAAACACAATGAGGGGAAAAAAATTATAATATAGATGATCGAAGTCAAAAGTCAAAGTCAAAGTATAAACCGAATAAATAAATAAAAAAAAAAAAAAAAAAAAAAAAAAATCAAGGATAAATTCCAGGTGGAAGAACCAACTCAGCTTACGCCGAGTAACGAGCTGGACTCTGTGTCGGAGGAGGAATGTAAGCCGATTAATTGATCATCCACTCTGGGATTCACCGCAACCACCGGTGCCATATGAGGAGGAGGAATAACAACGGGGTTCACGATGAGGAAGATCGGAACGGGATGCGTCAGGATGATGGAGGTGGAGGTGGAGGTGGAGGTGGATATGTCTGGATAGGAAAAGAGCAGTGAAGCATCTGGCTGAAGGGGAGGATGATGACTATGTATAAAGAAGTAGAAAGGGAAATAAAATAGATAAAATAGGTAAATAGATAAATAGATAAATAGATAAACTAGAATAAATAAAATAGATGAAATAAAAGAAAAGAAGCACCGAGAAAAGAAAAGGAAAGAATTATTATTATGATGATTATTATAATGATTGAGATGGAAATGATAGTAATAAAACAAATCATATAAAATAAAATATCAGATTTTATTTTCTATTTACTTTATTATTATATTTTATATTATCATTTATCATTTTGTATTTTATTATCCTTATTGATTATTGAAAAGAAAGATCAAGACTCAGCACTGCAGCGCAGGCTTGGAGGTAAGTAAGGTAACGTAATTTACAGAAATCAAGTATTGATTCTCCAAACCTCATCCATCAGTCAAACTACAATAACAGACTACCTCTCAGTAATAATATAGATTACACATAAAACCACATCCGTCCAGTCTGAACCGACAGAACCTGACCTGACCTAACCTGACAATGATGATAATAATAATAATGAGCAAGTCGGACGGGCGGGTGTGGGCGGGGCGCGATGGTCACGGTCACTTGGTAAACCACCAACTAGTTCCAGTCCACTAGGAGGGAAAGTTGGTGGTAGGCCCGAGCAGCATTGGCGTCCACCTAGGATCCTTTTTTTCTTTTACTAACTAAGTGACCATCCAGTATTCAGTATCCAGTACCCATGATTGAACGAGGTGGGGTCGACTAGTGATCCCGAGGACCAGGCAAGGCCGTAGCAATTTGGTCACCGTGGATCCTGTTTATAGATGGATTTATCTTTCTTTCTTTCTTTCTCTCTGCATACATTTTAGTTGAAGTATTCTGGTAATCAAGTTGAATGAGACACTAATATATTTGAAGAAAAATCAACTATAAGGTAGCTACAGGGTCTAGAATACACGATGGGATAGCCGGAACAAGCCATCTGGGAGACAGCCTGAGAAGCAAATGAGACAGCCTAACGAACATCGGTGAAAGCTTTCCGCAGACTGAAGAAGCCAAAATAATAATAAAAATAAAATCAACCAAACCCAGCGGGGGTGGCAGAAGCAGGTACCCCGTTTCACTTTTTACTAGTCGATTGGTAATGACGTCCACAATTCGTGTCCTTGCTATTCATCTTTCAATCTCCTCGGAAGAGATCAAACCAGGGACCACGACATCACCCGACTCTATGTGTACCGGAATGTCCGATGGTGTCGAAAAAGAAACGGCATTCAACTATTCAATAAGACAGAAAGGGGGGAAGAAGAGGAAGGGAAGGACAAGATGACGATGACGATATGATGTCCCGGAAATTCCGCCCGACTAGGATAAATGCCGGAAGGCAAAGCAGGAGAACAGCGAGAGATTGGGTTGATGATTTCCGGAGCAGGGTACGGTAAATGACGGGATGTGCGTGGGAACCGAGAGGGAGAGATGATCTACGGGCGGGGATTGCTGTCTATGATAGGTAGTTTGTATTTGATGTTCAACTTTCTCAGATGAAATAGGGGAGCATCAACACCTTGTAGTGGAATGGTATGAATTATAGAGGACGTAGACAGGAAAATAGTAGACAAAATGAATAACTAGTGGAGTGTAATGGTGGATTTGAGGAAGAGTAGGAAAGGGGCTGTGAACAGTTAGATACTCGGTCAATGAGTTCTATTGAACTTCCTTACATCTGATTATTACTAGGTACTTGTATATAATATATAGTATCGCAGATCTGATCATCATGATTTGAATCCAAGAGTACATGTGGTTTATCATCTCCATATATTCCGTCTGATATACTTCTATATTTCCCCTTCCATACTCAAATTATACCCATACATGATCTATACAGATACATACAGTACATAATATGGTCCGTGAGCCATGTCGACCGAATCGCCGACTGATTGAGGGGTTGTCTGCAGAAGTGGATCCCAATCCCCCAGTCCTCCATCCAACCATGGCTCCGCCCTGAAGACTTGACGATAACCAACTTGGAGGAGCAGCAATAGCTCTAATGTGCACCGGTCATCGAAAGCCTGGGAGTCGGAGTGAGTGGGAGTCCAGTCCAGGCCACCATATTAGATAATAAATATTATTTAATCTCAGGTATAATGATTTACTCGATATTAATTGTAAAAACATATAATAATAACGATTATTGTAAAACCCTCTCAGATCGACTCCGACTAACTTGAAACTAGTCTTCCCCCTCCCGTCTATCCCTCTGTCTTCAAAATCGTTTTCATTTTTAACATGCTGACCGTTCCCTCTTCATTAGGTACTATTTACCTATACTTATACTTAGTACTACGTAGTACAAGAGTAAGTATATGAAGACTGCAACACTTCCTAACCGTCATAGACCATCCATTGATTAGGGCAACTCACCTACAACTACCGTACAATCCCTAGCTCACCTGCCTCCCACCTAACCACTGGTAGTCGTTGATCCAATTTCACCAACATTGTTTGATCGACATGAACGCTGTCAATTAGTGCTAGTCTATGATGATTATTTTGACATGGATTTTTTTTTTCTCTCTTCTCATTTCTCAGTTTCTCTTTTGGAACTAGCCCATATGGCACCAACAGAGAGAAATAAAAAAAAAATAATAAGAAAAAACCAGTCTAGTCTCATCTAATAATATAACTCATAAGATTAAGAGTGGGAACCAACGGTCATTCGTTTTGCGCTCAGATCCTCGAAGTGTGCGTTTCTGCGAGTACTTGCGACTTGCTGCCTTGTCTAGTATGTAACTAATTCTACTATAGGACGAGAAGAGGGGAAGAGCTATTGTATAGCGTCATGCGGCTGGTTGAGATTATTCCTAGATAGAATGATATACGGAGTACGGAGTAGAAGGGGCAGACACAGACACAGGCACAGACAGAAGACAGACAGAGATCCGGAGGACATCGATCCATAGTCCGGCTCGGATAGGCAGGCTTCAATTCCATGGTCCAATGCGCCCTCGGGATTTCGTGGAGCACTGTGGGTGCTCACCACCCAAACAGGCAAAGACGATCCGAGCTCTGGACGGATCCCCATAACCAGCTGGGATCAGAGGAGGATGGAAATGGGAAAGACAGAAGGCGGGAGGGGTCGGGAGGAGATGCGAGAAAAAGATGGCTGTGTAATTACGTGGCGGTTGACTGAGGAGAAACTAAGAACGCCATCAGGCTTTTAGTCCCTTTCGAATTGTCGATGTCATTGCGGTTCGTGCCCGAAGGAGGGTATCTCTTTTGTCTGTGAGGGGGATGTGAGAGGGGGTGGGAAAGAAGTCTGTGACAAGTAGACGGGGGAATCATCCATTACGAGTCGAACAAGCCAACCCAGGCGGTGCCCGACATGGCGGAGGAAGGAGGAGGGAAAGGGAAAATAAAATTAAGGAAAAAAAAAAGAGGAAGAAGAGGAGAAAGGAGAGGACTGT